TTTAACTTACTGTTGAGCATTGAATGCTTTTTGGTCAGCCTTCACCACTGTCCACTTGAGACATGCACAGGTAGTGCGCGCAGATTTTTTCCGTCCCTGGTTTCTTGCTAGGATGAATGGTGGGAAGAGAATCCGTCCTGGCGTTCGCACATTGAGCGAGAAAAACCATCGGCGACTTGCCATTTGTATTTTGTTGATGCGGCGCTGTTCCCTTGATTTTCGTGGATGCATAATGAAAAAAATCTGAGGCTAAGATTATATGTCCATGCTGCTAGCTGACATGGGGGCATGCGTATCCGGTTTTGGAGGGTACCTTTTCTGGGTGCCTGAAACCAAAACCACATGAAATAACACCTTGCGCAGGCCAACCCTCAAAGAACATCTATCAATTGAAGCATGCATTAAGTCGTTTTTTTTCTGGCCCACCTCGTTTCCTTCCAGAAAAACCGAGGAATGCAAAAAAAGGTGTCGTGAGGATGGTGCCGGCCAAAGCGCAAAGGTGCATGGGCTAGCTTTATGCTAGGACGAAAACAAAATTGAACATGTCCATCCGAGCAAAGAGGAAAGTGGAACAAAATTGAATGGATAAGGGGTTTGCAGGTGCATGGGAAACTTGTAATGGAATGGAAACATTTAAGAGCGCACTCTGTTTCCAAGCAGCTTAAGAAGGAGCCAGGGAATGACGCAGACAAGCGATTTATATTGGCCCACCTGACTTCCGATCTTGCAAGCTGCGCCACGCCAGAAACGAGTCGTGATCCACGGCGCTCCCGAGCAGCACACCCTCTTGAAGGAGTTGTTGGAAAGTGAGTTCGGTGCCTTGGCTTTTTATTTTAAACCAGCCTTCCAAGACAACATTTTCTCTAGGAAGAACAAGGAGATCAAAGGTAGGCTTTCAATTCAAATAAAGAAGTTTGGACACCTGTTGTGAGCCCAGCTTTCAATCTCAATCTGGGTGTTGGATACCTGACCTTGGAGTAAAAAACACAGACCACAGACCTGACAAAGCAGATCGTTTTGCACAGATTTTGTTGCAAGCAGAAGATGAGATCGGCAGTTGAAAGTCTTGCTCAAATGAGTGGCTTCGTGACAGCAACTTCCCTCCTCATGCACCTAAGGACGTGTGCAGTCAATGCACGCACAACGACTCCTCCATTAGCACGTGTGCAATTCGACACTGCTGATGCGGCGACAGCTGCCATGGCGGGATGGGCCACTGTCGGCGAAGGTCGCATGGTATGGGCGTAACGTTTGGAATAACCAATAATACCAATGGGTGATATTAAGGGATAATTAGGCACCAGCAAAAGTAAAATAAGGGGGTAATAGCCATCTTGTGTTGTTGTGCGACCCGCTGCAGCATTGCAGTTACCTAACAGTCTCTCCTGTTAAGGCTCTTGCAAATCTACCATTTTGCGGCCTCCAGCGCGGCAGAAAGCTGTCAAATTCGTGTGGGTTTGGCACATGTGACAGTGGCTGCGATGAAAAAAATAGATGCAGGCTGTGGGGGACAATGGATGGAGGTGTCACAAGCTGAATCGTGGAAGGGGCGCTTGTTTATTCTGTGCCAAGCGCAAGATTTCAGGCTTTCACCTGGAGAGAGCGTCAATGGCTTTCCAGATGCTCATCATTAGATTGAAGAAGATGCCTTTCTAGGCCAACGGACGAAATAGACCCCAAAGGTCCCTGCCACATATATATATATATATTTAGAAAGTGTCGCGCGACTGTCCTGTCCTTTCCACCAGCACGGCGCTCCACTTCACGGAGCTCCAAGCCAAGGGCTGCAACGAGCTGCTTCCAGTTTTTGCCCATCGTCTCAGTGAAAGCCGGTAAGTTGCCATGGCACAAAATCATGGAGTGGTGACAAATTTAAATCGCATCATTGCAGACGCCCATTGCAGACGCCAAATTATTGCCGAATCTTGTGGTGCCCAGGGTTCCTGAAATGAGAAGGGTTCCATTGTGCTTGTCCGGGACTGAGCGTTCACACCTGGAGCCTCCCTGAGACTTTCCAAACCTCAACGAAAAGACTTAAAAGACTCTAATAATCTGAAGATATCTGAATATTCTGCGTTATTCCGGTGTCCACTCAACGAATCAAAACTGAAAGCTTCCTACAACGGCAGGTTGTAGGCTCTTTGGCTCAAGGGACGGATGCAAAAATGTAGCCCTGCTGCAGCTCCCCGTGGCGCTTTACGGCTTGGACGATGCCATCGAAGTGCTTGGGCCCAAAAACATCGCCTTACGAGGTCCACAAATGTCCGCCAGTCCCTTGAGTCAGCTACAGATCAGTACACGTCAGATTACACGTAGCTTGATATTTCCGAAATATTTCCAGTCTTCGGAAGGTAGTCTCCCAGTCTCGCATTTCTGCAACACTCTATATATTCGAATATAGTCTGAGCACTGAGTCCTGTGAAAGCAACTCCACAGCTTGACAAGCTTCTTATGATATGAAGGGCGGAGATGACAGAAAATTCGAATTCAAGGAAGTACCACTGCGCGGAGACCTTTGAGATTGATTTGTTGATGTTCAATTAGTAGGTACGCGCGACCTCCTTATACTCTTTGCATCTCTTCGCTGCAGTTCTTTCGGCAAACTTCTTTGTGTTTGGCCAGCTCTGTCTTACTTCTCCAACATCCGGAGTTAGTTACGAACCTGTTGAAACAGAAAGGGTCACAAAGTTCGATTCACCACATGTTCACAAGTTTCTGGGTCCAGCTCTAGCTGCCACGTCACCGTCAACGACAAGACCAAAGCGCTTCTGTGCCCTGACCAGCAGAAAGATCGGGAAAGATTGAGCATCAATAATATATATCAAAATATCAGAGTAATATGAAATAATTACGTATCAATTCGCCAACTTTCAAGGAAAAGCGTGTTAGCACGCACTAAGTCACTTAGGTGTTACCCCTGCAGATTCATATCCCGGTGCGATGACAACTTTCGGATCGCCGGTGCAACTTCCATAGCTGGCGCGAATCCTGGAGCTGCACCGGCGGAGAAGCTGCACCTGGGTGAGATCGCAGAAAGCTTTGTACATGTGCAACCCTTATTGAAAAATCTCCAAAATACACGGAAACTATGCGAAAATCTAGTTGAAGATCAGTGTACGGAACTCTTTTGCCTCCTTTCTCACATACCCTTTGGTTGCAAACCTATGGCAAACACAATCCAGGAAAAACGCGTGAGCCGCATGTTTTCTACATGGCAAAAAACAGCATGATTGTCAACGTGTCAAACCAACCAACAATTTGAGTAGATCTCGGGATGCTGAAACACATAGTGCAAATGCATCAAACATCTCTCTGTAAAGTCTAAGGATGTAGAATGTAGCTGGCAGAATCGGCTACATGGCAAGCGATTGCACCAATACGGTCACCAGATCAGATCATTGCTGGTGTTTTGATTCAAGTTTCAAGGACCAAATCTGTCAAAAATTTTGTCACACATCTTCATCATCTTCAACGTTCCGCAAAATGGCGCAAACTCATCTCAGGGGCTACTACCGTCACAACACCATGAAGTTCGCTGGTGTCCAAGGGGCAAATTGTTCTTGTCGAAAATGGCACTGTGTCACGCGGCTCACGGAAACGGCACACCACATGGCTCAAGACAAATCTGCCCATTGGCCAAGAGATTCTACCTTCAAACGATGGCGAATGATTGCCTCTGCCGCCTTTGTCTGAATTTGAATTCTTTCGCAAGAAAACATGCTGCCAGTAAAAATTAATGATCCTATTTCCAAAGATCTAGGGGAAACGGGGCAAAGGAGGCTTTGGGAAATTTTGAGCCTCTATTTCTCAAATATGTATTGCATGAAATCTGATTGATATCATATGTTTGATATTATTATATAATATATATATATATGTATGTATAATGAAAATAGAAGTCTTCTAAGCTTCTGGGCACAATCTGCAGCAGGAGGCGAAGCAGGGCATGACTGTAGAACATCCATTTTCTACCATGTGTCATGTGCATAGTCTTGAAATCCGCATTTGGCACTGTGTGGCCGTCAAAGGCTCACCAATGGCCCGTATCAAAAACGAATTTGCGCACAATGCGCTTGGAAAGCACCCGTCGCATGCACGACGTCTGAGTCTGGAGCATATGTCCGTCGATGTCCTTTGATCTCAACCACGTCGTTCCTTGTTTCACTGGAGCTTCAGTAGCTTTGATAGGTCTTCAGTGTCAGTCCCAACTTGGCGAAAAGGATGGAGCCTAGACATGCTGAGGCTAAGCTAAGGCCAGTGCATGCCGCCCACTGAGAAACGGTAAAACCTTGAATCAATGCGGCAGCAGATTGATGAGGTCTGATCTTTAGAAGGGCAAGCACATTCAGACAAGGACGATCTAAACATTACAATGGCAACTTGGAAACTACTTAACTAGTTGCATCGCTGAAGAGTCAACACACTCACACAATGGTATAGATGCTTGTGGGTTGTCGCCTCCGCAGGCAAATTTTGATTCAACAAAGTTGTATATATTTGAATAGACAAACACCCATTATTTTCTCTAATTGAGAATTGAGAATACATGCAAATATCAAGGTGTGTTTGCCAGGATAGACCGTGTTTGGCAAAGTTCATTCATGTTCAATTCTTCGGGTTGAGTTCTTTGCAAATACTGGCAAGCACAAAACATAGTCTTCAATTGTCCTTAATATTGGCACTTCATGGCACTTCCTACATATTGTTTCCACATCGGAAACCCTGACACAAGGGCAAAAATTTGGCATCGACGTACCAAGAGGGCAGCAAGCTGTTCTCGTCAACCGGCGTTTTTTACCGGCATCCCAATGGCACTGCCAGTACAGCTAAAAATGCATTGGGGAATATTGGCGATCAATTCAAGTCAGAAAATAATCTCATATAACTTGTCAATACTTGTCATATAACTCGAAGAATAAATAAGAATAATATATGGCAAACTGAGGGCAAAAGTCGTTTGCTGTCTTCAAATCCCAATGCATTCACACACTTTTCTTCCTTCAGACTTCTTTGGGAAGAAGTGCCAAGATTGCACCAGACACAGGCGATCGTGCCCAAGAAAGCTCTTCGCGCACCTTGTGACATCTGTCTGGAAGAAATGGAACGAACTGACCACGAGTATAGTTAGGGTGTGGAAACGCAAACACCAAAAGAGATGCGTTTTTGACAGCGCGCGAATGCGTGTCTTCCCAGTGGCTTGACAGCTTCCTGCCAGAGCTTTGTCAAACGAAAACATTTGGGGCAACAGGAGGCAACAGGGACAAAGGGAATAGCAGTAGGCACCTGCTGCGGAAAGCGCTTGACCACACCGGCACACAGCTCCAGGGTGTCTGGTCTGATGCCATCTTCCTGTCTAGTCTAACTCATCAGACATGCGCAATGCACTACTAAGTAAACTTGCCCTACGAGTACCATCTCAATGAAGCTGAGCCATGTCCATCTTTTCACAGTTCCCTTCTCCATCCTTTGGCAATCCTTTGACTAGCAATAGACAACCCACACAACCAAATATTCGCAATATATTCGCACTATTCACATCTATTCTCATCCAAGCACCACCAAGCACTTCGGGAAACTACTTTCGATTCCCGATCTCTTGCCGCACCTGAGGTGCCACCACACTCAGCAGCACAAGGGCAGAGGAGGCGATTTCCCGGTGTACCTTGTGGCACACAGAAGATCACAGGTGCGAAATGCTGTGCCAACGTACGACTGTTCAGTATGTTCAGTGCAGAATCCGTACCCGCCGTTTTTGAGTGAAGTATCTAATTCAGTATCTAATCGTATCTAATTCACCTCAAATGTTCACAATTCAGCTTTTCATGACGAAGGAAACCGTTGCTTCCAGAGTATTGAATGGTTTGATCATTGAATGGCTTGATTGATTGTTTTGCAAGCATTCTCAAGGGTTTGGGGTCCTACTGTACAATTGTCGGGCAAATGGCAAAAAATCAAACAAATTGAACACGGGAGGTCATACCTGTCATACCTGTCATACCTGTCATACCTGTCATACCTATCATACCTGTCATACCTGTCATATATACCTCTCTCCAATCCCATCGGCCTCCAGTCTTTTGAGCAGCTCCTAGGTGCAAGCTGAAGGTCAGTCAGAAGTGGCCGCGAACCCACACAGCCCGCTGTGTCTGAGGACGGATCCAGCGACAGGGCCAAAGCGTTAGCATCAGTCACCTTCCGCAAGTGCGAACCTGGCAGAAATGAAGCGAAATCACCAGCTGCTTGGTGTTGTCCCGAAAGATTCACGGGACTCCAGACTTTTGCCAGTCTCATCTGCTGCAGTTCCAAGTTGACACCCCAGGCAAGCTGACGGTGATTCTACCCTTGCAATCATTTCATTGTACGTGGAAGCAGAGTGTACGAGAACAAAGCTTAGGTGAAGTGCAAAGTCTTTTGAAATTGCAAAGTGTACAAGTCCATCAGGCGCCCAAAACGTAGAGCACTCCAATTGCTATGAGCTTCCTGAAACATGGTCACAAAGCTAGGATTCCACACGCGGCCCAGCACAGAGCAAGGTAAGCAAGCGGCAGCCATCCGCAATTGCCACATGAGGCAAGGACTTCATTTGGGCCTCGAAGTGTCAAGACGCGGACTGCCACTTTAGTACTTTAGATGGGTCTGGGCTGTAAATCAAAGTGGAGTACCAATGGACCCACAAAACAACTCATTTCTGATTAGTATTGTGCATTATTGAAGCACCCCAGAAGCGGAACACACGAAACGAATCGAACGCGCCTGTGCAAGAAGCACCACCTTCTCCGCGATATTTGTCTGTGCCACATGCCGGAAGGCTGTCGAGGAACCAGTCCTGGGAGGGGGGTCATTCAGTCATTTGCATCAAGTTGTCGAGCCTTTTTTAGCGATCCACTTCCAATTTGAAGTCCACCCAACAGTGTCATGTAATTTGGTTGACATTACTAGCCTCATCAACTTCTGGCTCTTCATGACGAATGAAACGCACACCGATGCGATGCACCTACTTGGATGTTGCACAGTTCAGTTCTCTGACCCCCGGTGTAGAATGCATCTCAGCGACACCAAGTTCTGCAGAGCTCCAAATGCAGCTGCTTTCATCTCCGCCTTGCTGTAGTCCTGGTGGCGTGCAATGCGGCGTGCAACAAACGCAACAAATGTAACATATCCGAGCCCCCTGTCTACCAGGCGCCTTGACCAGGTCCAGCAGCTGCACCAGCACCTCGCCCAAGCATCGGCGAGCTTCGCCGTGGCGAGTGTACCTTAGCGCCGATTGATTGCTGCAAAACATTCACATCAGCATCAGCACACTTTGAGGTCTTTCAATGTCTTTCAACACCTCTGAACGTCTTTCTTTCATCACCTTTCAATGTCTTTCAATGTCTTTCAATGTATTTTCCAAAAACACCTCAGCTGCACCAAGGCTATCTGTCTTTAACAAGCTGCCCAACATCATCTTCCACCCACCATGCAGCCTGCAAGCAAAAAAATGTCAAAATTCCCAGGTTCCAACACCATCGGCACGATGCGAGCAACGATTGAGACTAATGTGGGGTACAGATTAGTCTGGGTACACTATCGTGTCCACAGACCCCAAAATAATTGTGAACCCTTGGAAATGATGGGGGGTACACTATTGTGTCCACAGGATTTTGGGGTATTTTTTTTCAGTGTTTTTGTTTTTTAATTTTTAAATTGGTTAAAATTATTTTTTGTTTAATTTGATACATTTTTTAAAAATGAATTTTAGTGTTTTTTTAAAAGATTATTTGCATTTTTATTTGAAAAAATATATACTATTTTTAAAATATATATTATATATTCAATTTTTAATTTAAAAATTTAAACATTTTATAAATTTTATAATTAATCCTAAATTGTGGGGGGTTGGGTTCACTATTGTGTCCAGGTGCAGCTTCAATTGTGGGGGGGTTGGGTTCACTATTGTGTCCAGGTGTCACTATTGTGTCCAGGTGCAGTTTCTTCTTTTTTTTTCCAACATTTTATTTTTTTTCCTGTTACTTTCTTAGTTTTTTTTCCACTTGATCGTTTGAAATTTCCAAATGTCCTTCCACTTAAAATTACAAACTGATCCACAATAGTATGGTTTGTTTGGGGGGTTCACTATTGTGTCCAGCTGCTTCCTGAGGTGATTTTTTTTCAAACATTCCCTTTACCTTTTCCTTTGATAAAGTGTTTTTCTTTTATGGTATTTCTATGGTATTACTATTGGATTTCTATGGAATTCCTATGGGATTTCCATGATGTTTCTATGATATTTCTGGAGGATTTCTATGGGATTTCTGAAGGGATGCTATGGGAGTTCTATGGTATTCTTATGGGATTTCCACTGGATTCCTATTGGATTTTTATGGTATTTCTATGATGTTTCTATGATATTTCTATGGGGTTTCTATTGGATTCCTGTGGGATTTCTATTGGATTCCTGTGGGATTTCCAAGCTACTTCCATGATGTCTCTATGATATTTCTATGGGATTATTATTGGAATTCTCATGGGATTTCTTTGTGGTTCCTATGCTATTCCTTTGCTGAAGTTTTTTCCTTTGCTAAAGCGGTTTTCTTTTACTTTCTTAATTAAGTTTCTTTCATTTGAATTCTCAGAAACGCACAATTTCCCAAAATATATGATGGCTTATTAAAACCCAATTTTAAAACATCACTCAAACAATTTTTCAAGGGGGTAGTCCATGAGCAACCCTGATCCACAATAGTATGTTTGTTTGGGGGGTTCACTATTGTGTCCAGCTGCTTCCTGGGGTGATTTTTTTTCAAACAATCCCTTTACCTTTTCCTTTGCTAAAGTTTTTTCGTTTGCTTCCTAAACGTTCTTAATTAGTTTTTTCATTTGAAATTCTCAGAAACTCCCATTTCCCAAAATATATGATACCTTGTTAAAACCCAATTAAGAAACATCACTCAACCATTTTTTCAAGGGGGTAGTCCCTGAGCAACCCTGATCGATCCACAATAGTATGTTTGTTTGGGGGGTTCACTATTGTGTCCAGCTGCTTCCTGAGGTGATGTTTTTTTTCAAACATCCCCTTTACCTTTTCCTTTGATAAAGTGTTTTTCTTTTATGGTATTTCTATGGTATTACTATTGGATTTCTATGGAATTCCTATGGGATTTCCATGATGTTTCTATGATATTTCTGGAGGATTTCTATGGGATTTCTGAAGGGGTGCTATGGGAGTTCTATGGTATTCTTATGGGATTTCCACTGGATTCCTATTGGGTTTTTATGGTATTTCTATGATGTTTCTATGATATTTCTATGGGGTTTCTATTGGATTCCTGTGGGATTTCTATTGGATTCCTGTGGGATTTCCAAGCTACTTCCATGATGTCTCTATGATATTTCTATGGGATTATTATTGGAATTCTCATGGGATTTCTTTGTGGTTCCTATGCTATTCCATGTTATTTCTATGATATTTCTATAGGATTTCTGTGGGGTTCCTATGGGATTTCTATGCTATTTCTATGATCTTTCTATGGGATTACTATGGGATGTCAATTGAAAGTAAGTTGAAAAAATTGAAAGTAAATTGAAATCAATTGAAGGTAAATTGAAATCAATTGAAAGTAAATTGAAATCAATTGAAAATTAACTGAAAGTAAATTGAAATCAATTGAAAGTAAATTCAAATCAATTGAAATCAATTGAAAGTAAATTGAAATCAATTGAAAGTAAGTTGAAATCAATTGAAAGTAAATTGAAATCAATTGAAATCAGTTGAAAGTAAATTGAAATCAATTGAAAGTAAATTGAAATCAATTGAAAAATAATTGAACGTAAAGTGAAATCAATTGAAATCACCTCAAAGTAAATTGAAATCAATTGAAAGTAAACTGAAATCAATTGAAATCAATTGAAAGTAATTAAACTGAAATAAATTGAGATCAATCAAAAGTAAACTGAAATCAATTCAAAGTACTGTAAATTGAAATCAATTCAAAGTAAAGTGAAATCATTTGAAATCAATTGAAAGTAAATTGAAATCAATTGAAAGTAAATTGAAATCAATTGAAAGTAAATTGAAATCAATTCAAAGTAAATTGAAATCAATTCAAAGTAAATTGAAATCAATTCAAAGTAAATTGAAATCAATTCAAAGCAAAATGAAATCAATTGAGAGTAATTTGAAATCAATTGAAAGTAAATTGAAATCATTTGAAAGTAAATTGAAATCAGTTGAAATCAATTGAAAGTAATTAAATTGAAATAAATTGAAATCAATTGAAAGTAAACTGAAAGTAAATTGAAATCAATTCAAAGTAAATTGAAATCAATTCAAAGCAAAATGAAATCAATTGAGAGTAATTTGAAATCAATTGAAAGTAAATTGAAATCATTTGAAAGTAAATTGAAATCAGTTGAAATCAATTGAAAGTAATTAAATTGAAATAAATTGAAATCAATTGAAAGTAAACTGAAAGTAAATTGAAATCAATTCAAAGTAAATTGAAATCAATTCAAAGTAAAATGAAATCAATTGAGAGTAATTTGAAATCAATTGAAAGTAAATTGAAAGTAAGTTGAAATCAATTGAAATCTATCATTTTTTTGATTCCACACTATTGTGTACCCGGTCCCTTGAAATTTCCACATTATTGTGTACCCTAAATTTGTTGAGGGGGGGGCATCCCCACACTAATCTGTACCCCACATTAGTTTATGAACTTGCAGTTTCAGTTGGAGTACATGCCCATTGTCCTCTACTATGCATATTATGATGTATATACACAAATATTCACAAAATGATGTTGCTGTGGGTCACCAAATCCTTGCGACCACCGGCCCGTCTGGCCCCCCTTGAGCAAACCGTGTTTCGTTGACCAGCACGTTGAGCTGTTTTGGCTGACTCGGGCAACACTAGCAGCAGGCGCATGGCTCGAAGGCCGTCGAGCAGCAGCCACGGCTGCTCCTCCAGTTAGAAGCCATGAGACCGAGCAGAAATCGACCCTTAATATTCTGTTAGATCCTTTTAATCCTGTAATTATGCTACATGTTTCTGAACAGAATTTTATAACGTCACAATGTGCTATATACACAAGCAGTGTTTCTGCCAGCAGCTGCCAGCACCGCATCCTGAGCGGGAAAGCTGGGGAGGCGCCGCTGCAGCAAGTCAACCACCGCACCAGTCAGCACCTGCGTTGCAAGTGGGTTTTCCATCGCACCGTCCCTATGTCCAAACACCGACGATGCTGAGAATCACATACTCAAAACATCTTTGACATGGACGTACCATCTTCAAACATGTAACCAAACCGGACTCTGTTGGTGTAGATGACTGATCCTCGCAAACTGTCAGTTCACCTTTGATAGATTCAGGTCTCGTCCTCACTACTCTTCTTCAACGGGCCTCACTTCTGATGCCTTGAACAAGCAAAGATCCAGAGGAGCTGACATCGGGCACAGTGTCACCTGAGGCAGGCGAATGCACACGGAAACTATAGACCGGGATGCCAAACGAAAACAAACGAAAAATACACACTGGTGTTTTCATTGCTGCCGATAGCCAGAGATCCTGCCTGTTGCATCACCAGCCAACGTTCCCAAAATCCGAACCTCAGACTGCAAGCATGATCCAGCAGTAGCTCAATGAGATTGTTTTTCAAACGCTGGTCAAACCCAACCGAGCCCCTTCAAAGTCACATCCCCTGTGTGTGACTGTTCCCACCTCTGCTGCTTCCCACCTCTGTTGCTTCATCTGTCCATATTGTCGAAAGTTTGACTTCTACAGTAAACTTCCTTCGAATATGATCAAGTTTTGATTATGATATATATATATATATACACGTATATTATGATTTGACACAAGCCTAATAGCTGTAACAGCGAGCACGATCTAGAGCACGATTTTTGGCACGAAGGAGAGCACCAAAAAGCACGATCTAGAGCACGATTTTTGGCACGAGGAAAAGCACCAAAAAGCACGATTTTTGGCACGAGGGACAACAAAAAAAAAGCACTATTTTGTGCACGAAGGAGAGCACCAAAAAGCACGATCTAGAGCACGATTTTTTGCACGAGGGAAAGCACCGAAAAGCACGATTTTGTGCACGAAGGAAAACACTCAAAACAACGTTTGCCCAAAATATAAAGAAATCCTGTTTTTGAATGTTACAGCTATTAAGACGGACTCAAATTATGATTATCTTATGATCTTATGATTATCTTAAGAGTTTATTGTTGATGATATTATGATATATTATGCTGATTCAGGAAGGGCTGGAATCGAACTGCTGTCCAGTTGCTATGGCCCTCAGAGCCTGGACCTCTTGCAGCTCCGGAGCATCGCCACGGATGGCATCAACCAGGATGTCGACTGCCCTTAGGATCACCCGCCCTATCGAGGCATTAACGCATCCTCGCAAGTGGCTGCGTTCATGATGACACTTTAACAAATAAAATAAACCATCATATAGAATGGGCTAGCGCCCGGGTGCCGCCGACCCCCCTTCTGGGGGGTTGGCTCCAACTTGAGCGTTCCTTGGACTCTGCAGCCTCTTCAGCCGTGCTAATTGAGCGTCCTGCCCAGAAGGATCGGACTCAGTTCGATATTCCCTCTCCGGAGAGTGCGACGGAGACGTCGGGGGAAGGCAAGAGTTTCCAATATGTTTGTCCCGCTTGCCAAAAGTCTGTGAGGAGCAGTATACGCACGGGCCAAGTAGATCACCGGCGCGCATGTGGTAACCGTTTCCAGGTGTGGGATGCGCAGGTCGTTGCGAAAGGATATGTGTATATTTGCCGTGCTTGCAAAGGGAATGTGTCTAGTGACGTCAAGACAGGGAAAATAGACCATCAAACGGTCTGTGGGAACCAGTTTTCAGTCAAGGACGGCGTTGTGCAGGAAAAAGCGTATGTTTACATTTGCCCCGCTTGCAAAGGGAATGTGGCCAGTGACGTCAAGACAGGGAAAATAGACCATCGAACGGTCTGTGGGAACCAGTTTTCAGTCAAGGACGGCGTTGTGCAGGAAAAAGCGTATGTTTACATTTGCCCCGCTTGCAAAGGGAATGTGGCCAGTGACGTCAAGACAGGGAAAATGGACCATCGGACGGTCTGTGGGAACCAGTTTTCTGTAAAGGACGGCATTGTGCAGGAAAAAGCGTATGTTTACATTTGCCCCGCTTGCAAAGGGAATGTGGCCAGTGATGTCAAGACAGGGCAAATAGACCATCGAACGGTCTGTGGGAAACAGTTTTCTGTGAGGGACGGCGTTGTGAAGGAGAAAGCGTATGTTTACATTTGCCCCGCTTGCAAAGGGAATGTGGCCAGTGACGTGAAGACAGGGCAAGTAGACCATCGAAGGGTCTGTGGGAAGCAGTTTTCTGTGAGGGACGGCGTTGTGAAGGAGAAAGCGTATGTTTACACCTGCCCCGCTTGCAAAGGGAATGTGGCCAGTGACGTGAAGACAGGGCAAGTAGACCATCGAAGGGTCTGTGGGAAGCAGTTTTCTGTCAAGGGCGGCGTTGTGAAAGAGAAAGGTGGTAAACGGCAAGCTGGAACGCCGAGAAGAAGCTATTGATCTGGCTTTGGGGTATCGTTTGAATTGTGTAAATGCTGGCAAACGGCAACCTTGGACGCCTAAGAGAATTGATGTGTGGCCTTGGGGTGGCTGTTGGCTGCAGGATGAAACATGCCAAGTCAGCGTTTTAAGGGTTTTAAGGTTTTTAAGGGTTTGGAGGGTTTAAGGGCTGGCAAACGGCAGGCTTGGACGCCCATAAGAAGCGATTGATGTGTGGCCTTGGGGTGCCTGTTGGCTGCAGGATGAAGCATGCCAAGGGATTGTTTAAGCGGCCCATAAGAAGCTATTGATGTGTGGCCTCGGGGTGGCTGTTGGCTGCAGGATGAAGCATGCCAAGTCAGCGTTGCAAGGGTTTTAAGGTTTTTAAGGGTTTGGAGGGTTTGGAGGGTTTAAGGGCTGGCAAACGGCAGGCTTGGACGCCCATAAGAAGCGATTGATATGTGGCCTTGGGGTGCCTGTTGGCTGCAGGATGAAGCATGCCAAGGGATTGTTTAAGCGGCCCATAAGAAGCCATTGATGTGTGGCCTCGGGGTGGCTGTTGGCTGCAGGATGAAGCATGCCAAGTCAGCGTTTTAAGGGTTTAAGGGCTGGCAAACGGCAGGCTTGGACGCCCATAAGAAGCCGTTGATATGTGGCCTTGGGGTGCCTGTTGGCTGCAGGATGAAGCATGCCAAGGGATTGTTTAAGTTTAAGCGGCCAATAAGAAGCCATTGATGTGTGGCCTTGGGGTGGCTGTTGGCTGCAGGATGAAGCATGCCAAGTAAGCGTTTTAAGGGTTTTAAGGGTTTGGAGAGTTTGGAGGGTTTTAAGGGTTTAAGGGCTGGCAAACGGCAGGCTTGGACGCCCATAAGAAGCCATTGATGTGTGGCCTTGGGGTGCCTGTTGGCTGCAGGATGAAGCATGCCAAGGGATTGTTTAAGCGGCCCATAAGAAGCCATTGATGTGTGACCTCGGGGTGGCTGTTGGCTGCAGGATGAAGCATGCCAAGTCAGCGTTTTAAGGGTTTTAAGGGTTTTAAGGGTTTTAAGCGTTTGGAGGGTTTTAAGGGTTTAAGGGCTGGCAAACGGCAGGCTTGGACGCCCATAAGAAGCCATTGATGTGTGGCCTTGGGGTGCCTGTTGGCTGCAGGATGAAGCATGCCAAGGGATTGTTTAAGCGGCCCATAAGAAGCCATTGATGTGTGGCCTCGGGGTGGCTGTTGGCTGCAGGATGAAGCATGCCAAGTCAGCGTTTTAAGGGTTTTAAGGTTTTTAAGGGTTTGGATGGTTTGGAGGGTTTAAGGGCTGGCAAACGGCAGGCTTGGACGCCCATAAGAAGCGATTGATGTGTGGCCTTGGGGTGCCTGTTGGCTGCAGGATGAAGCATGCCAACGGATTGTTTAAGCGGCCCATAAGAAGCCATTGATGTGTGGCCTCGGGGTGGCTGTTGGCTGCAGGATGAAGCATGCCAAGCCAGCGTTTTAAGGGTTTTAAGGTTTTTAAGGGTTTGGAGGGTTTGCAGGGTTTAAGGGCTGGCAAACGGCAGGCTTGGACGCCCATAAGAAGCCATTGATGTGTGGCCTTGGGGTGCCTGTTGGCTGCAGGATGAAGCATGCCAAGGGACTGTTTAAGCGGCCCATAAGAAGCCATTGATGTGTGGCCTCGGGGTGGCTGTTGGCTGCAGGATGAAGCATGCCAAGTCAGCGTTTTAAGGGTTTTACAGGTTTTTAAGAGTTTGGAGGGTTTGGAGGGTTTGGCAGGTTTTAAGGGATGGCAAAACGGCAGCGTGGACGCAATAAGAAGCGATGATGTGTGGCCTTGGGGTGCCTGTTTGGCTGCAGGATGAAGCATGCCAAGGGATTGTTTAAGCGGCCCAGAAGAAGCCATTGATGTGTGGCCTCGGGGTGGCTGTTGGCTGCAGGATGAAGCATGCCAAGTCAGCGTTTTAAGGGTTTTAAGGGTTTGGAGGGTTTTAAGGGTTTGGAGGGTTTTAAGCGTTTAAGGGCTGGCAAACGGCAGACTTGGACGCCCATAAAGAAGCCATTGATGTGTGGCCTTGGGGGGCTGCAAGAGTTGCCATAAGAAGCCATTGATGTGTGGCCTCGGGGTGGCTGTTGGCTGCAGGATGAAGCATGCCAAGTCAGCGTTTTAAGGGTTTTAAGGTTTTTAAGCGTTTGGAGGGTTTGGAGGGTTTTAAGGGTTTAAGGGCTGGCAAACGGCAGGCTTGGACGCCCATAAGAAGCCATTGATGTGTGGCCTTGGGGTGCCTGTTGGCTGCAGGATGAAGCATGCCAAGGGATTGTTTAAGCGGCCCATAAGAAGCCATTGATGTGTGGCCTTGGGGTGCCTGTTCATTCCAAGTCAGCGTTTGAAGGGTTTTAAGGTTTTTAAGGGTTTGGAGGGTTTGGAGGGTTTTAAGGGTTTAAGGGCTGGCAAACGGCAGGCTTGGACGCCCATAAGAAGCCATTGATGTGTGGCCTTGGGGTGCCTGTTGGCTGCAGGATGAAGCATGCCAAGGGATTGTTAAGCGGCCCAGAAGAAGCCATTGATGTGTGGCCTCGGGGTGGCTGTTGGCTGCAGGATGAAGCATGCCAAGTCAGCGTTTTAAGGGTTTTAAAATTTTTAAGGGTTTGGAGGGTTTGGAGGGTTTTAAGGGTTTAAGGGCTGGCAAACGGCAGGCTTGGACGCCCATAAGAAGCCATTGATGTGTGGCCTTGGGGTGCCTGTTGGCTGCGGATGAAGCATGCCAAGGGATTGTTTAAGCGGCCCAGAAGAAGCCATTGATGTGTGGCCTCGGGGTGGCTGTTGGCTGCAGGATGAAGCATTCCAAGTCAGCGTTTTAAGGTGCCAAGTCAGCGTTTGAAGGGTTTTAAGGTTTTTAAGGGTTTGGAGCGTTTGGAGGGTTTGGAGGGTTTGGAGGGTTTAAGGGCTGGCAAACGGCAGGCTTGGACGCCCATAAGAAGCCATTGATGTGTGGCCTTGGGGTGCCTGTTGGCTGCAGGATGAAGCATGCCAAGGGATTGTTTAAGCGGCCCAGAAGAAGCCATTGATGTGTGGCCTCGGGGTGGCTGTTGGCTGCAGGATGAAGCATGCCAAGTCAGCGTTTAAGGGTTTTAAGGTTTTTAAGGGTTTGGAGGGTTTGGAGGGTTTTAAGGGTTGAAGGGCTGGCAAACGGCAGGCTTGGACGCCCATAAGAAGCCATTGATGTGTGGCCTTGGGGTGCCTGTTGGCTGCAGGATGAAGCATGCCAAGGGATTGTTTAAGCGGCCCAGAAGAAGCCATTGATGTGTGGCCTCGGGGTGGCTGTTGGCTGCAGGATGAAGCATGCCAAGTCAGCGTTTTAAGGTTTTTAAGCGTTTGGAGGGTTTGGAGGGTTTTAAGGGTTTAAGGGCTGGCAAACGGCAGGCTTGGACGCCCATAAGAAGCCATTGATGTGTGGCCCTGGGGTGCCTGTTGGCTGCAGGATGAAGCATGCCAAGGGATTGTTTAAGCGGCCCATAAGAAGCCATTGATGTGTGGCCTTGGGGTGCCTGTGCATGCTAGGAAAATGTTTACGCGATGTGGCCTTGGGGCAGCTTGCTGGCTGCGAGATGGGTTTGACCTTGGAAAGCGAAGAAGGAGAAGTTCCACACCTGCGGTGGTCCCAGGCGCCGCCCCTGCCTTGGCCAAGGCCGGGGTCGGCGGATAATGCTTTATATTATGATATAATAATCTGTTAAATATATTAAATAGTCCTTGTCTTGTTTTGCGATTGTTTCCAAGTGTGCACAAACCGCCCCAGAAAAGCGGTGTCAAAAAAGCAAGTGACTACAAAATCCTCCATCATCATCATCATCAGCATCATCATCAGATGACCAAACAGGAGTGAAAGACAAAATAACCCTGGATCTGAACATGCTCGGCATGCAGAGCCAAAATCCAACGCCCCAGTGCATTGTGATGAAGGATGTGGAACAGGAAAAGCGCAACATATGTTTGCAGGTAGTGCGACAACAATCTCAAAAAGCAGGAAAGCAAACGGAATTTGCAGCAAATGAGACTTTTGCGGTGAGCACCCCCTGGCTTGTTTTGTTGTGGATTGGTCCAAGCGAAATTAAATAGAAGTGTCGATATACTGTAATGACTAAGGACGACCCGGGCAGTGACTCAACTGATTGAATGTGTTTTTTCTATTGCAAGTCGGAGATTTAGATCCAGAAGAAATGAAAAACACATGCTTGCGTGGGTCAACACGGATTCTCTGTGAATGTTTTTTTGCACATTGCGATGTGCTGAGGACACGTTGCGATCAGGATTTGAGATGATTTGAGCAGATTCACATCGATGTGAGTGTTTTAGTTAGCTTCTGAGTCGGCCTAGCCGGCTCTGCGCAGAGCGCAGACATTTGCAGTGATTTACTTCAAAATCTGTGATGGGATACATGCGCAGTCCCAGTCCCAACAAAATACATCAAAATACCATGAATGAAAGGGTAGGTTGGAAACGCGACAACAGTTGTACCCATTTCAAACCCTTGCCCACGTTGAGGGTTAGCCGCGATTTGTAGCAAAAGATCCAACATAAGCGAAACAATCATGACGAGCTTGAGAGCTTGAAAAGGACCTGTTTTTTTTGTTAGAAGATGTCAGAAGTACTTTGCAGTTTTGATGCTTTGAAGTGCACCCTGGCTATGAAATTTGTTTTTTCTCAGTGGAGGTTTGGAGCATTGCGGCTCATGGGATGTTCATGGGACAGTTGGAACAGATGGCAAGAACAGTTCCAGCAGACAAGGATACTTTAACCAGTTGTTAAAACATGTTAAAACAATCAATCATATCCACCTAAAAAATGACTAAAAATGATCTGTAACAGATCCATGTTTGAGTATTCTTATGATTTCTTATTTATACTGGAAGATTGCCATAGATTGCCGGTCCTTCTGCCATCATGCATCGTGCCTGGAGCGACTCGCGGCTGATCAACACTCGAAGGACTTGGTGCGGCTAGCGGCTAGCGGCTAGCGCTGTTGATGCCATGCCAAAGTGCCACAGCCGGAAAGATCAAATACGATAAATATAGATAATATAATATAGTAATATAATATAGTGCATTGTAGTGATATAGTAACATAGTGCATTCTAGTGCATTTCATTTCATACTTCGAAGTTTCAACACGTTGGCTTTGAATTTCTACTTGTGGAAAGAAAAATCCCATGTATACATATGGCATCATATTGCCAGACTACGCAGTGCTTTGAAGCAAGTAACAGTAACATCCACAAAATGCTGTGCAAGAGGGAGAGGTTTCTCAGAGAGAGAAGGATTGTTGCAGTGAGACTGACAAGGTCCACTCTTTGCCTGCACGTGTCCATTTGTTGTCATCTTCCCATTCAAACTGCAAGGCTACACATTCCTCTTCCTGATGCAAAGCACGTGCATTGCACGTCCTTCTTAACAAATACTCAAAAAGACATGTCCATGTTATGTTGCAGGGCGCAAAACCAAACTTAACTGTGCAGAAAACCGACGGCGGATGCGATTTTACAAAGATGGGCCGAAGATGGTCGAAGTTATATATGAATGCTGTTGTTATCTTTTACTTTTGTCAAACAACAACAAGTGGGGGGTCGGCAAACTTCATTGATTCAGGAGCCACATTGGTGATCACATTGGGAATGCTGTGTCAGAACCTCAAAAGGGGCAAGATGGTGTCATTGTCACCGAAGTGAAGACGATGCTGGCGGCAATCAGGAAACTAGGGGAAATGTGATGAAACAAGCCAGAGACTGGCTTTGTCTACTGGTGTTCCTGTTTGAGAGGTTCCCTGTTAGAAGTTGTCCGCTGTTTTTTTTGAGATTTGGTTGTGCAAATGTGCAAGGCCTGGATACACAGGGCACGTACCAGGCGCAAGACTAGAGGCGTGGCCAGTCCTGCGCGTCGTGCCACTGACTTGGCTGATTCAACAAACATGAGAGTCAACCAATGTCAACCATGATTCTCTCTGAGCTCCTGATATCTCTTGATCTGTTCTTGTTTGGCAGTATTGCAAACAGTTGCACACCGATCAGGGTGAAGTCGTTGCATCAACCTTTGGACGCAGAACGCTCAGCAGTCTTTGCAAGTGTTTTCTTTGCGGTGAGCAGCAAGACATGCCATGTACTGCAGACGTATATCTGTTCGGTAACTGCTTCCAAGCAAGGTGATGTTGGCTACTTCAAGCTTCGGCGTTTCGTTTGTATCCTTAAGAATCAAACAAGAATAACCCGACAATCTTACATCACAGATAATAAAAATGCATAAAAATGCCAAAATGCCTGGAGCACTACCACAATGCAACCCTGACTGAAACATATCTATAGCTTCTGACTGCATTCTTGAGGCATGTTGTTTTCATGCAGAATTTTGGGACGGTACTGTAGGAACAATGCAAGAAGTGGATAGGATCTAGGACTGATTTCCAGCCAGAACAAACGAGTTCCCTCCAAACCCCACGATCGCCCATGCCCTAATAGCACACCCAAAGAATATTCAATACTTGTCACCAGAAGGATACTGAAACACCGGCGATACGCAGCGATTCTGAGTTTAGGTTTTCAGGATTTAGGGTTTTCGGGTTTATATAGAGTTTTAGGATTTAGTGTTTTGGAATTTTAGGGTTTTAGGATGTTTTGTTTTGAAGAGTTGGATTTGAGCATGTCAAGGGACGTGCGGGATCCGTCACGGGCAAACATGGGACTTACAGCAAACAAATTCAAATGCTTGAAATGAGAAGCTCTCAAGCAAGTGGTATGCATATGAAATCATCATGGTCCTTATTGATATGCAAGCAACATCAAGCAACTATGTACCGTAAAAATAATTCAATTTTTGAATTGTTTCTACTATAAATAGTTGCTTACTTATCAATATTGAACAGCACGAAAGTAGGCGATCCGTAATGTTGCAATTCAATAAGTCCAGCGTCTAGGCAGTGGCAGAGGTAAGATGAATCCGCACGCTCTCTCCCATTTGAAGAATTTTGCGCACACGATGCCAGAGCCAACGGTTCTCTAATGCGTACCTACTTCACGAGCCAAAGGGTATTTTTCGATATTTTTCGCGTGAATCTGGGTGTTTGGACAAGGCTATTCTTGAATTTCCAAGGTTGCTGTCGAGGTTCTTTTCTTGAATGCTTAATCGGCGTTTCAGCGCCGTCCCGAAGCTAGTATGCCCATGCCCTTGCAGTGTGCAAACCAAAGGCCAAAAGCAGAAAAAACATGAATCAAATACTTCACAGGATATATGACTGACAAACAATAGGCCAACAGTGTTGAAAGCTCCGCTTGATCGAGATACAGCACTCTCTCATTCCAGAGGCTCTGGTGACATCCCTGTACAAATCACTAGAAAACAGTACGAACCATTACGGATCCATATGGTGACTAGAGGACACCAATGGTGTGTACATGTTGGCACACTTGCAAGAAGAGAGTTTTGCGACCACCTACCTTGGAATCAAGCTTTTGCCTTGGCATATCTTGGCATAAGTTTGGTTCACATATGTTCACGTCAATCGCTAGTTCACATCATTTGGCTCGGTCAAGAGGATGAACACCAACAATGATTCAGATAGGAACTCTCGAACTGATTGGCTCTTGCTTTTGCTTGGTGGGTTTCGATCGAAATCATGTTGATTTCTACTTTTTGCCTTGCATTTGCAAAAGATTCGATCTGGGTTTGGCTCGAGGTTCTTTGCGAGTGTCGCAAGGTGTGCGCAGCCAGACAACATGTGATGTTCAGGCCAGCTGGTCCAAACTATTCTTGCAAGCTAAGCAAGTAAAGTTGGAGGTCAAAATTAGTTGCCGCATGTTGTCGCCTTTTCTTTGCAGGAGCACACACACAAGCACATTTTCTCATACTCTCACTCATCTCACTCTCACTCTCACTCTCTGAGTCTCCCATTCTCTCATTTCTCTCACTCTCTCACTCTCTCACTCAATCGATCATGAATCGATGATTTGATCATTTGATCATTGATGCATTCATTCATTTAAGCACGATGCAGCCAACCAAACCAAAGAATCCCGTGATCATGCAGACATGGGCTCGTTACTCTCACCGTTCCACCTATTCATCCATGCATGCACATGTACGTGCACTCATTTACTCCATTATGCGCTTTAACATTCATTCATGTATGCATTCATGCAAAGAAAGAAGTCCTCAATCATCCTCAATCGCAATCTACAGAGATCTACAGAGATCTACAAAGATCTACAGAGATCTACAGAGATCTACAGTATGAATGTGTATTATGTTTGTTCTTATTTGTACATATTTGTACCGAGTTGTTTGATCTTGTGAGACTTTGCTCTTTGGGCTCCGCAATTTGTGCGCTGTAGGCGATGCGCCTCCAGCGCGAGGAGTCGGACAGGCAACAAAGGAGCTGCATCAATGAGACCACAAGACATCACAAGACATCACAAGACTTTGGACTTGAACAGATATGGATGAATTATGCAGTAATTATGCCATAATTGATCATAATTGATCATAATTGTATATAATTGTATATAATTGTGCCATAACTATCGGTAATTAGGCTGAATTGACGCATCTTATCGCATCTTGTTGATTGTTGTCGTGAGGTTGGATTACAGTAGATCGATTGATATTATTGTTATTTGATGCCACATCATCGCAAAGTTTCAGGACCATCCTACCACCAACACTTGCGCCAGTGTGCGCCAATGTCGAAGTTCATCGGTGTGTCTCTGTTTGCTGGGAAAGAAAGCCTCTGCAACACCACGGAGAGCGATGGTGTGTGGATATTCAGGTACGACAAGAGAGGAATAGGTTACCAACCTGCTGGAGATACACGGCATTCAAGGATCCCTGAATCAAATGAGGACTGGGCTCTGTTTTGAGGTGACCGTTGTTGTTTGAGGAACAGTTTGGAACCCCGACAAACGGCTATGAAATGATGCGAATATCTTTGCGCAATGTACTCGTACTTAATGTATTTCAATGTACTGTATCTCGATGTGCTCAATGCTTTTAAGTTCATGAAGGCAATTTTGAGTTTACGTGCAAGGCATTTGGGATCTTGGTTGCAATGATCCCATTAATTGACTTGCAAACTGCCGGCAATAAACTTGATGCCACAATGAACTGAACTCGAAAGCTGCAGACGACACATGACGACATATGACCAGGAGAAGAGCCACTATCACTCAGGGTGGGGCTTGACGTCAATCCGACCTGTTGAAGCCAGTGGACCATAGTCCACATCTTTGATCGTGAACTCGTGAACTGTGCAATTGGCTTAAATACGGTTAATTAAAATTAATTAAATAATATTAAATATGTTTAAATGGAATGGAGTTTTGATAAGTTTTGTTCTATCGCTATCTATGATGTCCCTTCCCCTCTTGCCGTTCAGCCTTGAGTAGTTTCCGTTCATTCAGTCTTGTATAGATTCTTGTAGTCCATTCAATCCATTCGTCATTTCCATTTCTGCTTGGCAGCTTGGTACGTATGAAATGTGAAATCCTCCAGCCAGGTCACTAGCCTATGAAAACCTTGGCGGTGCAGGGCAGACCCGGCAAATTACGACTTGCAAGTTTGACTGCGGACAGCATCGAATGAGCAAGATATGACGACGATGGGCCACAAGTTTCAAGGATCAAGATGTGCAGGGAACTTGCTTTACCAGGTAGCCGCAAATCGCCATGATTAAGATTTGAAAAATATCGTAAAGTCTCGTCAAGGATTTCGTCAAGCTATGTCAACTGTGCATAACTCTGCGAATGACAGGAAACTGAAGGGCCATGGTGCTGCATCCCGGGGAGTTCCTGGTTACCTTGGCTTCATTCCAGGAAAGGCAGGTGAACACATGACACGATTACAGTGTCGAAGATGTGAAAGATGTGAAAGTCATGACAAACTGACACGTGAAATGTTGTGAACTTTGTAAAAATATGCGCTGTGATTGGCCGTCCTGTCCAGGTTTCCGAGAATTCGTTTGCGGAAACTTGGTCGAAGACACAGGACCTGCGACATCCTGATGTCAGGTTGCAAGTATCTCGTACCAGACAGCAGTAAATAGACAAACATGTAAATTGACGGATGATCACGGATATATGTGTGTCTATGAATAGTTGCATCCGCAACTACTTGTATCAAATGTAGGTACCGGGGGGGACGCCCTAAACTCATAAACGAGTGGTACGACTAGCAAGAGCGGCTTGTGAGTGCACCCATTTTTACAGGAGAGATCTTTGAGTTCGCACCTTGCAGCCCGCGCAGCAGCACCGAAGCAATGGACGTTGATGTCAGATGTAACTTGGCAGGTCGTGGATGAAGCTTTCAAGATCTTTCAACTTCTATAAGATGGTAAACGCAATTTGTCAGCATTTGCCTTTTCACTTAGGGGCGAACTTCAGTGGCTCCGGTGAAGTCAGATACAATGGCAGAGGCACAGGAGACATCCACATGTCATGGCAAAATTCTTCAGTTACAAATTTCTTCAGTTGCACATTGCACATCTCATTATTTCTCCATGCCTACGCCGCATTACGCCGCAGATGCCGATCTGGAATCCATCCTACCAAGATCATGCCCGCGGTTGGCAGTGCTCTGAGAAACTCTGTGAAGTGAAAAATCCTCACCATGCTCTTGGTGCTGGTGAGCATGTCTTGCTCCCGTATTTCGTATGATTTCATTTGTGTATTCATCAGATTTGGCTCATTGAGGTCTGACTGCAGGGTCACCGGGAAGCACGTTTTGCCTGCTGGGGCCAGTGCACCTGTGGGCAAACAGGAGGCCGAGAGTGAACGCGAAGCTATGTACTTGTCATAGGGAGGCCATGGAAGATTCTCCAGCTTGGTCTTAGTAGGTGTTTCAAGGGAAAAAAACAATATGTTTTCTGGAAAGCCCTACGCTGATGAAGACGGACCCAGGCTTTGATATTGCGTCCATAGAAATGAAGTGGATCCATCCCCATTTCACTGGGCCAAAATTGAAATCCATTTGTCACAGAAGCGAATCGGAAAGCCGAAGAGGGTCCTGGAAGGATTGCTTCTCAAAATGTGACGAGACTCTTTGCAATGTGAGCTCTGACAGGCCTTCAACATGCGTGTGCCCGAGCTTGAACATGTGCTCCACCATGGAACAGCTCCAATTCTTGGTTACAAGGTGCATCGCGCTGTGACCAAGAATTTTGTCCACCTCATTTGCAGCTTCAAACTTCCCGTTCTTGGTTTGGAAGCTCACATTGATATACATTGATTTCGTCCAGGGCTACATCCCAGGAAAGGTGAGCGAGAATGTGATTGGCGAAAGGCACTGCAAGACAGTGGCTATTGCAGGCAGGGCTATGGCGTCAAAGGTTCTTTCTCGCAAGTTCACTTTGCATAGAAGTTGAATATGTTTGAAGCAGTCAAACTTCCCTCTGGTGCTATGCCCTCTTATGAGTTTTTTGTGCCTACGCTACCTTACATAGATTAAAAGCCATGAAGAATCTTGGGATGCAGATGACGCTTGCGCACTTTGTCAGATCACCTTCACAGAAAAGCTCTTGTGCGAATCACCCAGCGCTGAGATGGGCTATCAGCAGTTAGACAGCCGAATTTCTGGAAGCATTGACAAACAAAATAAAATAACGGATTTGGAAAGGTTCTAGTATTAGTTCTGATGGATTGTCAAAGCAGGTTCATGACTTGGTAATCTTGGTATGTCCACAAAACATAGCATGAGGAAATCTGAGGAAATCAGTGCCTTCATCTGATGCATGTCAAGGAGACGGTGTGATCAATCATAATCAGGCAGGCACCAAAGGTGCCTTGCCGAGGTTTCACCCGGTATTTCTTGCTCAACAAATGCAGCGAAAAAATATACGAAAGATGGGACATGGGAAGATGGAAAAAGGGTTAGCAGAAGCTCAAGTCTGAAATATTGAAGGCATCCATCCTATAGTCACAGTTTGTCATTTGATGTTCACCTTGATTGCGCGGTCATCCTTTCTTGATCCTGTGCCTATCGTGTGAAAGTGGCTCAGTGTCATAATTGCTTAGAAGTTCTCCCAAAAAACGAGAGATAGGTGGACAAGCAGTGCAAAGTACTGGTACAGATAGTTGCTGTCAAAGTCAGAGAGGCAAACAGATCAAGGGTCCCGCGATGCTGCCACTTGAGGCGGGGTGTATCAAACAGACTGCTTACGGAGCAATTTCCATTTCTTCCATCTCAACCATGTATATGTATTAGTTTGTACAATGTGTTTATGAATGTGTGTATATATACTGTGTATATCATTGTATATCACTCTATGTACATATTTATGAACCGTATATGGGATTCATGGAAGTGCATGAATGATCATGAATGCGTGGTTCCACTATTTCGAATTGCGTTTATATCGCAACCCGCAGCTTCCAATAGCTCGGGGTGGCTTCCCTATTTATCCAGTCTCCGAGCTCCTACCTATCCCCGCTTCCAGTCTAGAAAAAAAAGTAAGCCCTCTTGCAGCAGTGGGGCTGTGGTATGAACTCATTTAGAAGCTTGAGTTTAGGCGAATGGTAATAAAGTAGCAGTCGCAGTCGCGAATAGAGTAGCAGTCGCAGCCGCAGCCACTGCAGCAGCATCAGCGGTAGCACTTTTCGAAGAAACAGCCAAGCATGAGGTTTATATTAGTTGATATTAGTTGCATGTGTTGTTATGTGTTTTTTGTAATTTTTGTTGTCCCCTTGCTTCCAGCCTGATGCTTGATCAGACCTGCAGTCGCCTGTCCCAAGACTTGACCCATCTTGACCCGAACAGTCCAGATTCGTCGAAGGCAGCCAATGGCGCAGCACTGCCTCCATCCACAGGTCGGCGTTACATTGGATGTGAGGACCGCGGCATGTTTGGCAAAGCGATTCCACATGCACCCTGCTCCAGTCGTTTTTACAACTCCTCAGCCCCCTGAGAAGGACAGATGATCCTGTTGACATCTATTAACATCAGCAGAACAAACTACAGCAATAAAGACTGAGATAGAATAGAATGAGAACAGGAACAACTTGCTTCTATTATCTTATATTGCCCAACAGAAAGCTGAGCCTCACGAAGAGCGCCTCCCTGTCCATCCAGTTCCTGCAACAAAAGAAGCATACTCTGACGTTCTCTTGTGAATTGTTGCAAAGCTGTGTTAGCCAACAGCCTGTGTCTCAGGAGCACATGGTAGATTCAGGCCAGAAAACAATGTGCAAAGTGTCGAGCTGCTGAGTGCCCAAGTGATTTTAGTCTAGGCACATTCGTGCAACAACAGTGACACAGTATACACATTCTGATTTTCAATGTGAGGCACATCGGTCTCCTATGCTGGGCGACATGGATACGGAAAACGCCACGTCAAAGCACCGGGTGATGAGGCAACTGGTGTAAGATGCCGAACGCACAGATGCTCTTAAAGTTTAGGCCTTTCAGATAATTGTATAAGTAATTTCTAGATGATGATAGATGATGTGCTTCTTGATTTTAGATGATTTTAGATGATGTGGTTGGGTCAATTGCTTTGGCACAGACAAGTCTAGTCTTTGATGTGAATGTGACAGGTGTCTTTGGATTTATTCCATGGAAATGGAGAGCCGCACGACGACCGCCTTTGGGGGCCGTCAGCAACTAAGACTTTCCGCCCAGCTCGGACTCATCCATCAGTGGGGCCTGTTTGCATGAGCTTCCATCGTATGCATCAAGGTTAAGGTATTTTAAGTAGCAATGAAGATCAATGGCGCGGACGATTTCAGGGTCCAAGAGGCACGGCGTGAGCAGTGCCGTATTGGCCACAATTGTCCAATCACGCCGGCCTGGCCAAGTCATTTGACTTCCGAATTGGCCTATTCGAAGTGAATTCACCAAGCAATCTCTGACACCTCTGTACGTCGTGTCCAGAGAGCCGGATAAAAATGCCATCTGTGGGCCTGTGAATGCGCAAATCAACCTTGTTCCAAGCAGAAAAGCAAACGTCCCCCAAATCACCATGACCAAAAAACCATTGCACAGCCCTGCGTACATGGCGGTACAAATAACCGAAGGTTGGTCTCTCAAATCGAGAAGAGAGGGGATGCATTTCCATCTCCCCGGAGGCCAAACCTACAAATGGAAACTGAAACTGGAAATCTTTGATCAACCAAAGAGTGAGCTCCTCAAAACAAAGCGGGTAAACACCAGAATCAATCACAACACGATCAACCAAAAATTTAATCAAAGACTCCACAAATTCCACTGGCATGTCACGTGGCCGAGTGGTGGTTCCAACCAAGTCTTCAGTAGAAGGAATGTACAAATCACCTACCGAAATCTGTGGTTCTGGGACAAAACCAAAAAGTGAAACATCAAGCCTCTCAGGCGCCTCAGAATTGGCTTCCGCTGGTTGAGCCGCAACAGCAGAGTAAAAGGAACGAAGCTGCCCCATTCTCTCTGCTCCCAGGTCAAAGTGACGCAGGGCATCATTTCTCAACTGAAAAAGCCATCAGATCTGAGCAGATTGTGTCTACCTACAGCCGTGTCTATGCGATCATTCCACAACTTCACCCAGTCCTCGAAGGCACAGGTGAGCTTCATCTCATCTAAGTGACTAGGCACCCAGTGTGGCACCAACTCGTTCTGTCCGTTCTCATGCAGCAAATGTTCGATTCTCTCCCAAAGGTCACCATGTGACCAGGCCCCAGCAGCCCCATGCTGGAGGATGAAAAGAAGTCCATCTGCTACAAACTTCGAGTCTGTCCAAAGGTGCATCGTCACCTCAAATAAGGTTTGCCATTCAAGTGCTCCCACCACAGCCATCAGCTCAGCTCGGTCGCTGGTCTGACTCAGCCCTGTGACGTGTCCCATCGCCAAGAGATTTCCAGTGGTTGCGTTCAAAGCACCCCATGCAGCGATACGAAAAGGTCGCTGCCCACTGGTAGCAGAGCCATCCGTGAAGACATGTTGAATCCCAGTAGATGGTTCAGATAGGAAAAGTCTGGTGGTGTCCGGGACCGCCATCAAAGCATGCTTCCAGGGTCCAGCAAATGGAGACCGAGAAGGAAGTAGGTGAGCTCGCAGGGTATAGAGTCACTTGCATGGTGTTCTTGCCATCGCTCAAGCGACGCTCGAACAGCAGCAAAACGAGGGCACTCAAACCAATGTAGGTTGGTATCTGGCACCCCACACCAGGTGCAATCCGCCGACTTGCTCAAATCATATCGCGCATGTGCAGCTCGATCAATGAAGGCCCCTGATCGAAGCGCACTCACCAAAGAAGCTTGCAAGCTGTCCATGCGCCCAGAGTCATGCGCAAGCAGCAAAGGATCCAGTCCACTCAGGTCGCGCATAGTGGCACGAGAGGTCACTTTCCGTGCCACTTGTTGAAGCCACGCATCATACAACAATTCATCCAACAAATTAGTATCCCCATTACAAAGGTTAAAACAACAACCATCATGATCCCACAAAAAAGGGGGTTCAATCCGCCAGTCAATTTGGTTCAAAACAGTAAGAAGTTGGGAAAAAGGTCCACTGAAAAGGCAACCCTCATAACCCTGCATAAAAACTTTCCATAAACCAAAAAGACGTGGCTCCTTGCGCAACAAACGCTGGAGAGCTCTGACAGTCATACGCAGTCTCCAAAAGCCAGGATCAGCGCAAGGAGTGCCGCAGAGCGAAAGCCGCAAAAGGCTGTTGGAGCCGGCACCGTTCAGACGCAGAGCACGTACTGCTTGTTTCCGAAGATCATCGATGTGATGCTCCCCAAGGCAGGAGCCATTGATACCATACAAAGCTGAAGACCAAAAAACGCTAGGCAGCACTTGCAACTTCTGTCGAAGTGGTGCTCGACTACTCATAAGTCGCTTCCACTTGACTGAGAGAGAGCTGATCCGTTTCTGTTGCAAACCAGTGAATCTTCGGCGGGTGAAGGATAACACCCCACCCAATTCATGCGCGTGCTCAACACGCTGGAAAGGTATCACAGCCAGTTGACGCCTGTCAGCATCGTGTAGCGCCCAGCAGTACGACTTGGCTGAATCCAATTGAAGATTCCACAGCCGGAAAAACTCCCGAAGGCAAATGAGGCCTTGCACAAGCAAACTGGGAATGGCCGCCACCAAGCCCAAGTTGTCCACGAAACTCAATGAACGAATTGCTGGACAGTAGGCCCTCATGTAAAGGTGCCAAGCAAAGCACAGCTGTGTCATCCCAAACACGCTGAGGGCGTCGCCCTCAGGCAATCCGCAAGTGGAGGTTGTGCTGAGGCTCAAAGTGCCACGCACTTCAAACGCACGAGTGCAGCTGGCCAGGAAGCTGCGCCAGGGATGCACGATTTGAAGTGGAACTCCTAGATGCAGTGCTAGAGCAAACGTATGCTGGCGCGGTATAAAATTGAAAGCACGAGTCAAATCCGTGCTCAAGCCTGATTTGGCTTCTCCAGACTGCAAAGCGCACTCGATCTCGGCCTGCAACACCAACCATAGCTGTGATGGTTCGCAGCCAGGCATGAAACCGTATGCTTCAACATCCATGTGAGGTGCCAGCAAACGCAAGAGCTGCTTCGATCTCAAACTGGCCCAAGTACGGTAGATGATGCTGAAAATGACTATTGGCCTAAAGCGGCTGACTGTTTGAGCCCCAGGGTCTTTGGCAAGAACACTCACCACTCCATAGAGCACTGCAACAGGCCATTCCATCTCCCCTTGCTCGATGGCGTGGAGAAATGACAAAAGCCGCAAAGTCCATGATGAAGGAAGCGCCAAAAGGTCAACATGTGACAGCCCATCAACTCCACGAGCGGCAGTAGATTTGTATCTGCGAAGAGCCCTGCGCCATTGGGTCTCAGTGATGGGAGCCAAACCAAAATGAAACTGCGGCACATGAGCTTTGAAAAAGTCCATGACTCGTTTCCATGTGTCTGGTTGGATGGTTGCCAGCGCACACCAAGTAGGACGCCAGTAATCTAGTAACTCCCTGTGAAGGTCATGAGTGTCTGAGAAGGTTCTATGCTGCACCAAAACATCACCATGAGTGAAGGAGGAAACATCAGCAAGGTGCAAAACAACCTCATTGATCTGCTGTGGGTGGATCTCCTGGTCTTCATAAGTCCATTTGCTAAAACCTCCAGTCAGGATTTCAGCGTCAAGGTGCAGCTGATTCTCCACCTCATCCACAGCCAAAACGGCAAAATGACGCCGATCAACAAGCAGATCAAGCTTGTCTCGTGTCGGCGCCTTGAGATCTTGAAAGATTCCCTGCATCCCCTTTTCATACTTAAGTTGAAGAAGTTTGGAACGTTGACGAAGATGCCATGATTCCAACTCTTCAAAATTGCACTTGAAGGCAGCGAAAATGGCAACTGCCAAAGTTACAGTTGGAGGAGCTGAGGGAAGGCAACCAGGAGTGTCAGGAAGACTGATCAGGCGATGAAGTTGCCACCAAAGAGGAAATCCATCAAGGAACCCAGGTGACCGAAGGATGGCCGACCAAAGCTCCAGTCGATAGGCCACAGCCTCACAAGTCTGTTTGTTGGCCTTGATGGCAGCCACATAACTCTGGAGTCTGCGAAGCTGACGAAACCAGAGTTTAACTTCTGAGCCAATCAGATCATTGCGAAGTTGAACTTCACTAGGTCGACTTGGCCGAAGAACTCTGGCAGAAGGAAGTCTTTTGGTGGGACCAGTACGGCTAAGGCGGCCTTTCTGGCTGTTCAGCAATTTGCGGGCAGGCTGATGCTTGACAAACCCATCCAAGCTATCTTCAAAAGAAGCCGCCCATTCCGCCCAAAGCTGATTTGCATCACCCTCAGAAGTCCAATGAGGGGTAAGTGCCGCAGTTTGCCATCCCGAGTCAACATCAGACCAAGGGATGTGTGAAGGCCTCGTCCAAGTCAAAGAAGGAGGACAGGACGTAGGAATATGGAGCCCAACAGTGATGGTGGCATGCTCAGCAAAAACGTCAGCAACATCTACCAAGCGGCAAAGCGCCACTGCCTCAGGACTGAGCCAAATGATGTCGCGCTCAGTCGCATGCTTGCTGGTGAACTTCATCTCTTGTTGCCACAGCTGAGCTGCGAGTTCCTGTGCAGGAATCCAACCAAGTTGACGCCATAGAGCGAAAACAGGAAGCCCATGAGCATCGACATTGAAGTCCCCACCTACCAGTCGAGGTCCAGTGCCTCCCATGATCACTTCAGTGGTGACAATCTGGAGGAGCTGGTCAGTGAGAGATGCCGCATCAGGCCAAGTTGGTCCTTTAGGAAATCCATAGACCACTGTATTGAGCACCGAACAGGCCCCAATAAGATGCCGGGTGGTGAGGAGCCGGCCACAACTCCGTTCTCCAGTGTATGGCAACATGATTTCCTGTGAAGGGAAATCAGAAAAAGTCATGACACCTGACCAGGTACCAGCCCATTCAGAAGTGGCCCTGGTAGCGACTGGTGCTCCCATGTGGACTCGCACTTGCCGATGTTGAGCAGCAGCAAGATGTCGAAGTTGTTGGCCACAAGTACGTTGTGTGACCCATGAGAGCTGTGTCTCCGAAAATGACCACACACCTGGTCCCAAATCCACCGCAGCATGTTCTTTCTGGCGAAGTCCAGACGGATTAGAAAATCCAAAAAGATGGCAGTCTCCCTCCGGTCCAGGATGTAGCGCTTCACCCCACCGCAAGGTAGGCAGAGAATGTGTGGAGCCAAGATCCAAGAAGGTAGCCCCAGCTGAGAGGTCAATGATGGGATTGTCCATGGAAACGAAAGCCCAAGAAGGACAAAGTTGAAGAACGAAAAGGAAAGTCCAAAGAAGCTGTCGAAGAAACGACATGGAAAGTCCAAATTTGCCTGGCGCCCTAAATCCAAAGGGCCCAGGGTGACCTAGTCAACTGTCACTTCTCTGTCGCTTGGAAAGCAAAGCTTCCAGGCGATCCATTTGTGTTGACACCGCATTGGAAATCTCAGCTGTCAGATCACCCTTCATGTTGCCGAAGGAGGCCTGCATGGCTTGATGAAGTGTGTCCGCCGATGTATGAACTTCAGCACGGACTGCCTGTAAATCTTGGTGATTCTGCTGCACCGAGCCCCGCAGACTGGAAAGTTGTTCATCCTGTCGGGCAAGACGTGTGCCAGTCTCTTGGAACCACGCATGATATGATGCCTGATGGGACTTGAGCTCTTCCATGTCAGTCTCCAATTTGTGAATGCGCTTGGAATCCATAGAAGCGCCATGTTGCCCATCTTGAAGTCTGGCATCCAGCGACTCCTTCAAAGAGGTGTTCAGTTCTGACTTTAGTTGATCGGCCAGAACCTCATAGCGTTTGGCTGCTTTGTCCGGTGCAGTCTGAGATGTGCCATGCCAACTTTGCCAAGGATCATGGCCAGGTGCCATCCATGGATCGCCAGTCAAAGGAACAGAAGAGGAGGCAGCAGCTGAAGTGGAAGAACGCAAATGCTTCTGTGCCCGAGAAGGGCCCACCACCAGTGGAGCTCGATCAGCTTCCTTCTTGTCCTTGACCAAAGAGATGAGGACATCTCGACTGAAGGCGGTCAAGACATTGTTGGGTGGCTCACATGCGGCTCCCACTTCCCATGATCCACCTTCAGAGGAACCTCTGGCAGGCTGCAATGGTTTGGCCTGCCACTTCCATTCTCTCAAGAGTTGCACCACCTGCTGGCGCTGAAGTCCATGAGGTAACGGGTGCAAACGGTAGATCTTGTTGACATCCACCTTGACATAGACATCACCGGGTCGTAATTCTTTGTGAGTAACCTCCTCATGGACAGCACAGACCCGAATGCCAAACCGATTTTTCATTCTCACCAGTGAAAGTCCATGCGTGGTGAGTTTCATCCGATGGACCGCAAGTTCACGGTTGGCACCTGGAACCCAAATGACTGAATAGTCAGTGTCAGTAGATTTGGTGCTGTCAGCACGGGGCTCCAGGTAAACTCCATCGACAAGAACCCGCAAGAGGTCAGCCAAAGCAGAAGATGCTATCCTCAAAAAGGCCAAAAAGAGTTCAGCCTGTTGGGCAGGTTGAGCACGTCCTTCAATGGTTTGGAACCTGCGTCCCCAGATCTCGTGCACTACTTGGTCAATGTTGTCTTCCACAGCCGCATGGAAAAGGCCGCAACGATGATCGCAAGAGACTTGAGTGCAGAGTCTGAACAAAGGCACCAACTGAAAAAGATGTCGAATGGGCGCTGCCGCAATTTGATCCCACATAGTAGTCAGCTCATCACGGAAGATCTGAATCTTGAGCACCTTGGTGTCAGTGAGATCCATCATATTCACAGGGTCCTGGATGGTCTTTCGTGCCACCGGATGGTCCCCAAGCTGAAGAAGACTACCTTGAATCAACAGTGGATCCTGAGTGGGAAGGTAGGTGACAGGAAAGCGGATGGAGGAAATGCTGGCAACGCCCTTGAGATGGGCAGGAACCTCTTCCAAAATCAACAGCCCCAGGGCATCAGTGCTGATATATCGTTCCTCTTTGAGATAAGGAAGTGCTTCAGTCAAGGTTGCGAGTGCCACACCTCTCGCATCAGCCACAACCTGCGACAGCTGGATTTGGCTCACTTGGTCGCCCTCATCATCAACAAAGTGAGCTGGATCCAACTGCAATGTGGTTGGGTCAAGAGCCGGAGTAGGAGAAGCGGAAGACCGAGTGTTCTTCTTGTCTTTTTTCTTCTGACTGGAGAGGAGAGTGCCATGCTTGGAGGTGGCTTTGGAGGTGATGTAGTCCTGCAACTCCGACTTCAGAACAAACTGGAAACTGCTGCCAGGTCGAGTGGTAAGTGCCTTGAGGGCTGCCCAGGGGTTGGTTTGTCCCAAGGCAGTCTGGACTGCAGCATGTCCAAGCTTCTTGAGGGCAGCAGCCGCACGATCAGCAGCCAATTGTGACGGAACCCCCTTCGTGGCCAAAAGAGCAGCCAAAGCAGCTTGAGACTCAGATGGATTGGGCCCAGACCCGAAAATCCAAGGGTCAGTGAAAAGTCCAAGGGCCTGTCGGTGCTGTAGCCAGGCATGAAAGTCCAAGACGGCCTGACGTGAGGGAAGTCCAAAAAGTCCAAGACGAACACCGACATGGAGCAAAGCCACGGTCCCACAGGTGTGTTGGTCATGCTGTGCAAATAGGTGACCAGGTTGGATCGTCCAATCCAAGGAGAGCTCAGTCGAGATGATGGCGGCCAGACGTGTGGCAGTGAAAGTGGCTTGTCCGGGAAGTCCATCACAATAAAGCCACTGAAGATGGTCCACATGGAGCTGTCCCCAAAGAAGCGCCCAATGGGAAGCACTGGGATAGATGCAGATAATCCGATCATCGGATTTGGAGAAGGCACTACCAATCCATTGTGTGTCTCCAGTCTGTTCGAGGAGCTGCATGGCCGTCAGAGGATAAATGACCATAGGTTTCAGAAGGTTGGAAGTCAACTGCATGAAAGCAGCCAAAGTCCACGCCACTTGACCATCATGCAGTCCTGCTGGAGAAGTCCAAGGACCAGCAGCTCGCACAGAGAAAGAAGGAGGCCATGCAGCAGGATCCAATGTGCAAAGGTTCAAGGGCTTCCAGACTCGAAAGTCAGCACCGTAGATCTTGCCGTGGTTGTCCACCAAGAAGTTGACATGCAAGATGTCGAGTTGTCGCAAGCCTTCAAAGAGAAACTGGCCAGAGTTCAGGAAGATCAAGTGGAAGGTTTGTTCATGCCGGATACCAACAGCTATGGTATCAGGTGGTTGGGGTCTGCTCACCTGTCCCATTTGATGTGACAGCTGGTATGGTCCACTCATGGAGTCCAACAGAGTGTTCAAGGAAAGCGGATGACCATCCTGAGAAATTCCACCACTGTGATTCCAATCTAGGCAAATGCGCTGAGCTTGAAGAAGCTGGGCAACTGAACATGCCGTAGGGCTTGCAATGACCAACTCGTGGCCATCATGGTCCTTCAGGTGAATCATCTGTGGGATCATGGAATGCCGCTTGAAGAGATGCTGAGTCTGACGTAGGAGTTCATGTTGATAGGCTCGAAGCCATTCCAATGGAGAAGGTAACACAGCCAAGTCCAAGGCCTGCGCCACATTGTTGCGAAGATGGGCGTAAATCCAGACCATTTGTAGTGGCGAAGCCACCAGTCCCAAAAGTGCCAAACTGGCACGAGGGGCATGAGGGTACGAAACCCGGTCTGGCATCCCCAGCAAAAGTCCAAGCTCTCTGGGATGGAGATAGCGAGGATTGTGGTGCACAAGGGACTGCACAAAGCATCCTCTAAGGCCTCGAAGCCGAAGATTCCTGAAACTCAATGGTGCAGCACGACAGCCACAAGGACAGCTCAGAAGAGCGTTCCCGTAAGAATGCAAAAAAGTATTGGCTTTGTCACCGAACTCAAGGATACGTTTGTCAGACCCAAACTCCTTATTCATGTAGGTTTGCATCTCAACCTCAAAAAGCTGAAGATCATCCTCTTCGGCTTCCGTCCATGTACCCCAACACTGAAAAAGATCACCCACGCATTGGAATGGACTTGAACGTGGCCATGGATGCAACCCATAGGTGTTCCAGGATTTAGGAAGCAACAAAGCCCACCACCTTGCTCGACGACAAGGCCATTGTGCCTGCAAGTCAAGGTTGACCGTGAGCACATCCCAAGACATCACCGCTGCCAAAGTTCTGATGCCCTGGACAATCTCTGGGTGCTCACCCGCTGCCGGCACACACTCCAAGATAGCCGTTTGAGCGTTGGTGAGAAACATGATCTTCAACCCATGCCAAAAAACCTTAAACCTATCATCCAAGCTACCTAACTGGCAGCCTTGTGTGGAATGAGGTTGACATGGGAACCCAAAAGAAACCGTACCGGGAGAGGCGCCAAATTTCATATGGATAATTCTGGCACTTTCCGGAAGAGTCAAATCCAATTGAAGGATCTCACCATGGTGATTGGCATTCAAATGAGAGCAAGAAAGTCCATTGTGATCAACTGAAACAAATGGAATTCCACCAGCAAACGAAGCTCCTACTCCCATACCACCCACCCCAGCGCACAACTCAAGGAGCCGTGGAGAGAGATCAAGTTGGGGAACATGACAAAACCACCAAGAATCTTCAGCTGGGTGAAGATAAACAAAATCATCCACGTCACCTTTCTGAAAGCCATAGAGGCTCACGTTGCCCTCCGGGAGGACGAGCCCGATCACCATGTAGGGCTCATTCGATGGAACACGCTGGCCAATGGATGACCCATCACACCAAGTAGTAACCCTGATCACCCCCGTGAAGACATGGTCATGATCAGTAGAACCAAACATACCAGTATCCATGGCAAAACAGTACGAGGTCCCGAACGTCAGTGGAAAACAAGTTCACCCCTGGAAGGCTCCGGGCCGAAACTTAGCAATGAAGATCAATGAAACACGAATACCCAAGTACCCAAAAATGTGATCCCTTGGATCCACTATTGAGCCACATCCACTTCTCAGCATTCCTCATTTTATGGATCTTGGATAGCTTCTGTTGTTTGTGCCCAAGTATTCTCCATTCCTGTTTCTCGAGCAGTGGTTGTCGGTTCTACGGGTAGACATGTACGCGCACGTGTAATTGCAGTTATGCGATCAAATATTATAATAAATGGGCTAACGCCCAGGTGCCGCCGCCCCCCTTTTTGAGGCTTCGGAATCGCAGATCACTGAGAAAATGTAAGAGTCATAACTTAAAAATACTTAAAACAGTATTTGGATATCTAACTATAGACTATAGTGTTATGAGAATATTGCAGCTACAGGGCTTGTATGACAAAAGATTTTTTAACCATTTGCTGCACCATTCTTGTAACCATTCTATTTACTATGCTGGAAGCACCCCTGTTCTTGCAACCGTTCTGTTTCCTATTCTGGAAGCATCTCTGTTCTCTTAAACATTCTGTTTCCTGTTCTGGAAACACCTCTGTTCTTTTAACCATTCGACTTCCTATTCTGGAAGCACCTCTCTTCTAATCATTTGATGAATTTTTCTCAAGCCACCAGTCTTCCTGTAGCCATGCCACCTGCTATCCTGGAATCATATTTTTGATAGTCATCCTATCTGCGACCCTGAGGCCCTGAGGTAAACACGTTTTCAAACTATCCCAGTCCCATGTCTTAGTTTTCAAACTATCCCATTCCTTCTGTCAACGCTCAATAGAATGGACGGCCAGAAAAAGACACCACAAAAATGCAATATTCGACCTGGCAAAGCGCTGGCAAAGGGCTAAAGCTGCACGGAGGGTTTTGGGGCCCTGGTGGAACGTGCTTCGCGCAGGTTTTGAAACCCTCTAAATGCAGTATTTCGACTTGGCAAGGCAAGGGCAAAGGGCGATGGCAAAGTGCTGGCAAGGGGCTAAAGCTGCACGGAAGGGTTTGGGGCCCTGGTGGAACGTGCTTCGTGCAGGTTTTGAAACCTTCTAAATGCAGAATTTCGACCTGGCAAGGCAGCGGCAAAGGGCGAAAGGTGCACAGGAGAGTTTCGTGTCCTAGTGAAACGTGCCTGGCGCAGGTGTGGAAACTGTCTAAATGCAATATTCGACCTGGCAAAGCGCTGGCAAGGGGCTAAAGCTGCACGGAAGGGTTTTGGGGCCCTGGTGGAACGTGCTTCGCGCAGGTTTTGAAACCCTCTAAATGCAGTATTTCGACTTGGCAAGGCAGGGGCAAAGGGCGAAAAAGGTGCACAGGAGGGTTTCGTGTCCTAGTGAAACGTGCCTGGCGCAGGTGTGGAAACCGTCTACATGCTATATTCGACCTGGCAAAGCGCTGGCAAGGCGCTAAAGCTGCACGGAAGGGTTTGGGGCTCTGGTGGAACGTGCTTCGTGCAGGTTTTGAAACCCTCTAAATGCAGAATTTCGACCTGGCAAGGCAGCGGCAAAGGGCGAAAGGTGCACAGGAGGGTTTTAGGGCCCTGGTGGAACGTGCTTCGCGCAGGTTCTGAAACCCTCTAAATGCAGTATTTCGACCTGGCAAGGCAAGGGCAAAGGGCGATGGCAAAGCGCTGGCAAGGGGGCTAAAGCTGCACAGAAGGGTTTGGGGCCCTGGTGGAACGTGCTTCGCGCAGGTTTTGAAACCCTCTAAATGCAGAATTTCGACAAGGCAAGGGCTAAGGGCGATGGCAAAGCGCTGGCAAGGGGCTAAAGCTGCACGGAGGGTTTTGGGGCCCTGGTGGAACGTGCTTCGCGCAGGTTTTGAAACCCTCTAAATGCAGTATTTCGACTTGGCAAGGCAGGGGCAAAGGGCGAAAAAGGTGCACAGGAGGGTTTCGTGTCCTAGTGAGACGTGCCTGGCGCAGGTGTGGAAACCGTCTAAGTGCAATATTCGATCTGGCAAAGCGCTGGCAAAGGGTTAAAGCTGCACGGAGGGTTTTGGGGCCCTGGTGGAACGTGCTCCGCGCAGGTTTTGAAACCCTCTCTAAATGCAGTATTGCGACCTGGCAAGGCAAGGGCAAAGGGCGATGGCAAAGCGATGGCAAGGGGCTAAAGTTGATGGTTTTGGGGTGGGGCCCTGGTGGAACGTGCTTCGCGCAGGTTTTGAAATCCTCTAAATGCAGAATTTCGACCTGGCAAGGCAGGGGCAAAGGGCGAAAGGTGCACAGGAGGGTTTCGTGTCCTAGTGAAACGTGCCTGGCGCAGGTTATATTCGATCTGGCAAAGCGCTGGCAAAGGGCTAAAGCTGCACGGAGGGTTTTGGGGCCCTGGTGGAACGTGCTTCGCGCAGGTTTTGAAACCCTCTAAATGCAGTATTTCGACCTGGCAAGGCAAGGGCTAAGGGCGATGGCAAAGCGCTGGCAAGGGGGTAAAGGCGCTGGCAAAGGGCTAAAGTTGATGGTTTTGGGGCCCTGGTGGAACGTGCTTCGCGCAGGTTTTGAAACCCTCTCTAAATGCAGTATTTCGACCTTGCAAAACAACAGCAAAAAGGGCGATGGCAACACTGGCAAGGAGCTAAAGCTGCACGGAAGGGTTTGGGGCCCTGGTGGAACGTGCTTCGCGCAGGTTTTGAAACCCTCTATTTCGACCTGGCAAGGCAGGGGCAAAGTGCGAAAGGTGCACAGGAGGGTTTCGTGTCCTAGTGAAACGTGCCTGGCGCAGGTGTGGAAACCCGTCTAAATGCAATATTCGACTTGGCAAAGCGCTCGCAAAGGGCTAAAGCTGCACGGAGGGTTTTGGGGCCCTGGTGGAACGTGCTTCGCGCAGCTTTTGAAACCCTCTCTAAATGCAGTATTGCGACCTGGCAAGGCAAGGGCAAAGGGCAATGGCAAAGCGCTGGCAAGGGGCTAAAGTTGATGGTTTTGGGGTGGGGCCCTGGTGGAACGTGCTTCGCGCAGGTTTTGAAATCCTCTAAATGCAGAATTTCGACTTGGCAAGGCAGGGGCAAAGGGCGAAAGGTGCACAGGAGGGTTTCGTGTCCTAGTGAAACGTGCCTTGGTGGAGGTGTGGAAACCGTCTAAATGCAATATTCGACCTGGCAAAGCGCTGGCGAAGGGCTAAAGCTGCACGGAGGGTCATAGGGCCCTGGTGGAACGTGCTTCGCCGAGGTTTTGAAACCCTCTAAATGCAGTATTTCGACCTGGCAAGGCAAGGGCAAAGGGCGATGGCAAAGCGCTGGCAAGGGTCTAAAGCTGCACGGAAGGGTTTGGGGCCCTGGTGGAACGTGCTTCGCGCAGGTTTTGAAACCTTCTAAATGCAGAATTTTTACCTGGCAAGGCAGGGGCAAAGGGCGAAAGGTGCACAGGAGGGTTTCGTGTCCTAGTGAAACATGCCTTGGCACAGGTGTGGAAACCGTCTAAATGCAATATTCGATCTGGCAAAGCGCTGGCAAAGGGCTAAAGCTGCACGGAGGGTTTTGGGGCCCTGGTGGAACGTGCTTCGCGCAGGTTTTGAAACCCTCTAAATGCAGAATTTCGACCTGGCAAGGCAAGGGCTAAGGGCGATGGCAAAGCGCTGGCAAGGGGCCAAAGCTGCACGGAGGGTTTTGGGGCCCTGGTGGAACGTGCTTCGCGCAGGTTTTGAAACCCTCTAAATGCAGAATTTCGACCTGGCAAGGCAGGGGCAAAGGGCGAAAGGTGCACAGGAGGGTTTCGTGTCCTAGTGAAACGTGCCTGGCGCAGGTTATATTCGATCTGGCAAAGCGCTGGCAAAGGGCTAAAGCTGCACGGAGGGTTTTGGGGCCCTGGTGGAACGTGCTTCGCGCAGGTTTTGAAACCCTCTAAATGCAGTATTTCGACCTGGCAAGGCAAGGGCTAAGGGCGATGGCAAAGCGCTGGCAAGGGGGTAAAGGCGCTGGCAAAGGGCTAAGTTGATGGTTTTGGGGCCCTGGTGGAACGTGCTACGTGCAGGTTTTGAAACCCTCTCTAAATGCAGCATTTCGACCTTGCAAAACAACGGCAAAAAGGGCTTTTGAAACCCTCTAAATGCAGAATTTCGACCTGGCAAGGCAGGGGCAAAGTGCGAAAGGTGCAGCACAGGAGGGTTTCGTGTCCTAGTGAAACGTGCCTGGCGCAGGTGTGGAAACCCGTCTAAATGCAATATTCGACTTGGCAAAGCGCTGGCAAGGGGCTAAAGCTGCACGGAGGGTTTTGGGGCCCTGGTGGAACGTGCTTCGCGCAGGTTTTGAAACCCTCTCTAAATGCAGTATTGCGACCTGGCAAGGCAAGGGCAAAGGGCGATGGCAAAGCGATGGCAAGGGGCTAAAGTTGATGGTTTTGGGGTGGGGCCCTGGTGGAACGTGCTTCGCGCAGGTTTTGAAATCCTCTAAATGCAGAATTTCGACCTGGCAAGGCAGGGGCAAAGGGCGAAAGGTGCACAGGAGGGTTTCGTGTCCTAGGGTGGAAAGCGTCGAAATGCAAGATACGACCTGGCAAAGCGCTGGCAAAGGCTAAAGCTGCACGGAAGGGTTTGGGGCCCTGGTGGAACGTGCTTCGCGCAGGTTTTGAAACCTTCTAACTGCACAATTATTTCGACCTGGCAAGGCGCTGGCAATGGGCTGCAGAGGGGTGCTTCGCGCTGCGCGGGATGGTTTCGTGACAGACGTGGACAGGAGAAAGGGCATGAGGCGACAGACACAGCCAGGAAGATGGCCGTGGCTGATGCTGCACACCTGCGGTGATCCCAGGCGCCGCCCCGCCTACGCCAAGGCTAGGCAGGGGGCGGCGGATATTAAGGTTTTTAATTTAGTATTAGGGGGAAGCTTCGAAATCCAATTTTTGGCAATATTTTAATTGCGTTTCTTTTAAGAAATTTAATTGATTTTGAGATCGGAAAAAATAGTTTTTATTATAGGGGGTTTAGTATTAGGGAGCAGGGATTAAATAACTACGTAATATATATATATATATATATAGCATACAAGCGGCATCAGTTTCTGATAGTCGTTTCTGTACTCGAACATTTCGGATGCTGAGCAAGATAGGAAGAAAGGAAGGAAGGAGGAAACAGAAGGTGAGCACATTGCAGTTGCTCCTTGATCTGCTGTGGCAACTGATGTCAACCACAGCGGCCCCAGGACGCTCGATTTCACTTCACCATTTGCGCACCACCAGGGAGTGGCTGCGTGCGACACCAGTTGCGTGTGAAATTGGCGAAGCCCAGTGAGAGCGACTCGCAAGGGAATGCTTTGCCTGTGAGTTGGCAGTTTGCATTTGTTCCCTTGTCATTTCAAGTCCTCAGTGTCAGAGACTGGGTTGCATTTGAGAGAGGTTGATGTGACAAAGTGCGGGAAAGGTGAGGCGAAAGCTTGGAGGAACATGGCACATACAACCAGTTGTTTTTCTTGTAACGCGGCTGATTGTGCGACGATGGATTGATAGACCTCGCAGAAAGTTCCGCACCAACCTTTCATACCCTTCGCTTGCTTCTGAGTCTACTGAACCCTTTTATGTTTATCTGTAGCCAAAAAACGAGTGTTACACACCCACATATATATATATATATATAATATTATATAATATTATATGGAGAGTTTTACAATGTCTTTAAGTGGTTTCTCGCCCACTATCTACTCCCAGGGGAGCTCTGGTCCTGGCGCATCGTCCCTGTGGCGCCTACCGGGGACACCTGGCAGTCCGGGAATTTGCTGCGCCGCTGCCTGGACCCGGCGGTGGTGGTCCAGGGCCCGGGCCAGGAACTGCACGGCAGGGATTTCCACCTGCTGGAGCCGCATGGCACGGTGCTGCTGATCAACGTGGAACTGAAGGTTTTTGGGGATGGGCCGGAGGGTTCTGCATGGATGGCCTAAGAGAGGTTAGCATAAAATGTGGTTGGCCTATTTTTTCCGGAAGGAGGTGTGAATTGAACGTCGAGGAGTTGCACATTTTTGCTGCCTTACCTGCACCCAGTAAACTTAACTTGGAGTGTCTCACAGCGGAAGCACCTGCTGGTCCACCCTTGATGACTTGGTGCTTGCCCAGCTGTGCATTGAGCCCCGTGGGAGGCTCCAAATGGCAACCTGGAAGCCAGCATTTGGTACGAGAACTCCGAGGGTTCCGCCTGCCTCGTTGCGGACAAACGTCCAGCCACTCAGGAGACACTTGGGCCGCACTTTGGAGGCACCTGGAATGAAGGCATACCACAGAGAGCTTGGATAGCAAGTTAGGCATTCATGCTGCTCGAAATGCAATGGCGTCACATTTTTCAGCATTTTTCAACTAGGAACCTCTCCAATCCAGTTGAAGTCGCTCTGATTTTCCTGCTTTTGCGCCATCTTTTCCTGGGTATTTTAAGGGGCCATCTTCAAACCGAGGAGTGTCAAACGTTTTCACAACATTTTACTTGATTAATCTCTGTGTGATCAACAGTAATTAGGACGTTTCAACACCCATCCCATTCGGTTGGTCTCAAACGGTGTTTCTTTTCAACCCTGCATGGGATGATGAGACATGATGATACATGACGATCCCCAATGAATATCTTGTCTTCTGGATGGGTTGAAGCCCGTTGGAACCAAAACCAGGCCAGCTGGGTTGGATACAAATAATTAGGGTACCAATCCAGTTGATCATCACATTCGGCCATCAAAGTGCCATTTGGATGCAGACACATCCACGTATTAGTCTCATTTGCTAAAATATTTCCAATGAACATCCAAGTTATCTCCCATGATAGTTGGCACTGTTACCATTAGATTTGATTATATCCGACTGCCCCTATATCATCCTCATTACTGGTATATTCCAATCATATTCCAGAAAAATGCGGAGGAACATCTTGGCTGCCCTCCAGTGGTCCCGTGACCTCTCCATCGACGCGGCCCGGGCGCTGTGGGAGGAGGGGCTCAGGGCCCGATGCCCAGCGTGGTGGCGCAATTGGGCGCAGAGGGAACGGAGGTGCGGAGCAAAAGATTGCAGTGTTATAGCTGCTGTGCTTGCTTATTGTGCAATATTGTGCATGTGCTGGTGCCAATATTGGGTTTGCCATGTTTGCCGCATCGAGTGTTTCCAAAGATGTTGCCCACGAGCAATTGCCAGAAACACCCAATTTGCAGATGATGCCAGATTATGGCAGATGATTGTCGCCAACATTTTGCATCATGTCCTGATATTCATGAATACAATCTCCACCCCGAGGTGCGAAAAACGCGTGGCCTGGATGTCCAAGCATCTCCCCACATCGACCCATGGGCTACATGATGACGGGTCACCCACCCCCAGCACCTCCAAGACGACAAAGGACGAGGCGCTGCAGCTGCTGGATCAACTGACGGCAGCGCTGGAGAAACATCAGGCGCTGCTCAGCAGCTGCCGCCGAGAATCCACCGTGAAGCTGTCACTGACCGAAGATTTTCAGTTCATGCCGCCTAAGGCCATACAGCTAATCGGCACCCTGGTGGAGGAGGAGGTGGTGGCCCGGGGCCACGACCTGCAGGGCTTGTGGTCGGCCCTGGCACCACATTTGGCGACCGCTGAGCTGCGGGCGGCGCTGGGGCGGCTGCGCCGCAGCTTGGAAGGAGAGCCGGGAGCCAAGCCAAGGCGGCAGCGTCAGCTGGCCGTGCAGAGCCAAGGTGGACAGATTGCAGCCTGTGGCACCAAGCTGGTGGCCGGCATGCGGGTGATGTTGAGATGGAGACCTGGCAGCGTGGGTGCTACACATTTGGCGTATCTCAATGGACACGTTGGAATCTTGAATTCTTGGGATGGTGGCTCCCAGCGCTGGCAGGTGGGCTTTGAGTCCTTTGATGGTCATTTGGACGTGTCGGCTGAAAACCTCCAGCTGTGCAGTGAGAAACCTGAAGGCCATATGCAGAGGGAGGAACTGCAGTGTGAGATGTGCCTGGGTCATTTCTTGGAGGCGCAGCTCATGACTCTGCCCTGCCCTGATCACCATGGCTACTGTCAGACCTGCTTGCGCAAGTGGGTGTTGACTCAGCTGGTGCCTCGTTGCTACAAATGTTTGGACGAACTTGGTGTCTTGACTTTACCACAGGGAGCCACCGAACCTTGGTGCGGAGTCGTCACAGGAGAGGCCGAGGCCAGTTCAGCATATCGAATCAGCAAGGAGGACGTGGAACAGCTGCAGTGCATTTGTTGTTTCCAGGTCTCCTGTGGCGCCCGCTGCGTCATCATCGGCTATCCGGGCTTGGTGGGAGAACGCTGCACAGTGGGACGAGTGGAAAAGACGAAGACCAGTTCCTTCGCCGTGGTCTATTTGTCCAATGGATGTCGCAAGGAGCTGGATTTGGGGTGTTTGGTAGTGGATGATTGCCTTTCATCAGGGCGCCAAGCCAGGGGTGAGGCATGCCCCTCCAAGACCGAACGCCTGGGCTTGGGGTTGAGCGTGGCGAGCTTGGGCTGTGCCTGTGTGGTGAAACAAGCCATGGACGAGATGTTTGTGGAACAGCTGGCTATGCCGTTTGACTGGCGGCTGGGCTGATGTATGACATTTGATAATATCTTGGCCTAGTCTTAGCTATAATATTTCCACACGCTATCATACGCTATATTCATATTTCCTACAGTTGATGAGAGGTTGAAAGAAAGAAATCTCGCAGATTCTGACAAGAACTAGCTAGGGGAATTTGGTCCACTCGACCACTTCACGACTTGAAGGATCATTGGAATCCACCCACCATATGGGCCCCCAAAATGCAGAGAGAGAGAGAGAGAGTACTAAACAAAGAGAACAACGTTGACAACGAGCTTCTGGCGGGTATATTATCATACTTAGGGGAGAGGGATGGAGAGGGATTTGTCAAATTAGTCCTGATACTCAGGTTGGTGTCCCGGGTGGAGGGCCTCATCTACTTCTTGCGGCATGGCTTTCGTGACTTCAGCCACTATGATGACGTTAAGGCTGGGGGTCGTTCACCTGCGATGCGCATGGCCACCTGAGGCACATATCCCATCCTCAACAAAACTCTTAAACATTCTTAACTATCTTAAACCACTACCAACATTTGCCCCAAATTCCCATCTTTCCATAATTTCCATACCTTTCCCACATTTTCCATCAATTTCCATCATTTTCCCAACATCTCTCAGGTGGTGGGTGAGCACGGCTACACCTCCTACCGCTCCGCCTACCATGCCTTCCCGCACCACGACCTCTCCGCCAGCGGCGCCAAGGACGCTTTCGCCCGCCGAGGCGCGCGGCTGCTGGAGCTCATTCGCGCGGGGCGCGAGGGCGGCTCGCGGCCGCTGCTGCTGATCCGCGTCTGCGCCAGGTCGGAGGAACTGGAGCAGAGTGAGGAACTTTATCATCTGCTGAAATTGATGGGAAACTTGGAGAGAAAAACTTCAATAATTTATGATATTCTATAGTCTATATTCTATATATTCTATTTGTTAGACAAGAATGCTGAAATTGATGGGACACTCGGACCAATTGGGTTTGGGATGAGATGCTTTTGGGTTAGATGATTTGATGATATTTTTTCAAGTTGGGTGGGGGGGAAATGGAGGGTACTGTAATTCAGAGTTTCCTTTTGCCTTGATCCTTTTTGGATGTTAACGTGATATTTTTGGTGGCAAAAAACTAAGGAGGACAAAAGCTGTTTCTGCTGGTGGTGATCACTGAGCAGGTCCAGTACCTGGGAGCTGTTCAGCATATCAAGCATAGCAACTTGATCCTCTACGTGTGCAAGCCAGGCCAGGGTGCAAAAACGAGACCACCATAGACCACCACCATTGGTCAACGTTGGTCACAGCGATCGAGGTTTAGTGTTGGCTGTATACAGTAGGAATTCTGGATGCTGATCCCATTTCTCCAACAAACACCATCTCAAAAAAGCGGGAACATCGACGGTGTTTGTGAATTTTCTAAAAATTACCCGATCTCCCGTCCCCTCGATTTTTATGGTACACGCCACGTTTTTTTGCTTTTCGTTTTGTTGGTGTCTTGTTTTCGTGAGTGACTGGTCGCTATGGTCTTATGCATGTTTATGTATGTCCGCGCAGTTCTTCGTGACTAGACAGCGGCTGAAGACTTCGAAAATGACCAACCAAAAATCTCCCACATCGCTCTCTTCACCTTCTGTCATTCTGACATCAGTGGTGTCTCCTTCTAGGACCACTCCACGGTTTTGCTGGCGCACTACATTCATGTATCGCTGCATTCCCATGGTTGTAGAAGCAACAAGGTTTGCCCGTTCCATTTCCATCGCAAAAAGGCTCTGGCGTCCATCTGCATGAAGAGCTCGGAATTGGCTGCAGCCACCCATGTTGACTAAACCCCTGTGAATATTTTCCACGCTATCAGAAACCATCTCAATCTCGCCCCGCAGCTCATCACGCGCGCTTCTCATTGTTTGGACCCCCCTCTGCAACTGCGTCACATCTTGTTGGTCCACTAATGGCTCCATGATTGTAATGTCAGCATACAGAGGTTCAAAGCTTTCGAAGGCATCGCGGCATTACTCGCTTTCTTGCAAACTTTGACAAGAAAACGAAAGAGACAGAGACGTGCAGTATCATGCAGTAGTGCACATGGAGATGAACATCCATGAAAAATCATCGCTTTGCAGACTTACCGTATTAATTGATCCGAACATGTAAAATATGTAAAAACCATCCCATCCCAGGCTGCTCGGACCTGGTGGACGCGGTGCGCTTCGGCATGGACTACGTCTACGCCGCGGTGTCCTTCGGACGTCACGCCGTGGAGGACGCGGCCGGCAGGGTGAGCCCGGCGTCGCCGGTGCCGGAGGCGCAAACCTTGAGGCAGATGCTGAGAGCGCACAGGCGCTAGGGGTGTTAACATGTGTTAACTGTTAACTATGGTAATACTATGGTGAACTTGGGCTCGGCTTCAAAACTTGACTTCACTTGGGTTCATGTAGGTTTTAACATGTTTTAAGGTCAAGGCATCATGAACATAGGATGAAATATGGTGAATGAAATAGGCTTTGAACATATCAGGAATTGAAATTAAACATAGACATAGTGGTTTAGCAGTTTAACTTAATTAACTTAACGTGGGTTAATTTAGAAAAGCAGGATTACTATATATGGGATTTTGCTATGGAAAATGGGGGATTTACTGATCAAAGATTCGGATTTTACCCGCACAAAATAGCGCCTTGTATTGCTGCATGACTTCAACCAATCTCATCACAGACCCTAGCCACCCTAGCTGGTGGCTTCCTTTTCTGTTCCGTTTTCTTCGATTTCATTTCATCCATCGGGATGATCACCAGCGACATCCATATTTTTCAAATGGATTGACACCACTCAGCAGGGGGTTTTCCAGGCATTGGCTGACTCGAGATCGGAGAGGCTTATCTCCGACCTCCGACATCGATGGCTGCTTTGAGAATGGTCCTGGAGCTTTTTTCCCGGGCCGCTTCAAGGGGTCCCTTGGCAAGAGAATACTTGGAGGTTAATAAGCCTGGTTAAGTCCTTACATAGTCCCCTAAGTGGAGTTATCCCATTCAAAACTGGGCTATAATATGCTATAATGTGGTTATAGCTTATAAACTTGCCCTACTTCCAACCTTAGTAATTCCTTGGGAGGATCCTCGAAGTGGGATGTTGATTCACCGTTCATCCAGGATGGTGACTGGAAGTGCTACTGGCATGTGCCCGACTGAAAGTGCTGCGCAAAGTTCGAATCCGGGTCTCCTTGTACCTGGTCCCCATCCATGCAGGGCATCCAAAATCTTTATATACAAGGTGGTGCCCCCCAGTTATAAGTTGGTTTATAAACCATAGTAAGTATAGATATATCTACCATAAACCCTAGTTATTGGAGTTATAAACCAACTTAGCTAACTATGGGGCACCACCTTGTAGAATAGAAGATCTGAATAGATCTGATCTATGCGATCCCCAGCGATGCGCACCCATCCCAGTCAGGTCTGAAGCTTCTCCTTACTATTCACAGCAGCTCGAAAAGCTTGTGCTTTCGGCTTCCGCCAGCGATGTCATGGACTTTCTCACTGCCAGGACCAGGGGCGCAGCAACTGCAGGAAATGCTTCCAACCCACCAGTTTAATGGGTTGTTATGGTAACCCCAGGTCTTTACTTCTCCAAAAACTGATTCTATAGTTCTATAAGATGGCCATGTATATTCTAGTTATATATGTTATATTCAACCAGACATTGATGGAAAGAAGTTTATCGAAGTATCAAACCTTTGGGGATAATCCACCAACTCACCAAGCCTCCAAACAAGAGCTGCCCAAATATCAGGGGCGGATGAAAAGACCATCAGACTGTGGAAAGAGGGTTTTTGGAGGGGTTTCACGGGTGTTTCACCATTTTTTATACACGTCTATTCACGTATTTTCACACGATTCCATTTTTTCACATTTTTTTTGTTTATAGATCTTTTTGTCAGAATCCTTAAGATACAAGGAAAGTGGCAGCAGCCATAATGTACCAAGTGATGGAGTTAGAGTTGCAAATTAGTCCAGTGCATGTGACGAAAACATCTAGGGGATTCAGTAGTTAGTAGTCAGGAATTAGTGAAGGCATCTAGAGCTATTATAATCATCAAAAATACTAAGCAGCTTCCAACACACCAGTTTAACCGGTTCGTTACTAACCACCCAGTTTAACGGGTTCGAGGAAGCCTAGGGATATATTATCAACATCCATAATTTATATCTAAATCTATCTCTATGCATGTGTACATATAAAATGTATATATATATATATAAATGTATATATATATAAATGTATATATATATATATATATTTAAATGTACATATATATATATAAATGTATATATATGTATATATTTATAAATGCAAATATATATATATATATTTCAATGTATATATATATATCTCTCTCTCTCTCTCTCTCCCTCTCTCTCTGTGAGTGTGCGTGTTACTCTTATGCAAAACCCTCCTATTCTTCGCATCTTCCAGGCCCGATGCCGTGGACGTCAACGCCTGGCGCGGCAACGGCGAGACGGTGCTCTTCGTCGCGGCGCGCCAGGACGACGCCGCGGTGCTGGCGGCGCTGCTGCTGGCGGCGGCGGACCCCAACTGCCGCGCCAGGGATGGGCGCCGGGCCCTGCAACACGGCGAGAACCGGGCCGTGAAGGTGCCATGGCGATGGCATATGGTGGGAAAGGTGTAAAAAATTGTTAAAGTATGTTAAAGTCATGGCTATGTGTTGGAAGGCCGAATGTTTTTGATAATTTTGTGGCCGAGGTCATGGACTTGAACATCAGAATCGTTTGTGTTATTTGTGTTTGTAGTGTAATTTTAACATATTTTAACCTTTAATTTTCTCGTCCATTCCTGATGTTTCTGAGCTGCAGTTGGGACACGTTGGACTTCCTCCGCACTGTCTTGAAAGCACCTTGGCCGCCCTGGCCGGACACTGCCAGGCGCTACTTCGCAGTGCTGCCGGTGACAGCATCCGCATGACCGAAACCGTGGAAGCTCTGGAGGCGGTGCCGGAACCGCTGCGGCGGCAGCTCTGTGGGCTGCTGGGGCTCTTTACGGCACCAGAGCTCTGGGCGCCGGGAACAGCAGGAGATGATGGGCCGTGGGGGAGAGCTGGTGCAAGGTGCCAGGGTTAGGTTCGGCTTTCTGGCCATGCCACAAGAGAAGCTGCAGAGGGAGAGTCCCTCATTCCAATTTGTCTGATTTCAGGCCCATCCCTAGTTATGTTTTTTTTTTGTTTATGCATCTGCATATCCCATTTGGGCATATATATATAAAAATAAGAACTTCACTGACCGAGGTCCCAAATCATCCGACATTTCAGGTGCAAGGCTTCTCCTCAGATGTCTTCCAGATGGGACATGAGTGGGGTATTGAAAATCATTGATTCATGAGCATGGGAAACAGATGGAAACAGTATTCCCATTATAACAGCCTTTTTTTGGTGACTTGCAAGATTTTTGGCGACTCCAAAAGAATGTCACTGTGCCGGAAATGACCATTTCAGACTGGTGAATTCTATCATCATCGTTCATCCAGATGAACCTAGGAATGTCAACTTGCCAACGAACAATCCATAAAACGTCCATGCTTTTTATTGGTGAAATTTCAACAGCGATGTGATCTGAATGGGGCCCGGATATAAGTATACACCGTCAACAAACATGGGACATCCAAAGATGGGACATCCCCTTCAGAAAAAGCGTCTCATCCACCCACACCTCGAGTTATCAATGAACAACCGATTGATATAACAAACTTATCAGAAACACATAGCAATGAACCAAAATCAATCAAATCAGGTTGGGGATATCAACCTCCCGATTTTGCACCTTGTTCAAGCGCTAGCTAAACAGGGGCACTTTCCGGGAAGCATTGCTTGATAATCGCTGAGGATGACTCACAGGGAGGAACCAGCAGCGGTCCCAATATTGATCACACTACGATGTTAACACCCCCTGGTTACTACCCACCTAGAAGCTACAGTACTAATCGAGTTGCTCATGTAAACCATATATAACCATATAACCAACTGATCTTAAGAACCCGTATCAAGCACCTTGCCTGCAATTCTTATCAATAAATATCAATAACAACATTCACTAACTATTAGTTGAAACCTAAATCAAAATATTGTTCCAAGTTATAGAACCATTACTATTTATATATGACCTTCTATCCCTTGACAGATGGAAGAATCAGAGCTGGCTCGCAGCCTTTTCGGGTCAAGTGAATGGTATCTTGGGCCTTGGTGGACGCAGTCAGGGAGCTGCGTTTCTGGTCTACCGCGTCCACGAGCAGTTGTCCCTGGGGAGTGATCATTTTGTGCGGGGTGATCCTTAGCTGCTGTTGTTGTGGCATTGGTTTCATTTTGGGATCCATTGTGTTTTCTTCACCAATCCGCAAATTCCTGTGTCAAGTGCTACAACTGGTTTGTGCCTCCTGGACTGGGAATACTTTTGGCCTGGATCACCGCGGCCGCATTGCTGAGTATCGTCGAGCCTAGTGCATGTCATCCGAGGCAGTGGAGTCAATCACTGTTAGGTTGGCCGGACTGGAATTGACAATCACAGCAAGACCGATCACATCTGGACCTTCAGTCTCATACTCCGTATCTGCTGAAGCACCCAGGGTTCAATTTGAAGTGGATCACAGGTTGCAGGACTCTGCAATTGCTGCATCAACTGCTCGGGCGTGTGAGGCCCTCAATATTCCATTTTTGGGACATTTGGCACCTCGGCTTCGTGACTCGCCAGTAGGTGCTGAGTGGACTGCCCAAGCCCGTATCGGGCGTGCGTTCAGGGCCGGTGTGGTGGCTCGAAGGCAACTGGCAGGTGAGATTCAGTCGGGCGCCAGCCCATCCATCCCCCAGAGGAACACCGTTTACGTTGTTCTTCGTGATCGCACTGGTGGGCGCCCTTTTTGGGGCCATCAATATCATCTCTTCATCGCTGCTGTTCAAGATCATTCCAAACGTGGTTTTCATCAGAACGCAGTCTGCCACGCTTTCCCCAGCCAGGCTGAGGCAGAGGCATACGTGGCAGGTGCTGGGGAACCATGGCCTCAGCGCAAGGAAGAGTGAGGACGCCCTTGACGGGCGACGGAATCCTACAGCTTCGGGCCGATGCGTCAGGGGCTTTAGTGGTTCCAGCAGTGCATGTTCCAATTCAAGGCGCGCAGCCGCCGGATCACAATCTGTTTTTGGCTGGCATTGCATCAGTGCGGGAGAATGGCTTCATGTTAGTCATACCAGTTGCCGAGCTTGTCCATCAGGCTGTGGTAGATCTAGAACCCGAAGGTGGCACCGAAGGTGGTCCCATGTTCTATGGAGGGAAGATTGCGTTGCTGAATTCCAGGGGCAAAGCAGTAGGAGAATGCGATGCCGAGCTTGTCGATCTGCCTTGGGGTTTTGCAGCTTGTCTTTTCCCAGCCGTTCAGTTTCGTGGCGCTCAAGCACAGCAGTTCAAAGTGTTAGGCTTTGTGACCGAGGCCGGCTCTGCAGGCAAACCCTCTGCAGAGTCGGTGGCCGCACTTGCTGCCCAATGGGTCGAAGAAATGGATCCACAGACAGCCCAGGAGTATCTCAGTGCCGAAGAGGGCCAGCCCGTAGATCTGACCGATCCAGACATCATCAGCCAGCTTCAAGCTCGCATCATAGAACTGGAGTCGGAAGTGAAACGCAGCCAAACCACTGTTCCGCTGCTTCCCGGTCGCAGTGCAGGGGTTCCCAGCCAAGCTCCAAAAGCTGCAGGTTTGTTCCAAGGCGGGCCCACAAACCTGTCGACAGCAGATTGGAACAAACTCAAGACTCTCGCTGGGTCCCCACCGCCCAGGGTTGCATCGGCAGAGCAACGCCGACCGCCTCTTCCCCCAGCCATCCAAAGCCAGGAGTCTCTGTATGTGGACCTCGAGCGCGAGGCAGTGGAGGAGGACTTTGGCCAGCAGGTCGACCCTTTGAAACTGTTAGCTCAAGATCCCAATGCCGATCCGGTCCAGTCCATGCTTCTAGCCTCCTTGCAGCAGAATCAGATCCTCTTGCAGAAGTTGGTTGGAAACCGGACGAACGACCCGGTTCTGAAAGCTCTGGGCGGGGGAGGATCGGACAGCGCCTCCGCCGCCTCATCAAGCGGCGTGCGCGGTTGCCTGGCCAGGGATGTTTTCATCCGAGCGGTTCAAGACTTGCCAACGGTGGCAGCAGTGGTCCGTGCTTCAGCGATCAGGGAGCTAGGACTGAGCCCAGGCAAGGAAGACTCCAATCTGCTGAGGAAATACATGGAACGGAGGATTCCTTTGGCCGACCACAAGATGCTCAGCCACTTTGCCACCCTGGTGGCAGAAGGGTGGTCAATTGCTCATCAGAGCAACAATGTGGAGCTGATGGGCACTATGGGGCGGATGATGATGTATATAGAACAGACGGCATTGGACTCAGGCCGCACTCAACTCTCCTGGCTATTGACAGGACTGCAAGATCCGCCCTATCACCTTCTCGTGAACCACCGTCGGCGGCCTGGAATGGAACCATTCAGCCGATTGTGTGCCCCGAGCTGGATCAGCGCCAATTTGGCGTATGTGAAAGATCTGGACTATATCGAAGCTCGAATGCAAAACATGGGAAAACCATCCAAAGCAGCCATCCAAGCAGACGAGGAAGTTCAGCCTCGTGCCAAGCCAAAGTCCCGACCCAAAGGCAAGGGGAAGGGCAAGTCAAATCAGACTGGGCAGACCCAGGATGCCAACGATGCAGCCGAGTGACCTCTCAGCCCTGCAGTCATGGCCCCACGCACAGTAGTCCCAGCTCTAGTTCGTCGTCAGAGTTCCCTAGTTGTGCCTCCCATCAGCATAGCAGTTTTGATTTTGACGTCAAGCTTCCTGACTTAGCCTCCGAATCCTCTCGAGTTTTTAACTGCATTAATTTAGTTTTGCATATGTGTAGGGGCCTAAGATCCGCGCCCTGCGGCCTTGGGAATTTCATTCGTGAAAGCCTAACACTAAATAGTGCCTGTACTGTTGAAGAGGGTGATCACCGCTCTCTTTGGCCTGTCCCCCCCGTTAGGTGGCGATGGACAGCACCACGAAGCCTGAATCCTAAGAGGAGACGCCGTCACCGTCTTCTGAGGGCATGTCATGAGCTTTTGAACATAGTCTTATGCTGCCTGAATTGGGAGACGCTTGGGTTTCCTGCTCATACGTTGAGTCACGCCCAATTAGGGGCGCCAATCTCCAGCGCACAGCACGGTATCATTGAAAGGATCACTGATTCCTTGATGCACTATCTTCACATGGAAGATTTCACTGGTGATTTTCTTGCCCGGGCAAAGGAAAAGTTTTCAGGCATAATTCAGAACATCCAGGAACTGCCTTGGTGTAAGTCAAGGTTAGAGGACCTAACTCAATTAGCTGAGCATGTGCATTCCGGCCTTGATCCATACGGTAACAATTTGTCGTCGTATCAGGGTAGGACTGAACAGAATGATGAAGCCCAGAGTCATCAGTGTGAATTCGACTTTTGTCAGAGCAGTGTACGAAATCCAAATCCCACGAGTGCATTGCCTGTCGTTTCGGACCGTGTGAAGTGGAACTGTCCACCAAGCTTCGCAGCGTCCGAGTTTTTGGAAGACCCCCTGTTGAAAGCCGCATATGAGAACCCTGAAGTCATGAGGAAACCTCCTGACCTTTGGGAGAAGAAACGCATTGCCAAGGTCCACTGCTCTAGGCGCGAGTTTCTTAAGCTTGCAAGACGTTGGGATGACCTTCATGTATGTTGTCTCATTGATGCCAACTTGAAAAACATGGACGAAGCTGTCGGTTTGTTTTGTGTTCCAAAGGATTCAGAAAATGATCGGCTCATTGTGAACCCTCAAGTCATTAATGGTAGGATGTTTTCGTTAGCCTCCGCTACCAAAGAGCTTGCCCCAGGGTGCCTCCTTAGCATGCTGCATTTGAAACCTGATGACATGTTTAGGTTCAATGCTGATGATCTTTCAGATTATTACTATACCTTTAGAGTTAGCCATGATCGCGCCATTCGCAATGCATTTCGGATTGTGGTTAGATCTGATGAGGTTCGTGACTTTAAATGTTACAATCCATCTCTCGAAGGTAAGCCTATTTTGATCTGCTTGAAAACTATGGGCGATAATCTCGCCGTGGAAGTGGCACAGGCCGCTCACGCGTCAGTTCTCCGGACCCTGTGCGGCTCCATGAAACATGATGAAGTTTTGAAATATAGGTGGCCAGTTCCCCGAACTGATTTTATCGAATTGCTTGCCATTGATGATCATGTAGGTATTCAGCGGGTCCCCAGATGTATTTTCGATTCTCAGCCTAGGCTGCGTGACACCGAAGTTTTTGAGGAGGCTACCCAGGCCTATCAGAAAGTTGGTTTGGTTTTGCATGAGAAAAAGAAGAAACGAAACATGACCCAAGGGGTAATCCTGGGGGCTGACTTCGATGGCCTTGCCGGCCGAGTCATGGCGCCTAGACAGCGGATCCTTGTGTTGAGCATGATTTCCATTGCCATTGCGCACCGCGGCACGTGCACGCCAAAATTGCTGCAGATTGTTTTGGGGTGTTGGATTCATGTCTTGCTTTTCAGAAGGGCCCTTTTTGCTTTGATTGATGATCTTTTCAAACAGGGTCGTGGGTTGGCCAGTCATGCAGTTTTTTGCCTGAGCAACCAGGCACGGAATGAGTTGGTTCTCCTTGCTGCTTTAGGGCCCACAGCGCAGTCTGATTTGAGGGTGTCAAATGCAACCAGCATATATGCAACCGACGCCTCCCCCACATGGGGGGCGGTCTGCAAGGCACCGGTGTCAGAACACGTCACAGCAGAGTTGTGGAGACACAGCGAACAAAAGGGTTACTACACCCGGCTGCAAAACCCAGCCGCTGCTGTTTTAAACGAGTTAGACATGCCCTGTGAATCAGATGAGCAGTTTGCTCATGAGCCCTATAATTGTAGCCCTGTTCCTCCCCCTCAATATGTTCCCAAGCCCCTTAGTGAAGGTATCCTTTATGACTGCTGCGAGATCTTCCGAGGTTCCGGTAATTGGAGTACCGTGCACACTTCCAGGGGTTTGACATGCCATGATGGGTTCGATATTGATGGTAGGAGGCTTAGGTGCGGAGATCTTTCGAGCCATGCCGTTTTCCGTGAGCTGACCAGCTTAGCTGCAAGACGCGTCGTTCGCGAATGGCATGCAGGAGTGCCATGTGTGAGTTTTGGGACTTTGAGGAGGCCTCAGGTTAGGTCCATAGAGGTGCCCTATGGGTTCAATCCCAGCGATCCATTCACTGCATATCACAACATGTTGGCCCGCAGGTGTGCCATGATTTTGACTATTGCCGTGATGATGGGGCAGTTCATCAGCGTGGAGCAGCCGAGGAACTCCAGACTGTTTTTGCTGCACTGTTTCCAGACTCTTGTCCGGTTAGGGTGTGTTGTGTCCCATTTCGCTTTTTGCCGGTTTGGCAGTGCATTTCAAAAGGCTTCAAAGTGGTTGCATAACAAGCCGTGGCTGCTGAAATTTGAAGGTGCATGTCAATGCCCCCGTGAGCATGAGCACTTTGTGATCCGAGGGGTTTTCACCAAAGACCGCCTAGTCCAGTTTAAGTCCATGTGCCAACCTTCATGTTTGGAAGTCTACGGTCATGAACCCACCTTAGGATCCTCTGTTGCATCGTTCTCCTCAGCATATCCTATGCGCCTGGTTCATGGGATGGCCAGTGGTTCATTGGCAGCAAGGCAGGGGTCCTGCGATCAGATTCCAGTGTCAAAGAAGCTCCAGTCACTGCAAGAGGTAGGTTTGGTTGACGAAGACCTTAGTATCCCAGTTTCAACCGAAGCCAGTTTTCCTCTGCGTTCATGGTATGAAAATCCTGAGTGGCATTCTGAGCTTTGTGAATTCCTGAATTTTCGTGAGATGTTTAGGTATAAATTCAGACGACCTGGCCACATCAATGTTAATGAGCTTCGTACTTATAAATCCTGGTTGAAAGCAGTCGCCAAGAGCCATCCTGATTCCCGTTTTGTAGGCTTACTCGACAGTAGGGTCACAATCGGTGCTACAACTAAGGGTCGCTCTAGCTCGTATGCTCTTAGTCGGGTTCTAAAAGGGTGCATTGCTTATATCATTGGTGGTGGGTTATATCCTGGTTTGCTTCATATCTATTCCAAAGAAAATCGTGCTGATGACCCCACGAGATATCGCTCAGTGCGACCGCCCAGCCGGCCCACTCCAAGCTGGTTTGAGGCGCTGTCTCGTGGCGACCCAAGTGGCTTCGATCGAGTGGCTGCTTCTGCAAAGTTCGAGAAAAATCCTGCAAGATGGTTACGTTTTTTGCTGATGGTTTGTGGCGATATTGAGCCCAACCCAGGGCCATATCGTGGCCCTTTGGATTTGCGCATCGGTTTTGCGGCTGCAACTGCTGATAGGATGTCCAAGTGCTTGGAGAGCTTCCAAAAATGGTGTGAGAGTGAGTTGAAAATTCCATGGGCCACTTTGCGCTCCGACTCGGAGGCGGTAGTTTATGGTTTGCGGGCCTACGGCCTTTTCTGTTTTGAAACGGGCTTACCTCGGTATCAATTTGTGTATGCAATCACTGCTGTGCAAGATCAGCTGCCTCAATGCAGACCTTTGATGACCATGGCTTGGCAGATTGACAAGAAGTGGCAAATTTACGAACCTGGCATGTGTAGATCAGTATTGCCACCCAGTGTTATCAAAGCTGCCGTTTGCTTAGCAGTGTTGTGGCAGTGGCCTTGCTGGGCCGCCTTGGTTCTGCTTGGGTTTGCAGCAATGTTGCATCCATCCGAGATTATGGCCCTTCACCGTGGAGACTTAATTTTCCCAAGTGATATTAGTTTTGATACAGGCAGCCTGTATGTTCGAGTCCGAGACCCAAAAACCGCGCGGTTTGCCCGCAGGCAACATGGGCGGATTGACGATCCTGAAATCATTTTCTTTGCTGAGTCCATGTTTGGGAAATTGTTGCCTGGCTCCAAGCTATACACTGGCTCCATGACTCTGTTTCGAAAGCAGTGGAATTCAGTGATGCAGCGTTTGGGTGTACCGCACACTCAAGCTGAAAATGGTGCCACGCCTGGTGTCCTCCGCGGCAGCGGGGCTACATTTTTCTATCAACAGACAGGAGATTTGGCTTGGGTTGCTTGGAGGGGTCGTTGGTCCAGGACTCGAACCCTGGAATACTATCTCCAGGAGGTTGGGGCTTTTGTGTTGATTCATAATTTGGATTCTGTATCAAAAACTCGTATTTCGATTCTATCTCAATTTGCGTGGCCTGTGCTTCATTCTTTTCTGGATTTGCGATGCAGTACTGGGGGAGTCGGATAGCACTTTTGAATCTTGCATTTGGATTGAGATTGAGTTTGAGGATGAGCTGTGTTGTGGTGGCTGGAATTCCATCCTTTTTCACCAGCTGGCCAATAGCGCACAGCCCACGCGGGAAATCTTGAGTCTGCAGGCCAAAAGGGATGACCTTCTATCCCTTGACAGATGGAAGAATCAGAGCTGGCTCGCAGCCTTTTCGGGCCCATACCCACATACCACCCATTTTTTGGATAGCACTTTTGAATCTTGCATTTGGATTGAGATTGAGTTTGAGGATGAGCTGTGTTGTGGTGGCTGGAATTCCATCCTTTTTCACCAGCTGGCCAATAGCGCACAGCCCACGCGGGAAATCTTGAGTCTGCAGGCCAAAAGGGATTACTATTATTGTTATCATTGTTCTTAAGCTCATTATAGATATAAACTAATCATTGCCAACGAACTACCCTAGGGATCCACTAACACAAATCGATGTGGACATTTTTCCTTTTCCGTTCCCATGGCTTTTCCACCTTTTTTTGGATGTTTTTGCCCGTCACCAGGAGCGTCGTCTCCGGTGGCATCCTCGGCGCAGCTGCTGTGGTCCCCGCCGCTGGCGCAGCAGTTCAGCGCCTGCGGCGCTACGGAGGCGCTGCAGGTGCCGCAGCGCGGCGCGGGACGAGCGCTGGAGGACCAAACGAAACCACGGGAGAAACCATGGAGAAATCACTGAAACCACAGTCCAATACTGTAGTCCAAACCACTAGACTATATGTCCATATATGTCCATATATGTCCATATATGTCCATATTAATTTCCATATTAATTTCCATATATGTCCATTATAGTCACATAGTCCAACTGTTTTTTTTTTGCGGTTTCGCTTTGTGTTATGTTGGAAAATGGATTATAATCGTTTGTAAGCAACAAAGGAGTCATGTATGAAATTGGGGGATATGCCGCAACGGGGATATGATATGCAAGATTTTCTTATTAGCCACCTGGCGATGCACCCTCAAGTATCATGTCATATCTGAAACGAACATTGGGAGTTAAGAAACAAGAATGGGAGTAAACAAACAAACATGGGGATTGATCCCACCATATCCATATCCATATCAAATCATTTACTGTAATTACTAGTCTCACATCATATCATACCATACCATATCACCCGTCAGCCCTGGGGTTCTCCGAGTGCTTCTCGTTGTCCAGGTTGCGTTGACATCGTGGCTATGCTTTCGGGGGTCGGTGGGGGGGGTTTAGGGTGGGGGGTTTGGGGGGGTGTAATAACGTTCTGTCGCCTACGTTTCTTGACCTTTTTTTTGGTTACTCGTTAACACGCTCTTGATGCTACGCTGTAGAAGTTTTCTTGTACGGTTCATGACGCTCTTGATGCTACGCTGTAGAAGTTTTCTTGTATGCTTCATGACGCTCTTGATGCTACGCTGTAGAAGTCTCTTTGTACGGTTCATGACGCTCTTGATGCTACGCTGTAGAAGTTTTCTTGTACGCTTTATGACGCTCTTCATGCTACGCTGTAGAAGTCTTCTTGTACGGTTCATGACGCTCTTGATGCTACGCTGTAGAAGTTTTCTTGTACGCTTTTTGACGCTCTTGATGCTACGCTGTAGAAGTCTTCTTGTAGGCTTCATGACACTCTTGATGCTACGCTGTAGAAGGTTTCTTGTACGGTTCATGACGCTCTTGATGCTACACTGTAGAAGTTTTCTTGTATGCTTTATGACGCTCTTGATTCTACGCTGTAGAAGTCTTCTTGTACGCTTCATGACGCTCTTGATGCTACGCTGTAGAAGTCTTCTTGTACGCTTCATGACGCTCTTGATGCTACGCTGTAGAAGTCTTCTTGTACGCTTCACGACGCTCTTGATGCTATGCTTCGTCTTTACACCGTTGTCGACTGGCGAAACGAGGTTTTCCCCAGGAATATGTCACTCTGCTACGAAAGATGGTCAAAGATGGGGTGGCCAAAGAGAAGAAAAACTGTTTCATCTTAGCTGGAGGTGACCAGGTGGCAGAAAGTTTAGCTTCAGTGTCCAAAGATAAACTGCGTCGGATGAATCTTTTGCGCACCAGTGCTCGTGACAAGATTGAGCATCGCAACGTCCTCTATGCCCACTACTTGAACAAAGAGCCCGGGTTGGAGCGTGTTTTTCGAGCTCTGGCCTTGCACAGACAGAAGGCTTCAAGTAGGTTAGCCAATCCTACACAGTGTTTTCAAAAACCATTGTGGAACATGTGAAGACGCTAGAAGAAGAAAATAATGGGACTATCAATGCACCAAAATTAATTGGTATTCGCAGTTAATTTTGAACAACTCTTCATTTTGCATGGTACCCAGTGCCCACAGTACTTTGGACACATTGTGAACTTGGTGGCAGGAATGCAATCGACAAAATCGGCCACCCTTCCAATGTTTTTGCTTTGTGATAAGTGACAAAAACAATGATGAAAGCACATTCTCTGATTTCTAAAACGGATATTTTTGAAAAATGTCAGCGCGACACAAGAAGACTTACTGAAGATACTTGCTTCAGGGACAACACAAAAGCATTGGAAAAACCATACAAAATACACATTTCATAATGAAGGACTTCATTCAAGGCATGTGGGTCCCGCAGAACCTAAGGGCTCTGCCGCCATATGATATCATCAAATTACTGATGCCATATCATACGTATAATTATGTCATGTCATCTCTTTATACTGTTGTATGATATGTGATGTCATATCTCAAAATTGGGCGCGCCACAATCCGCACGCAAAACATAGGTCTTTTTTGCGTTTGGGTTGCAGGTCAGTTTCAACATCGGATACCGTGGAGATTGAGGGCCCCCCCCGGTCAGTTGGAACCATTGCCTCGTGCAGCCAGGAGCGACGGCAGATCTTTCGCCGACTTCTGCGCTCCTGGCATCCTGACAAGCATCATGCATCCAGGGATCAGAGCAAGGCCAATGAGACGCTTGGCAGCTTTCAAGTCTTCCTAGAGGTGGTGGAAAGATCTGGCAAGTGGATATGGAATGTATAGAGTATAGGGATCATTAGGAGTCATTCTCAATAAATTGCAGTGTTTTCTGCACTTCTGTGTTTCTTGATGTTGGGCCAGGATTTTTTGCTTCATCCAAAAGCTGCGCGACGTCTTTCTCCAAGAAGGCTCTACCTGAGCTTCCAGTGCTGGCCATCGCTGTGCCGTTGCTCAGCGATCGGCGGAACAGCCGGGCCCGGGTCCTGTGTGGGCACCGGGTCTCGGGCGGAGGAAAAAGAACGAGCCCGACCTGCAGGGTGGTGTGGAGACCCACTGAAATAGACATGGCAATTTCAAGTGAATATTTTTTGACAATACATTGACCATACTAATTATGTACTGATGATATAGTATAGCAAAGGGGTTTCAACCAGTTTCAATCACAGCATCACCTGTACTTTGCAGATGTACCCAGCCTGGTTCCAAGGACATCCAGCAAATCACAGAGGCGGGGCTTGTGTCATTTGGGCGACACACATCATATCACATCATTCCCTGCTTCAAAAAGTGTGGGATGGTCATATGTCATATTTCCTACTCCGATTTCATGGGATCCTACATAGCTTGAGATCTGAAACGATCTGAAGGACTTGTCATGGGATGTCTGACGAGATCTGACCGGGTCCCAATGGTCAGGCCTTTCGGCGCTTTGACAAGGATGGCTCAGGCGGGAGGTCTCCAGGTCCAGCTGCCAGGAATCAAAAATCGGAGTGGAAAGCCAACATTTCGTCACAGGACATGTGGAAAAGGTGGAAACCTATGGAAACCTCATAAACATTTGGAAAATCAACAAGTCGCAGCAGCTTCGAAGACCAATTTGTGGCCACGCATCCGCCAGGTTTCTTGGAAGCTGCCGAGTGCCGGCACATGTGTGCCTACTTGGGGCGGGGGCTCCTGGGAAAGATGCGAACACAGAGCGAGAGGTTCCTATTACCATGGTTACTAAATGGTTACTATGTTCCCTCCAACTGGATTATTTTACTCATTTGCTGCTGGATTCAATGGGGTCATAGCTGTAGTATGCTGTAGTTCCAAACCGAGTCCCACATCGTTAGTCCCGTTTGACTGCTGAAGCCACCGAAGAGAAGGAATCTATAATAATCTATATGCTTTTGGTAGGAGGGTATCACCAATTGTTTTTGGAGACGTGACCATGTGTCCTTTGCAAGTGCAGCCGCGCGTGCATTTTTGAACGCTTCCATTTCGTTGACTTCAGCTGAAGCAATTTCAATACTCTCATTTGGGATCACGCAAAGGCAAATGAACATGGCGTCGGAGTCGGAAACTCACATTTTTGACGGTATAGACCCCTATCATCTGTCATCCTCGGGGGTTAAATTGCCATGGATTCCTGGACAGTGCTGGACCAGCGCTTGCAGCTTAAGGTGGGGTTCCGAAGAATGGAGCCTTATGGATAAGGACAAGGACCTGTTCCGGCGGCCAATGGGGTTTTTTTCATGCCACTTGGTGATGCTGATCATGTCTTTGAGTGCCTCAGGGCTGTAGGGAAGCTACTGGTAGCTCGCCATTCTCTCCATGAATCTCCATTCTCAATCGCATTTTGGCTCAGGGGGGTGGGAGCTCCGCGAAAGCTGCGTGGCTTCGGGTGCTCTTCCATTTGATGGTTGTTTGCACAATTTTGCACATTCGTCTCATTCGTCTCGCCTCATTCGTCAATGGCATCGCTCATAAATTTTTTTCACCATCGCAACCGTCGCACCCCCCCCGGCACGTCGTACTTGACTTTTCCCCTTCCATCTTCCAGACTTGGGCATCATGGCAATGGCCCGAGTGCGGTTGGGAGTCCGTCTTGCTGCGCTAGGAGGTGGGGGCCATTCCACCATTCCGATGTGCTGTGGATGTTTTACTTGAAGGATGTCGGTTTGTGACGTCTGGAGGAAAGATATCGATATGAAGATTGACTTGAGGAATGGGAACCGCATACAGTACTGTCTGCGCATACATGTGTATTGGCAGGTAGGTATCGGCATGTATCGGTGTCAATTCAGGTATCAATGAATCAATATCAATATTGATATCCCTAAGCATTGATATCATTCGATATCGATCATTATATATATATATATATGTACACACACACACACATATATTTATATACATTATGTGTATACTGCGTATTTACACATAGTACACATAATACACATGATACACACGGTTTTATTTGGCACACATGCAGGAGACACGGAGGCACATTGCATATGCACACTGAGCTTGCCTTGCCTGGCAGCAGGTAGCGCGACCTTTTTGAACCGGCAGAAGCTCCATGGGAGTAGCTGTGAAACAGCAGAAGTGACGAGAATCTCCTACACTTCCACGATGTGACCTGGCGCAGCCATAGCCATGTGGTCCCACCTGTGGTCCCACCTGTGAGGGCGGTTGGGTTTACCTCACTTCCGACTGACCCTCGGGTGTCATCAAAACATGGCTTGCTGGACAGTCTCCCATTTAGTTCGATATGTTCGATGATTTTCCCAGCCAAAAACAGCATTTAATAGTGATTTCTAGAGATATTTCCCGTGGATTTTCCAGCTTGCCACCTTTGATTACCGGAAGGTATAAGTAGCCTATAATGTTATATATATAACTGGTTTGAACAACGGCTACTCACCCAGTTTCTCCACGTTCACATCATGAACCAATTGGACCTTTCGAAGGCGCGGGGACCCGCACGCGGCCCTCACGCAGATCCGGCAGATTGTGGAACAGTCCCTTGGATTCCGCAGCCCGCAGCAGTCAGAGGTGGAGAGTCTCCGCTTTTCTTTACAGCTAGGGTGAAGGAATCAAAATGGGTTGAAAGTTGTATGATCATCCCAATATGTTCATATATTTTCATGTTGGGTATAGTATAATACTTCCATATAATCTTCAACCAGCAGGGGTTGAACACAGAGCCTCTGTAGTTCTACTATACTGGTTGGTTTAGAGGCATTCCAGTAATGGATGATGATAATCCTTAGCATATTGGGTAGTACAATCCCATATAATCTTTAAGCAAGAGAGGGTGTTGAACACTGCTTCGAACGTGTTTCGAACAGCAGACATCAAAATTAAGAAAAAACAGGCACAAATCCAGGCTTTGAATGTCCCAAAGGTGGAGATTTTAGCAACGAGCCGTAACAAACCCAACTTTTTCTATAACACACACACATGGGGATTTAATAACCAGCCAAAATGAGGAAATCGGAATGCATGAAGTGAACCAACTGCCCATGGGTTTGGGCAAAAAATAGGAGTTCACCAGAGATTACGACCCCAGTCATGACGAGAAATATCGAATCCAATAACAATTATAAACAATGACGACTGATAACAACAGTAGCTCATGAACTTGTTAATGAAAATACATGAAATTATCATTAACTAACTAATTGGTGGTTTCATTTTTTTCATCTTCAACCCTATTTGGGATGAAATCAAAAGTAGGAGCAAGTCCCACCTCAGATAGGGTGTGAAAAAAGCACCACACAGCCGAAGCACTTTGTTCGGAGGTCACGGGGCAACTGGGTCAAAGGTTGGTTGATATACCATTAGAAGTTGATGAAGTTGTGATTTGATAAAGTATTCAAAGGGATTCAATGGATTTAAATGGGATATAAAACCAACTATGGTCAGAAATTGCATGATATGGTCATCCTACCATTCGTGTAGGGAATTGTAATGCCATTCATAATCCATACACCCATGATTACGATTACACATGTATACAAAGTAGAAAAATGTGTACGCAAGGAACCAAACCATGGCCATTTCCAGCGGGAAGACTCTCTAGGCTTACTTTGAGCTGGTTATTGCTGTCATATTTTGAAAGACCTGGATGCGATATTTGATATTTTACAATATGATCCCTTTTAAAATGGAATCACCCACCATTTCCCCATTTTTGCTTGGTAAAACTGTCCATGAATTGCTGAATCGCCAAGGTCGGCGGCATCCAATTTAAGTTCCCAAGTCTCCGGCCATATGTGCAACTCGGCGATATGGAAGGTTCACCCCAAGGGTAGAAGAAATTGCATGGAAAAAGTCGGGACTGTTTCACTTCCATTCTAACATTCTCTATCTATTATATAGTTTGCCAGAGGCACCCTGGTTGATTTTCTGGAGGCTTCCTTTTTTCATTTTCAAGATGTTTCAATATTGCAGGGCATGACTATGAGCCTGTGATGTGGCTTCACGACATTCACGACTAATATCACCTCCCCCCTCCTGGATGCTGGGCAGGCTACGATACGAAGCTGAAACAAGTATGGCAGGCCTGCCATGGTCCCCGTTTTCAAAGATGGACACGGATCAACAAGAAACAAACACATCATCAGGTTGATGAACACCTCAACCTTGGCATCATTGACCATTCGTTCCATCCATGTTTGGGTGTCTGGGATGCGAACTATCCGGGTGCGAGGACATGCCTTTTCGATTGAGCCATGGTGCAAAGCTGTAAAGGGTCTCCCCATGGAACCACGAATGCCAGAGCCGTAGTCGGTTTCGGAGCTGGTATCCCACCTAGGGCCATTTGGGTCTTGAACTTGGTGATGTCAGAACTGAACATCCAAGAAAATCCTCTTACCCAATTGGGTATGTCTGAAGACATTCAATCTTTATGCTTTGTCATCCTTTTCGCCATTCAGATCACTATTTGGATCCATTTTGGAAAAGCCAATTTTGTGTGTGTGTGTGGCATGGTCAAAACATAGTTTAGTCTCCCATCAATGAAGATGGTCATCCCCTTAATGAATATACCCATCAAAAGAAATCCCTAGTGGTGGTACCCCATGGCACCCATTAAGTATAGATATAACCCCCACAAACCCAAATGTGAAATTGAAGTCACCTGAACCAACTTTGCCGATTTAGGGCACTACCCTGTAATGATGCCGCCTCGGCTCTAGCAGGTGCTTGAAGGTACACCCGATGTCTGTCACCCAGCTCGGCCGCGCACACATGTCAATGGACGGCACATGGGACACCAACCTGACCACCCTTGTACGTGAACATAGGGACATATTATTATTTTAAAACATATGTAACCCCGTATAACTCCCAATCTTGGGTGCTTCCCAACTTTTTTCCTTCACCTTTGGGGTATTTAGGGGTTCAATCTCTGGAACCGCCCAGGCCGTTCGCCAACTCTGGGAGGGTATTTGTAAGGATCCACGGCACGTGGTGGACGAGGATACGGTGAACATCCAGCAGGTGCCGCGGTTCCCGGCGAAACACGGGGCGGAGAGACACTTTATGCGTAATCTATATACATATGCACAGACACACATCCATACAATTCCATACAATTCCATACATACATATGTAAATATATTTAGGTATATGTCTAACACACACACACATATTGATAGATATTGATATTACATAATGATGTGTCTCTCTCTCTCTATTTAATACATACATGCATATATATATGATATGTCGAAGTGATTGGTAAGGATCATTCTCAAATGAAATGAAGAAACTCTGGAAGATCCGGTCCCATGAGGGTTTCCCATGAGGTCGACCATCGAGCATATCCGGTGGGCTGGGGCATGCGGTGCACACGTTTTGAGCCAGGTGCCGGGAAGGGGCGGGAAGGGGCTGGAGGGCTGTGGACATTTGATGGACATTTGATGATTACAATATTATTACCATTGATTATTATGATCATGATCATGATTGATTTTATCATTACCATTTCGAGTATTATTGCTACAATTATTACTATCACTGGCGATGATGGTGATAATGGCGAAGTTTAGTATCATCACCCATCGCTCACAGAGCAGATGCACTTAGTGTTGTGGCCCAATCCTCCACCACAGATGTAGTTTTGGCGCAATGATGACGGAGCCGGATTGCAACAGCTTCCCATTTGTGCTCAAACTTTCTCAAGCTGGACCCATCCCATCAAATCATATCGAAGCCTCATTTTGACGGCCCATATCAATCGGGGAACCAGTGGTGTGCTCGGGGGTGCGCCCCTTGACACCTCCACATGTCAACTGGTCGGAGGCATGTCATCCAAATGCGAGGGCGACTGCGACAAGACCAACTTGATGCCTGGAGACCTTCATCCAGTTCTTGGGAGGGCATCCATATTCCCCATTAAATGGGGAATCAAGAAGCTACATCTGGAGTTTCCCAGATGATAGTCATGCATGTTGATTTCAGAACAACCAACCATGATGGCCAATATCATGAAATCAATATGAACACGATGCTACTTGAACTCCCTTCAGCCCCAGCATTTCCGCGGTTTTCCATGGCAGATTCTGTTCGACAGCGCCACGAAAAGTGAGGCAGTTGATGTACAAATCCGTCATGAAAGAGGAGGCCGTCCAGTCCAAAGGCGAGATGGTCAATGAGATCGTCCCCCGTGCGGTGGCGCCTTGTCCGAGCTGAAAATTTATGGGTCCATGGGTGCAGTGTTGAGATACACATCCACAACGGTGCACAATGGTGCACACATGCATACAGACATGCATGCATGCATATATGTGTACACACATGTATATATAAGGAACTTTCACAAAAGTTAGTGTTTTCAACACTTTTGGTGTTTTCGGTATGGGTTGGGATTATATGATTCTGATCGATGGCAAGAAGTTCTCAGGGGGCTGCATGTTCAAAGCTTTTGTGTTTTCAGTTTTGGCCGGGTGTTGCAGCAGCAGTGCGAAATATTTTGCGCATTTTGAATTTTATTGACAATTGTTCCAAACCTTACTAGGCCAAGAGAATGCTAGACTTCCAGTAGTCAGGGAATATAGCCACTTATTTAAGAATAAACTAAGCATAGTCAGTGTTTACCCTTGCGAAATTGCGAATTGTCCAAAAGTGACTATTAGGGGCACTTGGCTGCCATCAGTTAGCTTCTCCCATACGAAGGGCCACTAAAGGATTCCAAGGGTAAGCCATCGGGGTTTTCCACATTTTTTTCTGAGAAGGGGGCGGCGAGGAATTCCGGTTGTTTTGGGGGGCGGCGAGGAATTTCCAACAGGGGGGCGGCGAGGTATTCTGGTTGTTTCGGGGGCGGCGAGGAATTTCCAACAGGGGGGCGGCGAGGTATTCCTGTGTTTGGGGGGCGGCGAGGAATTTTCAACAGGGGGCGGCGAGGTATTCCTGTTGTTTGGGGGGCGGCGAGAAATTCCTAACAGGCGGGCGGCGAGGTATTCCGGTTTTTTGGAGGGCGGCGAGAAATTCCTTTCGGGGGGGTGGCGAGCTCTTCCTGGAAGAGCTCTCCACCCCTACCCCGTGTCAAGTTTGATTTTGGCCACGATTGACCAATCCCTCTCCACTTTGGGATGCCTGCTGTTGGTTGCAAAGCGGAGAGCTCTTCTTAGAAGAGCTCTCCACCTTCTCTTTCCAGCAGCATTGGTTGCTAATGTGCAAAGTTGGCTGGGATCACCGAAGCTAGGGATATTTGGTACTGGCTTTGAATGTTTTGAAGTACTGGTGGAGAGCTCTTCTAGGAAGAGCTCTCCACTTTGAGGACTAGATGATATTCCACAAAGTGGAGAGATATTTTTCCTACGATGTCATGATGTCTCACTTCAAGTCCTTATTCTGGACGGTGCCTTTTCAGCGTCACCCAGTTGGAGTAGACAGATGTAGTATATAATATCAAATTATGTGGGAAAGGGAGAGAAGATTCAAGCTTCAAAACAAGAAAGACATCAGGTTTAGCACCTTGGCAAGGTGGATTTTTTTTTAGGGCAAGGTGTTGAGGCCAAGAAGTGGTTGGTTGAAACCCCGCTGGAAAGGAAGAATGTCAGGATGAAAGCAAATTGAGTTTAGCAGCAGCGGCGGCGGCAGCAGCAGCAGGGGTTAGTGATCTAGTATTTGTGGAGGGAAAAGGACAATCAAATTACAGCACAAGAGTGTTTAAAATATTGAAAGATATTTAAAGTGGGTAACGTTCAACTGTCTTGTTGATAGAGGAGAGATGGTTCTTTTCGGACGGGAATAAAGCGACAGGAATGTGTTTGAATGTGCTTTATATTCTGCGTAGATAAGCCATGTCTCTGCGCTATTTCCCTTGAGTTGCTCAGTTTTCTGAAGTCTAAGTACAACTTACAACTGACACATGTTTAAAACTCAAAGCACACAACAGGTTATAGTTTCTGCAAAAGTATGAGCCCATTCGAACACTTTCGACGCCATCACACCTCTGGAACATTTGTCCCTGTTGCAGCTAAAAAGATAATGTTGCCGCATGCCCATGCGCTACAGGAATATCTGAAAACACCAAACATGTTGAAAACACTAACTTTTGTGGAAGTTCCTTAATATATATATATATCTAAATATTTATACGCATACATATGACACATATTGTGTATACAATATGCAATCCTCTGAGAAGCCCTGGCAAAAAATGTATATAAATGCAAATGTAAATGTATATGCGCTTGTACATGTTACATGTTACATGTACATGTATAAGTATATGTAGATGTAGATGTATATGTGTGTATGTGTATATGTACATGTATTACTATTTTGTATGTTAAGTTATATAGTTATTTTGTGCACACACCCCCTGATTTATGGACGTGCTGCCACCTCTGATAGACCATTGAGCGAGCAGGTGGGTTTCCCGACAAACATTCTCAACGACTGAGGAGAACAACAGCAAGAATGGAATCACTGGCTGGATGCTGTACAATGACAGGACTGGCCAAGAATCCAATGAGATTTGTAGCTGATTTCCTTTTTGGTGGTGGCTTGTTTTGGATCATTTGCAGCCCTGTGCATAGTTCAGTGCGCTGAATCCCAATTTTGTAGACGATGTTGTTCCTATTGAACATGGGTGCACGAAGCAGAGCCAAGTCACCAAACCACGATTGTCTAACAGAGATTATGCACATATTGACTTTATCTATTATATATGTAGTATGTATAATCACACATACAAACACAAACAACTTTTCAACTATAGATGGACACGCGTAGGCACACACACACACATGACCCAGACTGTGTTTGTACTAGTTTATACATTTGTATCTGTAAAGAGAGTGCAGTCATGTGCAGTCCATGAAATTTCAGGAGTAGCCCCGGTTTATCTCCAGGACGCTCGTGGTTTATCAAGTTTTGGAAGGGCCTCCCGAGAAGGTCGAAAGGCACTCAGCGCCCAGTTGGGATGTCGGAGGGCCAGGGTTTGAGATTTGGGTTTGACTGAAAATGGACTATCCCCCCACAATGCCTACAGTTGAGTGGGGAATAGACTAGACAAGCATTAAACATTGGGATGGATGAACAAGAAACAGCAAGCAGACCGGCTAGGCATATTTGTCAACACTCCGAGTTGCTAACATCCACGGTTACTAACCCCAACCACTGAAAAAATGGACCTTCGCTCTGCCCGCTCTCCAAGTACAGGCTCTGGGACCAGATCCGTAAGGATCGACGGCACTCGGTGCTAGAGGAGACCATCAGGTGGAAGATTTGCCGAGAAATGGAGGGAAAATTCATGGAATCATGTAGAAAATCATGGAATATATGTTATAGATGGGAAAGTATGGAAATGTATGGAATCTATTTTTGGAAATTTCTGGATAATACTTGAAATAATTTGAAGTATAGCATGCAACTCCCAGTCACAGATAGAAAAATGGAGACCTGGAAATTATGGAGGACATATCATCTACAACATCCTGGATCCACTTTTCCATCTCTTGGGACAGCCTAGCCTAGCCCTGCAGCGGTTCTCTGCACCTTGAAGCCCCAAGTTCTGACCTAGGCGCCGCTGCATCAAGACCCGTGAGTTTGAGAATTGGTTCATGGGCCTTGATGAAGTGGAACAAACTGCTTGGATGGCCCCGGACCCAGGGGGCTGGAAGCTGAGGGTTGGAGGGATTTTTGATCATAGCTGATGCTAATTGAAAGGCGAAAGGTCCAGAGGCATGTCTAGCTTTGGTCGCTTTTGTGTGGCGTTTGTTGTGTCACATTTTTTTGGAACCGTCCCCTCGGCACCCAAAATATGACGCCCTGGTTTCGCAGGCGCAAGCTTACTAGAGGCAGAGCTCAGTGCCTCGCAAATTCAGCAGTGCCTCGCACTCATTCTTTCGACTGCCATGTGGAGCCGCCATAAGCTTCTTGGGGCTCAGGTTTAGTCTCTGTTCAATCCTGTTTAATTTTTTTGAAGCTTTGAGCGGCAATGCGGTCCAGTTCTTCCCTTGTAAACAACCAGAATCATGCTCTCAAATATAGTCAGTCAGATGTCAGTCAGATGTCATACGGCTGTTTCAGTCCCTAAGCTCTTGGGTATCTTCTAGCCAATTTTCTGGAGTCAGCTTTGATGCTGAAATTTTCGACCCAAAAACATCTGGGATTGCTGGCCCAACGATTTTCCGCTGCGGAAATGACTTGCTGTACAAAATTTAACGGTTCTTCACAAAGGCGCCGTCCGAAGCGGCCGCGCGCCCTTTATGCGGGTCCCAACTTTCTGATGTCCTGGTGAACAGGGCCATTGGGAACCCGCCCCTGCTTGTTCCAAGAGATTGCTCAGCAAAAGTCCGAGCTGGGAGTGATGATCAAAGTCATAGATCTACTGGTGACAACTTGGCATGTCCAGACTGGCTGCAACAAAATCATGTTTCATTGGCCTCAGAAAGGGTCTATAGGGCCTATACTACACTGCGCGGAGGTTTTGTTTTGCAATGACCCCTGTCCAGACTGACCTGGTATCAAGCATCTACTTGCACAGGACAGCAAGATCTCGTTGTTGGAATTTCAGGCCCCGACTTGGTTGTTGCGGGGGCCGGGGTGTCTGAACGTGTCTGAACTATGTTTGTCCCTGGCACACCCGCACACTCACTCATGCAGTAATTACATAGGTCTCTAGTACTCTCCCTCTCCCGCTCACTCTCACTCTCTCTCTCTCTCTCTCTCTCTCCCTCCCTCCCTCTCTCCCTCTCCCTCTATACATGATATGCATGCCTAATTTCCAAGAGCCCATTACACGGCCTGATCCAGACAGCTATGATACCCATCCAACATATACATCTGACATCATCTGACCAATATCCTTTCGTAGTGCCAACCCTCACCACAATTTCGCGCAGAACTTTGTGGGGCGAATGGGTGGCATCAGACAGCTCTTTGAGCAGCGACGTCTGCGCATCTCTACGAGCAGCTTCGGTTGAAGACCTGGGGCTGGGGATGTGGTCGGCTCGGTCAACCCAGGGGGGTGTTGTCCCTGAAACCGTGATGATAGACATGGCACCCTTGATACCCCGCATATTCCGGGGTTGATCTTACATGCTTCCAGGCAATCCTAGACTTGGTTGAACGGAATATGTATATTGGAAGCCTCATATTTGGTTGGGAAATCCATGGTTTCCCCATTTAGTTCTTGAACCCCAGCCCATTGCACAGGTTGGGCCCACTGTGCGCCGTGCCCAGGCAGAAAAGATGTTTGTGACTACATCGGCATTGCCGAGGGTGCTCGCGTTCGAGTCAATGACCTTAGATGGCCAACCATGCCTAAGATATCCCAAGATGGGGTTTGTATGGAAATGGGGTGTGCTCCCTCCAGTTATGGGCATTGTAGGGGGATCCTATTTTCAGACACGCCATGACACACCCAAATGTATCCGAATTGCATCAAAGAGATTCAAACACGAGTCACGTTTTTTTGCGGCATAGCACTCTTCATACTGGCATTCATGGGTGGTTTTCTTTCGTGGTTTGCAATTCTGTGAGATCAGCATTTGGGTCTTAACTGGGATAATGTGTGTTTGGTTGTTTTTTTTCTTCACAAATATATAAAATACTATATTACTACAAACGCTGTGTCATTTGTTTCATTGTTTGTTTTTGGTACACTTTGGGACCACCCTGGGAATGAAATATGTACAGCATTTGGAAACATGTTCTGTCAAATTGACAATGTTTGCGTACTTATAGTTGACAGTTAACACAATCTCGGCACAAAGATTGAATAGCCTGAGCACGACTAAAGTGTGTTTGTTGGGGTATGTTGGCGTGTCCAAAACATACAGACATAAAAAATACAGACATACTTGTTGGCTCACCCCACTTGGTTTGTTCTAATCCGAGTCACATAGCAGGACCAAGCCTGCTTACCCTACTGACAACGGGGTTTCTAGTCCACTTTGATGGATGAGCCACCACGTATCACTGAAGGCCCACTACTACGTGCAGGGCCAGAAATCCCGCGGCTGGAGGGAAGCGCAGGTGTCGAGTAGTGAGTCGAACGGTCTCTGGGCGGTGGCGATTCAGGGGACCTCAATTTTCATAGGGGTACTCCAGAAACCCCAAAAAGATAGAAAAGGAACGCCCTAATTGCTAAGATACTAGTATAATGTAGTATATAATTAACTGTTTCTGTATCTTTTTATTTGGTACAATTTGATCATTTATTTTTTGTATGCACTGCACTGTGAGCCGTGTGATGATCCTCCCCGGTTTATCTCGTTGGATCTTTGGCTCCACAAGGCCATGAAAGCATCAGAAAGCTACTGGCTTTCCTGAGCAAAAACCATCGACCTGCAACAGGGTGCATATGATCCTTGACATTCCTTGACATAAGAAACTAGCTCATCATGGCTGTGCCTTTGTGACATGACTTGCCCTTTGGAAACCTTTCATGGTTGGCATATGTTTGGCATATTGTTCGATGGAGAAAAGCTCGGGCAAAACTAATGCTTTCTGGAAAAAATTGCCCAGACAAACATCCGGAAACTCATGTTACGCAACACCATCAAGCAACAATCAGCGCAGATGCAAGAAAAAATCCATTGAAACAAACCAGCCCTGGATCTCTGTTGCTGCGCCTTGAGCCATGGGCCATGGGCCATGGAGTCAGTGGGCTCGTTGAAATGGCCAAGGCGACTGGCAGAGGTGGTGAGACGTGGCAGGGCGGCCAACCTCAGAAATTGCTGGAGAGATCAGTTGACATTCAAAAGATGCTGTGGCGAAGGATCTTGGCGGGGTGGTTGCCGAGGGCGATGTTTTTCCTTGGGCGACACGGCTATTTTTTCGGGCTTGGCCGGCTTGGCACACTGACATGGGGATTTTAGTAGCAAGAGCGGGGATCAAGCCAACGATCAAATTCACTGATGCAAGGCATTGCAAGGCAACATGGGCAGGATCCCATGGTTTTTGACGGTCCAAATGTGATCCAAATGTGTATATCAGGTCGCATTCTTGGGATGTATCATGATGTGTCTCTAGACAAGCCGATGTAGATGGGCACTTGGTCATATTTTTATACTTGCTTGATGCTTCAGATTAAGTCGGTCAAAGCATCAACTGCTTCGAAAATTCCAGGCTCCGAGCCAAACAAATCACCATTTTTCACCATTTTTCCACAGGTACATCCAACTTCCAGCCGCCGGCGCGGTGCAGGAGCCGCCTCTACGTGCTTTGCGGCCGCAGAGCAGCAGATCTGCTGCAGCGGCAATCGTTCAAGCAGCTGGTGGGGGATGCCTGAGGCGGGATGATCTGTGGACCTAAGGGATTTCATTCATGATTCTCTCTGGTAAACTAACATAACTATAGAAAATCACCATTTTCAATGGGAAAATCCACTATAAATGGTAATTTTCAATAGCTATGTTAGTTTACCAGAAGGTATTTAATGGTCTATCGGTATGAATGATACGATGTGCGATGATTTTCTGGAAAAAACATATTAATGGGAAATTACATTGGGATTTACTGTAATGGGATGATTTATATAACTAATAGTGATATTGAATGGGTATATGAATGGGAGATGACTGGGATATGAATGGCAGATTGGTGCGATATTCATGAGCATTTTAATGGGACACTCTATTTAAATCAGAGATTTTCCAACAATTCGCGTTTCGTTACCGAAGGGGATTTTCCGGTTTTTAATGGTATGTCAATCGGCGATTACTGCGATATTTCTAGGAGATTGCTGGGATATGCATGGGATACCCTCTGGCAACCTAACAGTTTGCAAACTGGCACATGACCCGTTTAGAGATGATTTACCGTGATTTACCGCGATAAAACAAAATGATTTCATGTGATTTTCATAACAAGGTTAAATTGCCAGAGGTGATATATATATATATATATGTATATAATAAAAATAATTGTTATTATTGATATTAACTATTATTATTTGTCATTATTATTGTTATTATAACTAATATTATTATACCATTATATAATTGCTATAATTCCCTAGTTTCAACTTTTTGGTTAGTAATAATTCACCGAAAGGTTGGTGTTGGGATTCTTTGAGTTGAGGTCTTGAGTTTGGCTCACCTCATTCTCTTCCACATCAGTGAAGGGACAAGCTGCTTTGCTAGCCTCAGCTTGTCTGAGTCGAGCTGCTGTGGCGGACCCAAGGTGAAGGAATGTTGGGATGACTTGTTCTCTGCTGGACACTGCTGTGGACACACTTCAGTGATGGGAGTGGAAGCGGACCTGCAGCCCAGTGGTTGCTGGTTTGGGAAATTTACCCAGGAGTATTGCTGTGGCGACATTGACAAAGGGGAGGAGCAGGGTTCTCGGGTTCTTGGGTCTTCGCGCCACGACCACATCAATCCGGAGATGGCATAAAGGCAATGTATAGTAGTGTGGCAAGCCCAATAATAAACTTTGTTTTTTTTCCCGGGGATGGTTTTATCATTGGGATTCATTGAGTTTAACCACCTTAAATCCAGATTTTTTGAAGTTTTCGTAGCAGGACGGGAGGTTTCGTGGTTGTTGGGACTATCGCTTCACCTACGACAGCTGCTGCAGATCCTTGGATGCCTTAGCCCCGGAGAATCCATGGTCGCTTGGGAACCTCTCGGCACTCTACCGCGCACGTGTGCTGAAGAAGTGCGTGGCGGTGGATAGCATCCACCACTGCAAGCGGATGTGGCACAATGCCTTGCAGGAAACTGGGAAGAATGTGAAGGATGTATGAGGGGCATGACATTTGGACTATTTTGGACTTTTTAAGTTTAACATCATGGCTGCAACCCTGACGTTGCGCTGCGTCTGACTTCAGGTGGCTATGAAGATAAAGTTGGTGTTATTACCCCAATCAACTTACTCTTCATAGGGGGTGGCAAATTTTGATCCCTTATGAAGATAAAGTTGATGTTTCCCCAATCAACATACTGTTCATAGGGGGTGGCGAATTTTGATCCCTCGTGAAGATGGGGTTGATGTTATTACCCCAATCAACATACTGTTCACAGGGGTGGCAAATTTTGATCCCTGAAGATAAAGTTGATGTTATCGCCCCAACCAGCATATTGTTCATAGGGGGTGGCGAATTTTGATCCCTCGTGAAGATAAAGTTGATGTTATTACTTATTACCCCAATCAACATACTGTTCGTAGGGGGTGGCGAATTTTGATCCGTCATGAAGATAAAGTTGATGTTACCGCCCCAACAACCATATTGTTCATAGGGGGTGGCGAAGTTTGATCCCTCGCGGAGATAAAGTTGATGTTATTACCCCAATCAACATATTGTTCAGAGGGGCTGGCAAATTTTAATGTGATGGTGATGATGATGATGATGTTGTTGATGATGATGATGATGATGATGATGATGATGACTGTAAGTGTGGAGCAACGTCCGGGTTGGGGCGAACATCTTTAACACATTCCAACCCCTCTTTTGGCATCTGCAAATGTGGTATCCGAAAACTTCAGACGTCTAGCAGCATGGCAGGAGGTGCCATCTCTCACCCATGCGAATGTCCTGCGCCATGCGCGATCCATCGCCACGTCTTGGACTTTGGAGGACGCCTGGGACGACGTCCTGCGGATCAGCCCTGGCTTTGGTGCCAGCATCGCCCTGCATGGCTTAGCGGACATCCTGAAAAACTGGCTGGGAGGCAGGGAACATGATACGACCCAATCCAACTGAAAGTAAAGGAAAAGAACATAAAGGAACTGAAGCATACTGAAGCAAAGCAATGCAAAGAAGACATGTTTTCATCATGTTTTCCTTCAGCTCTTTTTGATTCTTCACCATAAAACATGCCTGTCTTGTTCAAACATCGCACTGGGGACATTTTTTTGACCTTGCTTTGTTATGTTGAACGGGGTATTCGATCATGTTCGATCCGAGACTTGGTTCGAGGCACTCATGTAAACTTTCACCTTTGCATTTAGGTCTGAAGGCTCATTGTATTTTGTGAGTTCTCCTCGAATCAACCCAATTTATTTATTTTTATTTTTAAATGTTATTTTGTTATTTTGGAGCAGGGTTTGCCTATTGTCATTTCAAGATGACACTGTAACCATCACATTCATCGTCCCATTCGGAACCACTGGTTCCGTGGTTCATCTTGGTTCCAGGAGTTCAAGTGGAAAATTGGGTCTTTGAGTACGCTGCCAACTTTTTGCGGCATTATCGCTCAGCGGTGGGCAGGATTCCACCGGAGGACTTGCGCACAGCTGGGGGCCTTCGGATCGCAGACTTGGATCAGGCATGTCCGGCATGTCCCAAAATTTCAATGCTACAATTGTCTCCAAAAGCTAACATGGTTTGGAGGATGAATTGACTTCCCATCACATCCCCCGTCTTCAGAAACTGCAGACAAGAATAGCCTCATCACAAATGGTGTTTCGCCAACCTTTCAGGTGTAAAACAATGGGCAGAAACCAATTGAACATCCAAGTAAACATCCCCCTGTTGTTTGTTTTTTCTTTTTGAAACGGAGAATTTCCATGAGTTTCTTGGACATGGCCATTGTTGGGCTCGTTCTTAGATATCGGGGTTCGCCTATGACAACCTGCATGGATATGGCCTGCCCTTCCCTGCGCCAGGCAGTTAGTCTCTTCATGAAGACCTCCTACGAAGTCTCTGCACAGGTGGCCCTACGTGAACGTTTCACCAACCGAGAAAAGGATGGCATACAGGAGCCGGGGTCAGTTCCGATTTTCTAAGATCATCGAAGATCTTTTGAGTGTCAAATATTCCCAACAAACGGGGGAAAGTGTGCCACTGAGAGCTTCAAAGTGCCATGGTGGCAACAATCAAATACAATTCGACGGCACTGGAAAAGGAACACAATGAACATATAACATATATGTTAAACCTGTTCAACCCGCAATATTGCAACATATTTTTGTTCCTAAAATTTAACGCGAGCAACTTCACAGATCTTGTCATTGTCATTGTCTTCCTCCCTGTTCCCAGGATCTGTTCGACCAATGCTGTCTCGAAGCCTTTGCACACGTGGTCTTGGTCCTGGAGCTGCTGCAGTTGGACCACGTGCCGTGTCAGGGCACCTTGATCGCGCTGCTGCGCTACTTGGCTTCAGCACATGCATCCAATTTGGAGGTTTTCGGATGATTGGGGGTACCCTCTGGTAAACTAACATAGCTATTGAAAATGGCCATTTATAGTGGATTTTCCCATTAAAAATGGTGATTTTCCATAGCTATGTTAAATTACCAGAGGGTACACCAAAATCATCCAAACTTGGTTTTGAGAAAAACCAAAGGTGAAACAGGTACCCATGTTTGAAGAACCCCCCCATTGGTGAACCCACCAGAAAGGGGAATCTACTGTAAATATAGACAAACGTATATTTTGATAATATATTCCATTTGGTTATCTGACATAGCTATGGAAAATGGACCATTTATAGATGATGCATGATGATTTGCTTATTGAAGATGGTGATTTCGTGTGATTTCCTAGTTCCCTACCGTGAAAATCACCGGGTATCATCGGGTATTGGATGGCCAGGCTATGGCACCTTCCCCTCCGGCCGCTTGTCGCTGGAGAAGTGGGACGTCGTGGACAACGACTCGGAGATCATGGTCTTCCTGGAGCCATCCGACGATGTGCCGCAGATGGCGCGGAAGATCTCGCGGCGGCTGGAAGCAGATGGCTGGCCGCCCTGCACCTTGCAGACAGGTCCGGACAGAATTCAGAATCCGAAAGAAGATGTCTAGGTCTAGGTCATCTGGTGGTTATCATCTATCACGATGTCATTTGTTCATATTCTCTCTCTTTTCTTTTTTAACAAATATATATATATATTATATATATCTTTCACCATTTTGCTGGGCTTGCGACCCACAGGTACCAAGCTGGTCTGCTTTAGTTTGCACCTGGAAGTGCCCATGAAAGTCGAGCTCTACTTCTTTCGAAAGGATGTGCGGCAGGGAATCATCACCGGTGACATGGGAAAGAATTTTCCGCTCCAAGCCTGGGGCGGGCGCCTGCCGTTGGAGATCATCTATCCTTTTTCATCCTGTCGTTTGGGAAGTGCCTGGGACACTGGATGAAGTAACGGGAAGCCTGGAAGCTGAGCTGAACTCATGATATTCTTCAGGTGGGTTGTTTGTGGATGTTTCTTAAAGCCCACGTCATGTTCCTGTCATGGTATTGACATGTATTGATGGCATGGCCTCTCTCGTTGTTTTTTCCCTCTTCCCCATCCCCTGTGGTAGCAGGCCGCTTGATTAAAAAACATTTCGATCCACCCAGGCCTCAAGAAAATGATAACCCTAGCAAATGATAGTGAGCCAATAATACATAAACCATTTTGATGGTTTTTACAATTCATTTCTGGTAATTTTGGGGATGGTGGATCCTATTGCTTTCCCTAACATTACATCCATCTACGCTAGGTATTTTTTCGTATTCCTAGATAGGGACCGACCTCGGCCCCTCTAATGTGGTTGGAATCTCTGTCACGCTTGCGGAACTTTTTGGGCATTCACTCCGGCGCAGCATCATAATTCTGTTTCAATTCCTTAGTGAATCATAGTGAATCAGTGAATCAGCAACTGGGGATCCGGGGATGAACACATGTCACAAGAACACATGTCCTGGATGCATGGTCCCATTTTAAAATGGTGGGTCAAAAATGGTGGCTTGCCATTGGCAAAATCAGCTCCATCCTGGCGCTGTGGGAACCATCCCAGGGATCCCATCCCAGGGGTCCCATGTCGGTCGTGCCAGGTTCCTGGAGAACTGTGGCATGCCCCAACCGGCCACTGGAAATGCTTCGCCTGTGGAACCAGAGCCCTGGAGAAACGGAGACCTTTTGGGCTGTCGCTGTGGGTGGCTTCTGAATAGACAATGGACCAAACATGTTTTGATGATCATGCTTGACATGACATTAAAGATAAGTATATAGTTAGAAAATGTTAGAAAGATAGACAGATTATAGATTGGTACTCGTAGTCGCACGAAGGTATAGAGGGAGAGAGAGAGAGAGAGACAGAGACTAGATTGTATAGATGAGATCAGAGTGTATTATCTTGGCTTAGCCTGGCCAAGACTAGATTAAACAATATATTGAATGGATAAATAGACAGGTAGATGATAGATAAGGTAGTCAGGGCTTTCGGATGAACAAACGTGGAATGCACTCTCCTTTTGCCTTCATCCGTATTGTCCTTTCAGAGGGACAATCGGCAGGAACCACATATGTTTGGCGCAAAAACATGCATTTTTTTCGAAATGTACTGAACCATGTCTTAAATCATTTTGGACCCAACAAGATTTCCAATCCCAAGTTTCCATCCCATACTATATAGAGATTCATACAACATCATACATCATCATACATCCACACATTTCTCGAATACGTCTAGAATATTCTGAAATAAGATAACTCACATTAACTCATCAATAACTTCCTTTTGGTTTTACCGAAGTTTCCATCCCGTTCCCAGCCGTGTTTTTTGTTTCCTCCGAGGCAACCGAACGCCTTCCCCGAGTACGTGGGCGCTGGGCACTTCGGCCGATGCCTGGCGTTGCCGGTGATCTCTGGGGATCGGGACTCGGGGGATGCCCGGAACCAGCGCTTCATGGCGCTGGGCCTGGTGCCTCGGGCGTGGATGGTGCAAGGCACAGATTTTTCCGAAAACGGTCACCATTTTTTAACTGGTTCTGGAAGATGTTTTTTTCGTACTGAGTCCTGGAATATCTGGAAATTGCCACTTGGGTATGGCTAAAAAATGGTTGGCCCACCTTTTGAGATGGTAAATCAAATGGAGTTGGGGATCTAGCCAAAAGGACGTTCTAAACCAATGTTGGGGTACCCGATTTTCAGACCAACCCATTGGGTGAATGGGTGAACCCAAAAGCAATGCTCCAAGGTGGGCGAAGACTTGCGCTTACTTGAAGGCTATGCCCGGGCCTTGTGGAAGGGGGGCTATGCCTCCCTACTGGAGGAGCTCGACTCTGAGCCCTGCCTGAGTCGGAAGGAGGCCATCTTGCAGGGCGACACGCACGCGGGATTTCCGTGGCCCCCTGAATGGGAGGAACACGAGGCTCGGGAGGCGTTGCTAGAGGAATTCCGGCGGAAATTCGAAGTTGAGGAGCTGAAGGATCCCTGGACCTTCAGGGGGAGAGAAAAAAGATGCGCGCAGCAGATCTGCAGGGATACAGGTGCCAGAGAACATACTGGGCCTTTGAATAGCTTATGTTCGGATTCATCATTTAGTTTCCAACTTACTTGGGATGAGTATCCCAACTGACAATCAGTTTTGGGAGGGGGCATAGTTACACAACATGTTAAGGTGGAGATTTGGGGTCTGTCCAGGTGCTGAAAGTGGGCGTCCACATGCACTTTGGCAAGGCGGACACGGGCCCAGGCGCAGCGGTCTCAATGATCTCAGGACAAGTAGGACAGGAGAGGACAGGAGGGTTCATCTTGGCTGAGCGCCCAGAGCAACAGCTCAGATGTTGGGTCCCTTGATGACTCTTGGGGTATGGGTACCGCTGCCAGGCACCTTTGGTGTGCTACTGCAATTCGGCTTCGGCACGGACAACACAAGGAGGTGGCTGGCGCGGCAGGTGGTGCCACCCACCTGGATCCTCAGTGGCGTGGAGGCGCTGCTGGCTCTGATGTTTTTCCATTTTTTGTGACATTTTTATGACTTTATGATGCTTTATGTATGGTATCATGATTATAATGTATATATATACATTATATTATTTATGATACTTTATGCATGCGCCATATATACATTTATACATTGCCCTATGACGCTTGAGTTGAGTTGAGTTGAGTTGAGTTGAGTTATATACATTACACCCACATTTGCATATTTATTCATCTGCTGTCAATTTACTTATTTAGATTTATTTATTTTATTAAGGCGATGCTGGACGCTGGTAATTCGCTGGCACAGATTGTGCAGGATGCCTCCGTGGCCAGCGCGCTGCGTGAGTCTGGCATCTTGGATGAGCAGCAGGCGGGATGTGGGGCTGGGCTGAGTCCATGTTTGTTGTTGGTCCCGACGTACACAAGGTGATACCCAGTAGATCGCCCAGTTTGTTTACAAGCAGGTAGGTTGACTCATTGACATTTTTTTGAACATATCATCTATTAGAATCTAATATACATTTAATATACCCATAAGTCCCATAAGTATCCATAACTTAGATCGGGTTGTAAACTACGGCCTTCCTTGGATCAGGCCTTCTGGGGCCTTCTCCTCCCAGAGACAGCTCCTTGGAGCAGAGTGAACTCTTGGGGATGCACGGGGGTGGGATGTCCAGCGGGTCAGGTAGTTTGGAAAATCGTGGCTTACCCATCTCCCAGCTCCCAGCTGTGAACATCTTTGCATCTAAGGAGATGCAGGCGATCGCGCGTCTAGAGAGTTGCCAGCGGCAGGCCTTGTACACCGTGCGTGCCCAGGCGGGTAGCCGAATTGGTCTGCTGGGAGGGACCAATGGAGGGACCCTAATGATTTAATGGCCTCGTGCAAGGGTTTGTTCGGGTTTGATCGGATTTGATGCTTGGCTTGGTTGCTTCATTGTCGCTACATCATGCTGCATGGCTGCATCACATTTTATCACGGCCGTCTGCACTCAATCAATCACGGCTGCCGATTCATTGAGATTATCCCATTCTGTGATTCTCCTGGACCAATGCAGAAGGGACCATCCTGCCAACCAGGGGTTCCTGGTACATACTGGTACAGCTTTACTCCTCATGACCCCCGTGTTGGAAATATGTTCGTCACTGTCTTGGTGCCAAGCTGCTACCCTTGCAGAGCCTTGCAGGCCACCAAGTTGCACGACGAGGCCCTGCCCCGCTTGAGGGAGAGATTCCAGAAGTTGGGCTATGGTGCGAAAGCTCAGTCCACCGGTGACAGTAACGACCTGAAGAACTGGCCAGTGATCGATGTGCAAGTTTTCATCTCATGGCGAAGAGCTTGCAGCTTGAAAATGCTTGAAATATATGGCCCCGCGCCAGAAATATGTGATATTTCTAAGAGGATGTTCCTTGGTTGCAGTCTCGGACGTGTTTTTTTTTCAGACATCATGATTGATCGGGCATTTTTTCGCCGTGCCATGCACAATTTCGTGGCTTGTTAAGGTGACGAAATGCTCGGCACGGTGTTGGATTGGATCCAGGAACGGGGATGAGAAAAAAATCATGGCTGAGAGTACCTGCAACAGATTTCCCCTAAGGATCCTAAGGCCAAACATATGGTCTCTACCAGCCCCTATATGAAGGATATTGATAAACTTAGAATGTCAACACAGGATGAATAAACCCGAGCCTGACTATTACAGTAACTGAGAGGTATATATGTCCCCAAATAGTGATCAATTATGATCAATTACTATCAAAATTCGTAGTACCCTATGAACATAGAATAAAATAGACTGAGGGTTTAAAACTCAAAACTCCTGGGTTCACATTTACCACATCTAATTTTTCCAATTTTTTCCAAGGCATTGATCTTTTTCCAAGGTGTTTCTGAGCATGTCACGTCCAGGACTTGGCTCCGGTGATCGTGCACGTGCACCTGGATCGCGTGGGAGCTTTCCTGGAGGCCCTGCTGGGCGTGACGGCGTGACCCATGGAATGTGGCCTCTGTAGCCATGGATGTCAAGAAACACAGGAGAAAGACATATATATATATATATATTATATGATTATATGTATATATATATATATATATTTATAGTATAGAATAGTGTCATATGTATATGTACATATAAATATCATAACATATTACACTATAGTCACTATATTGTCACTATAATTATTACACACAGACCCCGAGGTTTGCCCACGCCCAGAATAATGTAAATACCAGGGAATTCTGTCCGACGTCAAACAACAGGAAGGATTTTATGCTCAATTCTGTTGCTAGGGTGTTAGCCAGAACATGTTGCTTCTACATATCATATACCCAGAACATGTCGCTTCTACATATCATATGGAATTAACCATACAGTCATTAGGGTTTCTTATAGGGTTTCAAGAAGATATCAAAATCCCCCGGCCCCATGGAACAATTTATCATACAGTCATTAAGGTTTTTATAGGGTTTCAAGAAGATATCAAAATCCCCCGGCCCCAAGGAACACTTAAACATACAGCCATTAGGGTTTCTTATTGGGTTTCAAGAAGATATCAAAATCCCCCGGCCCCATGGAACAATTAAGCATACAATCGTAGGGTTTCTTTCAGGGTTTCAAGAAGATATCAAAATCCCCCGGTCCCATGGAACAATTAACCATACAGTCATTAGGGTTTCTTAAAGGGTTTCAAGAAGATATCAAAATAATGATAATAATAATAATCATCATCGCCATCGTCATCGTCATCATCATCGTCATCTTGGCTTGCCCGGACGCTCGTTGCGAGTCCGGGCAAACCTCAGGGTCTTGCCGTATTACAGGATATTGTACCATGTGATACTTATATATACTTATTACACACACACACATATATATATATATGACATATATGACATATGAGTCAAGTTGCAATATGATCTTGATTTTGCACATGAGCAGTTGGTGAACACCTTGCCCCAGAGCCGTTTTTGTGTCCCAGAGGTGGACGAGTTCTACCGCAACCAGTTCGAGACGAAGACCAGCTGTGGGGTCGCTGCCCTGGGCTCCTGGGGCTACTCCCCAAATAGTCATTTCATCTACTTAAATGGTACCCTCCCAATTAAACAGCCGTTAGGGGTTTATTAATCCAGGGTTGACATTAGATGCCTTTAGTTTTGTTTTTAAAATAGACACACACATATATTATAGTTAGCCTTACGCACTGACGCACTTCCCATTTATATATACCCCCCCTCACTTTTACCATCATTTAAGAACAGGTGGATATTTTACCCCGTAATTTTTGATATTTGAAGTGCGCCAGTGCTTCCTTATAGAATTTATAACACCTATAACCTAAACCATAACAAACAACCAACAAAACAAAACTCAAACAACCTAAACAAAACAAACTATCCTAAAAATAACCTTACCAAGAAACAGAACAACCAACCAATACAAAGAAAACTCAATAGCAAAGAACAACATAAAAAACAATACAACAGACCACAATAAAAACTTTTCTTATGCTTTAATCATCCCATCTTACCCGTTTTCCATCATCATACTGTAATTCATCATAATTTCATCTTAATTTCATCTTTACTCATCTTTACTCATCTTAATTCATCCTCATCCTCATCCTCATCCTCATCCTCATCATCATCATCATCATCATCATTTGAACTTTCATTGGTTTCTTGTTGTTCTTTTCCGCTTAAAAATGGCAAACTGTCTATTATTGATTGAACAATAGTATGCCTTGTTGTAGTGGTTAGAATTTTCCCGTTCGTTCGTCCATTGCTCATTGCCCCGCCCTTTGCTACATCCTCACCGCACCCTTCTCGGTCTTGCTGTCGGGATTCTCAGATGGGATGGTATGGAAGTGCGAAGCCAGCATGATATGCAGAAGGTTGATGCAATTGGAATTGAACAACTACTTATCGTAGCATGGTCTTTGTAGACCTGGATGCTCCGTAGTTGGGCTCAATCAGGGCCATTTTGCCAATTCGCGTTTTGCCAGAAGAAGAATGTTAAATATATATGAACATGCGACTCTGGTTGCAGTTTGTGCTCTTGTTAGTTGCGAGACACTTCGCTCGAGGGCGGTCCGTGATGCCTGCACCTGCCAATGATGACGATGCCCAGGGATTGTTGCAGATTCCCGAGCACAAACTCAAAAAGCACTGCCTTCACCTCATGGGCGGCAGTGGACATCTGACTTCTCGGTGCTTTGAATGTTCCTATCCTCACAATTCGAGTAAGTTTCGCTTGTTTTGTGGCTATTGCTGCCGCTTCGTTTTTACTGATCCCAATATCACTCACAATGCTCTCACAGAAGTGAGACTGCCAATGGCGAATCCAGAAGGCACGGTTTCCCACCTGTGAAAGACTAAAAAAGAAAGAAAACTGCGAAAATCCACTATTCACAGTTTCCAGACTGTGAAACCACAGTTTCAAAACTGTGATGGTTCAAAGGCAGTGCGTTTCTGGATTCAAATTCAAGTTTTCGGTGATTATGCACAGGCATTTGGCGTGGCATTTTTTACATTCCGCTTTGCCTATTTCGCTTGTTTTGCGACTATGCTGCTTCGTTTTTACTGATCCCAATACCACTCACAATGCTCTCACAGAAGTGAGACTGCCAATGGCGAATCCAGAAGGCACGGTTTCCCACCTGTGAAAGACTAAAAAAGAAAGAAAACTGCGAAAATCCACTATTCACAGTTTCCAGACTGTGAAACCACAGTTTCAAAACGGTGATGGTTCAAAGGCAGTGCGTTTCTGGATTCAAATTCAAGTTTTCGGTGATTATGCACAGGCGTGGCATTTTTACATTCCGCTTTGCCTTTTAAGCAGGCAAGCATGACAAAGACCGCAAATGCCCATCAAGAGAGGAAGACAAAAAGAATTCAAGCAGGTTTTGGGCAAGTGCTTGGTATTTGGAAGTCGCATGAATTCCTGCGTTAAAAACACACTTGTGTATCAATCAACACTCCCACTCCACCGGCTCAAACTGCCCATCCCGAGGTTGAAAAGACAAGCTACAGAATGTCAAGCAGAAGGTTGAACCAGAGCATGGAGGGGCATGACATTTGGTCATGAATTCAACCAGAAGCTGGAAGGAGTGAAACTACCAAACAATCTTCCAAACTCAACTTTTGGGAGGGTTTATCCAATCCCTTGTGGATATATAAATACAACCTACCCACGTACCCCTCACACACACAACATATCATAAAATAATATTATCCTCGCACATTCACCCCCCCTTTCAAGATTTCAGGTCTTGAAACAGTCTGGCACTGCCGTGGATGGGAATGGGGACTGGGTTGAATATAAATATAATTCTATATCTATATTTATCTTATCTTTGACGAAGGCAACGCCACAACAGCTGACCCAGTTGCAGGCACAGTATTTTTGTGTGGCAAGGCGCAACTAACTAAAACATACAATATTTACAGCAGTCATAATTTCTTCAACTAATGCTTGAGGTATTCTATACAACTCCTTCTGTTTGAACAAAGTGTGCCTTCTTTCCAGTTTTCCTTCTTCCCACTGAGTGCCCTCTGTGTTGTTTCTTTATGACGGTTTCCATCCATACTTCCACAATCTCTTTTACAAAGAGGTCTAGGTGTCCAAGTGTCCAGATTAGTCCAGAGCCTAGTGCGTTTCCGGTAATTAAAACCATACTTACAATAGTCAATATCAAAGAATGGCAAACCCTCCATAAATGGTTGCTTCTTCAAAAGCCCCGACCTTGGGGATTTTCTATGAACCAAATGCGCGGGTTAAAGTATTTGATTATCTCAAACGCTTTCAAAACGATGGCATTAGCCTCATCAATTTTTCGCGTTCCAACCGTTTTCGCAATGCTTTTGGTTCTAAACAGACAACCCTTAAGGATGCCCGAGAAAAAGATAGTAGCATCAAAATGTCAGATGTTGAAGAGTTCTTTAGAAAAAATGTTGAGGTCAACGCAAAGCCTAGAGGGTATAATTCTTTAGTAGCACCAAACAATAATCATACATATCAGGTTGATTTGTTCTTTATGGGTTATTATGATTTTGATGAAGAACAAAAAAATCAGAGGAGGACTTGTAGCCATTGATGTTTTAAGCAAGTATGCGGTTGTAATACCAATTAAAACTAAAAATGGCGAGGATGTCCTTGAAGCAACTAAAGAGGCATTGAGAAAAATGGGTTTAAATCCAAAGAAAGAAAGACAATGAGTTTAAATCCAAAGTGAATGTGTCAATAAAAACAAAGAAAGATAAATTGTATCCCGAACTGAAGGTGGGAGATAAGGTCAAGATTAAGAGAAAAAAGTTAATAACTGAAAAGGAGAGAACAAGCCACTTTTTGAAAGGTGAATATGTTGTGGAGGAAATCTTTGAAAAACTAAATCAAACATTATAAATTGACTGATTATCCTAGACCACTTATGCGCTTTGAGTTGCTGAAAATTTAGGTTTAGGCTAAAAATGACTTAAAAGGATATTACTTTATCATATTAGTGAAAAAATATGGATACGAAGAAGTGTAGCGTATGTAATGAGGAGAAAGCAATTAGTTGTTTCAGAAACGAAAACAAGAGTTGTAATATATGTCGGGATAAAGCAAATGAACAGAAGAAAAAATATCGGATAAACAACCCTGAAAAAGTGGCACTACAAGCCAAAAAAAGACTTGACCGTGTCAGGGGCGAAGTCATCACTTGCCCAATCTGTCAATACGATGTAAAAAAATACAAGTTCAAACAACACGAAAATTCTGTGGGGCATCAGTATTTATTAGATATGTATGAAGCAGGGGAAGAAGTGGATAAACCAGATGAAATAGACACTGATAGACAGGGCAGGGTATGGTATAAGTGTAGTGCTTGTAAGGAAACAATGCTCTAATACATGTGGGGGTCTCACATAGCATCACCAAACCACGATGATTGTAGGGAAAGAGCGCTAGAGATGATGACGGCTTCTTCCAAAAAAGATATTTTAGAAACCCAGCATACGCTGACTTGTTGCTACAATTGTTTTGATGAGTAAGGATTACAACATAATTTATGATATTATATACATATCATAAAGTATGGTTATGCTTAATGTCAAGTCAGGATTAATCAACAGCCCGTTATTAATCAACCTCCTCCTCCCCCCAAAAAAAATGCAATTTAAAAACAGGTGGTCCCCCAGTATTAATAAACACCCCCGATTAAAAAACCTCCAGTTCTGAAATCCATTTTTTATCCAACAATTTTTATTTCCAATTCTATTTATTTCCATTTATTTTTTACATTTTTTTTTATCATCATTGTTATACTTAATGTTTTAGTTGATCATTGAAAATTTCAAAAAACAACTATGCCCCAAATGATCGATTTTTAATTAAAATCTTGATAAAAATCATCAGTTTGGATAGCTCCCAAAGGGTACCCCCCATGAGCCCATGTCCCCCATTAATAATAACCAGGGTTTACTCCTGATTAATCAACCACCTTTCTGATCCATGAGATTTTAACAAATCCAATGGAATTCTATTAAGATCTAATTGACGTAAGCCATATCCAAAGTTTTATGGTTCAGAGTTGCTTCTTATTAAGGGGTGTTTAAGAAAATGACCTACAAGGTAGAGTTCCGACCTTCTGGGGGGGGGGTTGATTAATCCTGACTTGGCATTATAGGTTCATGGTTTGTTGTTTCAGTTTATGGTATTGTTTATTTTACGGACTTTTGTATTGTCTATGTTGTTTTGTTTTTTTGTTTTATGGTTTGTTGTTATGATTTATGTTATTGGTTTTGTTATTGGGAGCACTGGCGCACTTCAATATCAAAAATTTAGGGGGTAAAATATCCACCAGTTCTTAAATGATGGTAAAAGCGTAGGGGGTATATATATATAAATGCGAAGTGCGTCAGTGCGTTCTCTAACTATTATATATATATAGAGATATGTACTTATGTATGCACATACACATACGTACACATACGTACACATATACATAATATATATATACACATAAATATATGTATACACATCTTTCCTGCCCTTCTGACAATTTCGTAAAGCGCTGTGAGCCTTGACATTTTTGCTTGTTGGGTTGCTATGTGTTAGCCGACCTGAGTGGATATGATGGGTCGAGATTGGGCACCCACCCTTCTATTGGAGGCTGAGATTGCCGAGAAAACAACGGCGTAGTTCATTAGATTGGTTTAAGGGAAAACCTACAGGAAACCATAGTTTTTACCATTAAATATGGGGGTTTCCTGTAAATTTTCCCTTAAACGAATCCAATGAATAGTTGGTAGTCATGGGGTGCTCCAAGACACTGGGAATCTCATGCAAAAAAATCCATGAAACATAGCGAGTAAATCAGGACAGCAACTATCGCACCAGCAACATGTATTGTTGGAGAGGACAAAAAAGGGGCTGCCTCCCCAAAGTCCAGGCCGCAGACCCTGAAAATCGCACCCGTCAGAACTGGGAGAATGCCAGGGGTCCTCAGTTCGGCCGCTTTCCGTCCGCAGGGTTGTGGCAGATTCAGAAGGGCCATTGCCCCTTTTTCAAAGCGGGACATGCATGGAATAGGGGGGTAGGTGGGGTTATGATACTGTGGATGGAAGAAATCCTGCACCACCTTGGATGGTTGAACCCCCCAAAAAATCATGGGATAGACCACCCTATCAACTGGCGACGGCTTTTGCGACGCCCATGCCCTGCCCCAGGTGCTGTTTGGCGGCGCCTACAACGATGCCAAGGCCTTTGAGAGACCCAAGTATGGTGCCTTGAGTGTAGGGGCACCCAGATCTGCTATTTCTGCAAGATCCCAGAGGTCCGACATGGCCTTGATGCGGGTGCACAGAGAGAGAGAGAGAGAGAGATATATATATATATATATGTGTGTGTGTGTGTGGTTGGGGCAAATTTTTTTGGTTGGTGAATCACCCGTGGAGCCCCCCAGCAATCTCAATATGGTTTCAACGCTTCCAGGGAAATTTTCCAGCCTTCCCGCAATGCTACCTTGTATGACATTGACACGCCAATCCTTTCACAACTTGGAATCTGATTCTCCAACATCTTCAACGACTGAGAGAGAAACTCTTGTTCATGGAGTAATTTCTGTCAGTTTGCTGGTGTGCCCAGCTTCCTTTGCGCTTTGCAGCTTTCCTGCTTTCATTCTCAGGAAAAAATATGTATATACTGTAGATAGCCCCACTGTAGCAGATAATGCGAAATAAACAACACCTAGCAGTTGGCCTCGTGCCACTTCCAGGAATTTCAAGATATTCCAACCCAACTACCAGCTACTGAGGTCATGAACGATTATAGAGGTGTCATCAGCGCCAGGCTGGGCTGGGTGTGGCTGCGGTGCTTAACGAAATGTAGGAAGCCCAATGATAAAAGATATCTAGTGGAATTAATTTCCAATGTTTATCTAATTCTTTAAAATTTAAAACATCTTTAGGGGTTGCACATCCACTTTGGATTTTCTTCGGGGGTTATCGTTGGCGCTACAGTACCGGCTTGCGTGGACATATTCAAGAATTCGACACGGGATCTAAACATGATCCATTAGTAAATTATGATAACACATTATATAAATCAAAGGATTTTTAGATATTTTTAGGTTTTTAAACATTAATTCTAGATTTGCTGCTCCCATCGGGTTCCATATCTGGTTTTCAGGGGAAGCCAGGAATTTCCATGGCCTGTGTGGATCACCGGCGGCAGGCAGTATGGTGATTCCTATCTCGTGCTCAAGGACAGCCAAGGTAAATCCTCAAGGGTGGAGCGACGCCGAAACGAAAAGCCAACATGGTGGGATATGGTGGGCCCTTCAACCTGATGTGTGGGTGATCACCCGGCTCTTCGCGTGAATTCATCGACGATGAATTGCAACAGCTACATACCAAAGAAATCAAAGAAAAGGTAGGTACCTCACCTGGGAGATCAAGGGAAAATTGTAGATACCATTGATACCATCAAATGATTAATGTGGCAAACTCAGGGCCATAAACCTCCAATTGATTTGGAGATGCTTGATGGACTTCTCGACCACAGTTTTCTGGTAACTCATTGTGGGAGTGTTTCGCCATAAATTATTACTGATGGTTTCTCGCACCCACAGCCACAGTCGTTTTGTATCCATTTATTTGATTCGTTGCCATTCCAGTTTTGGGTCCACCGCAAGATACAGCTACGACCCAACCTTTTTGGCACCATTTCTAGATTCTAGAGGGTTCAATGGCTTTTTGGCACCGCTTCTAGATGGTGCAATGGCTTTTTGGCACCATTTCTAGATGGTGCAATGGTAAGAATGACCCTTCTTTATGGGCCCATACCCCCCTTCCCCAAGGGCCACGTCCAGGACGTGCGGCTGCGCTGCACCTTTGCCGGCACGGATTCAGGGGGCATCAGCTCGCAGGGGCCTTGGAACATGGCACTGCCTGCGCCCAAAAAGCTATGGTATTTGGGGTCAAGACCTTGGGGAAGCCGATAAAAGCCTCCCAACCAAACCTGAAGCAGCAGTGGCTGCCATGGTCCAGGTCGCGACTGGCTGTCCTAGACAAATACGCGCATGTGCTCAGCGAGTATAATGACAACGAGCTGCATGGAGAAGGGGCTCTCAGTGCTGGATACACCTGGGGATGGCTCGAGTTGCTGGCAAGCTTCCGTCAACCCTCCAAATGAGCAACTTCTGCCGGGGCCATTTGAAAGGAGTTTGCGGGAGAGCTGGCAACCCTCTCTCTCTCTCTATCATATCATACCATATATAATTAATCATAGAAATCAACGAAAGGGCTTTGATGGTCAGTTGGTCCCTACCTGGCAAATATGGGATAATATGGGGGTCAACACCCCAAGGGACTGCCGCTTGCGCAGGACCTTTTGGGGGGTTCATAGAGTCGGTAGTGGGTAACTTGTCCTGGCTCAAGGGCCCGTAGACTTGCCATGTTCGACTTTGATGAGTTGGATGAGAGGCTTCCCCCAAGACCCAGCCAGGTTGGACAGGCATCACAACCTGCCAAGCCCAGCCGACCACCTGCGCCTGCTGTTGGTCCACCATCATTGGAGTCCCTGCTGTCGGAGGATTCGGAGGAGCTGCCAGATGCACCAGCACCAGCTGAGCTTGTGAAGTTTGAACGCCCCAGTCCTGGTGAAAATGGGCGACGCGAATCAAATGAACCAAGGAAATTCACCCCAGATTCTTTGGCAGCTGTGGCAAAAGCGCCGGTAAGGCAGCCCAATTTTGGACCAAGGCCTACACAGAGACTGCATGTGCCAATCACTCCACCAGTTCGAGGATCGTTTTTGCCGGAGGACGAGGAGTTGTTCATGTGGATGGCCCAGAAGTGCTACCTGCGGCAGGATATGTTTCTGCTAGGCGATCCAGGCCCCCATCTGCGCCTCAGCATCCTGCGCTTTGCCCAGCAGACAGGCAGGGAGGTGGAATACATCAGCATCACACGCGACACCACTGAGGCAGACTTGAAGCAACGGAGGGACACTGGATTTTGGTTTCGAAGATTTTCATCCCAAGTGTCCTACATGTCACATGTTTTTTTCCTTTATTTTTTTCCGTGAATTAGTGACCTGCAAAAAAATGACTGTTCTTTTTTGAATAATGTTACTGAGGCAATAATGAACGACCCATATCGTGATGGTTTATACTCTATACCACCCATTTATGGTCAAATTGGGGATGGTTCGGATGGTATTGCTTTACCAACATCGCTGTACTTTCCTAGCTCCAAATTTTACGGGACCGATGGCGAAGGAAATCATCGATGGGCAGCTGGTCTTCCACAACGCTCCCTCAGTTGAGGCAGCCCTTCGCGGGAGGCTGCTGATTCTGGAAGGCCTGCAGAAGGCAGAACGCAACGTACTGCCGTTGCTAAACAACTTGTTGGAAAACAGAGAGATGTCACTGGAAGACGGCGGCTCGGATGCGTTTGGAATCACTTGAAGCATTGGGATTTGGGAACTGAACTGGAAGGGTTGGGCCCAGCTGGAGTGAGGAGCAGCATCATGTTTTGGACACATTTCATGGGAGCTTACGCTTTGCGCTTGGAAGGTTTGCCAGGTCCACCCACAGGTAAGTTTGAGGATCAATCAAGCTAAGATCCCCAAAATACACCCAACGGGCTGCCCCAGCGCCTCGCTGCCATCCCGATCACCAGGCAGTTTTCTCATGGCTCCGGGCCGAGAAGCTGAGATCCAGCAGGCCGCAGAGGGTGGAAGGCGCCGGGGAATTTGGGACCGTGGGGGCTGGCATAACTCCAAAAGGGTGTTCATGAGGGATGGCAGCAGGACTCTTCTTGGACTTAAGGGATGAGAAGGAAAAAGGGGGGAGAGGAGAATGTATAGTGAATTCTTCAAAGCGACATTCATTGATTTTAGTTCTCGGACAAGTAACAGAAGCCCATTGGACAACAGGACTTGCTGGTCTTGGTGATCCTCATGCTCACCTTCCCTGTCCTTTTGCTCTTTGGGGGGTGCTTAGGAGAATAATTTGTGATATCCGGTTTGTGTATAACTTAACACCCCATTTAATCCAGTTTTTGGATGTGTTTCTCTACATCCGGTATTCATGCACAAAACGCAATACATACATACTTATATCTGATGCATCTGTAGAAATAGACATTTATCATGGCATCTTTTTATTTTGGTGTTCTTTTGCTCAAACTGTGAGCTGCAGGCGCCTGTTGCCGGTCTCCCAACGCTTCCTGGTGGTGGCGCTGGGTCTCCCCGTCCCCACCTACCGTGGCACGGCGCTGGATCCTCCGCTGCGCTCGCGCTTCGCGTGTCGTTTCGTCCGCGGGGACCAGGACCTAAGACTGGACGATGTCCAAACCAAGGGACTGCAGCAGCTGGTGAAGCTATGGAGGTGGGGCATCGGGCGGCCCGGAGAGCTTTGAGGTCGATGTTAGTAGGATATTAGTAGGATGATTAGAAAAGGGATAGATTTGATGAAGTGGTTTCACCTCATTTTCCCTAGTGATGTATGTTGCTGGCATCTGCTGTTCTCTTTGTCTGGCGACTGCTGTGCCTCCTGCGCAGGTCCGTTGGTGAAGGAACAGGTGGGAAGACTTCCGCTCCACGGCTGCCTCACTTCCCGGAGTTTGGACTGTTGTCGGTGCAGAAGTTGCTGCAACTCTTTCCATCTCTGTCTCCGGCACCTGGCATCCAAAGGATGAAAGCTGTTCATATTGGAAGGGACCCAAGTGGTAAGTTGGTGCACATAACTCTTGGGTTATATGGGTTTTTGGTAGATATACAGTACACTGGTACACTGGATAAAGCCACAAGGGCAGAATAAATCTTTATTGCACCGGCAGGTCCACAATCAGAATCTCAGGATCTTCAAGGTGCAGACAGGTCCAGAATCAGAATCTTAAGGTACAAACAACTATGCGCTCAGGCATCCAGATGCACCGCAGCAGGTACAAGAAGATGCTGCGCCCAGCATCTCATCCACCCGATTTCTGTAGCTTCATTCATTGGCACGGCTAAGAAATCGGGCGCCGTGCCCCCTGCTGGTTGAGATTTTTTAGTCGGTGGGTTGGTTGTGTTTGATCATGCCTGTGCAAAGGGTGTTCCTGTTGTTTTGGCAAAACCAGTTCGCAATATTGGGTCACACACGCACACAATCGCACACAGATCGACAGACAGACAGACAGACAGACAGACAGCCAGCCAGGCAGGCAGGCAGACAGGCAGGCAGACAGGCAGGCAGACAGACAGACACACACACACACACAGACACACAGACACACAGACACACAGACAGAGACACAGAGACACAGAGACACAGAGACACAGAGACACAGAGACACAGAGACACAGAGACACACAGACACACAGACACACAGACACACAGACACACAGACACACACACACACACACACAAAGACAGACGCACAGACAGACGCACAGACAGACACACAGACAGACAGACAGACAGCCAGCCAGCCAGGCAGGCAGGCAGGCTGACAGATAGACAGAGAGAGAGAGAGAGAGAGACGGACAGAGAGAGATAGATAGATAGATAAGATAAGATAAGATAAGATAAAATAAGATAAGATAGACAGACAGACAGACAGATAGATAGATGGATAGATAGGTAGGTAGGTAGATAGATAGATGGATAGATATCATATCAGTTAAGGTGGGGTAGAAACCAACTTATAGCCGAGAGGCACCACCTTCTAGGATGAATAGAATATATACATTTTGGTTGAAGCATCTCTTGAATCCTGTTGTTCATCCTTTTGTGGATGGAACGGTTGCCATGGTGCCTTTGAGGGCCTTTGGCGCTTCCAAGCTCTCTACTGTTAACCCCGGATTAGTAAACATCTGTTGATGAAATAGCGGGTTTCCCCTGAAAGATCGATGCTAGATGATAATTGGTTAGTACAATGGTACCCGCCAACTTCAACAGCCTAGGGGGGCTGACATCGGAGGAAACCTGTTGGGCTCTCCGTGCCCCCACCGGGTTTGACCAAGGCAGCGGCCTTGCATCGTGCCTTCCCTTGGAGCATCCTGCAGCTGTCAGCCTCGCAACGAACTGCCCTGCAGTCGGCTCTGAAACAGCACGGGTTGGAGCTAGGCACCAGCTGCGGATGATGTGGGGTTGCACGCCCAGATTGGTCATTACCATTCATCACCAATATCATCAGCTACTGTGGGCCCACGCTTGTCATGAGTCAAACTCCACTGGCCAGTTCCAGGGGTGTTAACCGAACTTTTTTCAGGGGAGGCTGTAAGTGTCAGGCACCGCCAAGACCGAATACGGCCTGCGGGCAGTCGAGCTGCTTTCGGAGCATTGTGCGCGGCTTTCCATGGGAGATGGGCCTTCTGAGGTTGTATGTTGCTTGATGGCCTTGTTCGTTTTGCTCTGGACGGGCAGTTGATGGGAATATCGTGTTATATCTCCACATGCGGAGTATTGAATATTTTGTAGTTGTTTGTGCATGTTCAATTTCACATGCATGCTGTATAACCTATATTCTTGAGATCCCGGCCCATTGAGTCGTACTTTGCGATTCTCTCCGAGTGGAACGAGCATTCACTGCAGCCTTCATTGCACTGAAGGCACCAGACTTCCGAGTTTTCGACACGCTTTGAGAAGACCTGGGCCCCAGAAAAGTGAAACCATCCATCCATCTGAGAGGATTTCACCATATTCCAAGGGTTTACCAGCGCCCAGGTTGCCCTTGCGGTGCCTGGCCCAGCAGATTCGAGCAAACTTTGGCATCTCTCGCGCCCAGTCAACGTGTTGTGCTGGCCTCGATGCTCCAAGACCACGCGGCGGGGATGGACCTGTGCGTGGTGGGTGAACGAGGCGTGGGGAAGACGACCCTGATTCGTGGCTTTGCGGAGGCCTTGGGCTATCGCACTTTTAGTGTCTTTTGCTTCAAGGCCTGGTGAAGCTGAGTGATGGGGATGTGAAGGTCTAGGATTTTTGGGTTGGGGTGGGGGGTGTCAGGCATGCACTTTTGTCCCTGTCAAACTGCAGGGTGTGTTTATGTCTTTAGTTTTTAAGGAGAACTGTTTTTTTCCCCTCCGCTGGTTGCTGAATGTATCTTGACATCCGAAAGTGGCCCATAAAAAGGAAATGAGCGCGCGAGACCTGACGCTGCGCCGAAGCACAGATGACAGAGGCAACACGATCTGGCAGCCATCACCGCTGATAGAGGCTTCGTAGGGCAGCCTGTTCGGGTGTGATTGCCGAATCTTTTGAAATGTTACAGCCAGAGTCTCCCGATACTGTTTCTTTTGAGGTTTCCAAATTGCCAACGCCAACAACAACCAGCGCCAGACATCAACACCTCGCCACCCAGCAACCACAACCATCATCAAGCAACACCTTCCGTGTCAGGCGGCCTTAAATGGTGGCTTGGCCATTTTAGATGGTATCCACCGCTTGCCCCTTGGTGCACTGGCTGGTGCCTTGGGCACGTTGCTGTGCGACCGAGCGGGCACGCTGCCAGATGGGACCAAGATGGTGCCCGAGGCTGGTGGGTGGAAGGTGGTGCCGCTGGCTTCTCAGTGGGATTTCATGACTCCACGAAATTGGATGAGGATCCCATCCTGGACGTGGAAAAAGCATTGGGTGTTTTTGGGATGGGTTTCACTGGTCATGACACGGAATTTCCATGAATTTCCATGCTTCCAGTGCAAGCTCACAGGAAAGGATGGTCGTGAAAAAGGTGCTGAATTCTGCTTATTGTTTAAGAATGAAGGATTCCTCCGATTTCGGGGTGATGGGGGAGTACTTGGGGCCAGTTTTTGATATTTCCATCACATCACCTATCATCACCTGTTTCCCTCTTCTTTTTCCAACCTGCCCTCAGGAGCAGTGGAATCATTGGCTGCAGCAAGGCATCAGCGAAGCCACGCTTCGGCACCAGAAGTTCCGCCCGCTGCACCATGCCTTCCGCGTCATTGCCACCGGTGAGCCGCCCACGGAGGAGAGGAATTGGTTGGAGGATGAACTGCTAACGCTGTTCCACTTCACCGAGGTGGAGGTTTTGGGATGTTTCTTGGTGTGTTTGTGGGGTTATATACTAGTTTTTGTGATGTTTTTGCCATAACATGGCCATTATTTTTGGAAACATAATGGTGAACCCCATGGGTCCCCCCCAAAAAAAAATTGCTGAGGATTATTGATTCTATTCCTCCCCCGTGTTTTTCCCCCCGGTGGCAGGGCGGATAAATGATGAACAAATGTAAATGCTGCCTTGTGCAAGATCGTGACAGGTTCACACATTTGGGGCTGATGTTTGTTTTTTGAGGGTTGGGACCGCACCCTCTCCAACAACATGGTAAGGGTGCCTCTAAGAGGCCGTGTGTTTCAGCACATGGATATATTTCTATTCAATTATATATGTTCCAAGGTTTCGCCACAACGAGAGCGGTTTTTCACAGATATCTATATTTTGTGGGTGTGTCAAAAGTCATGGAAGGGTATGGAAAAATGAGAGTCACGGTGTGATTTTAATGGTTTTTGTGGGACGAAAGCCATCAGCTTGGAAAAGACAGCTTTACGCTTTTTCTTCTGCGTTGCCGACGTCTTTGTTTCAGCCGCTTTTGCGGCAAAGCACTGTAACATCCAGCGCATGAGCAACGTATCATCAACGCATGATCAACGTAACATCAACGTATCATCAACGCATGATCAACGTAACATCAACGTATCAACAGCGCATGATCAACGTATCATCAACGCAGGATCAACGTAACGTCAACGTATCATCCACGTACCATCAACCTAGCATCAACGTATCAACAGCGCATGATCAATGTATCATCAGCGTATCATCCACGTCGCATCACCTTGCACGCAAGAGATACATGAACGTTATTGCACCCCCCACCCCACCCAACCGCAACAGTAGCATCAACGTCTCCTCAACGTAGCATCAAAGTATGATCAACGTAACATCAACGTAGCATCCACGTCGCATCAACTTGCACGCAAGAGACATGAATGATATTGCACCCCCCCACCCCACCTCACCCCACCCCACCCCACCCCACCCCAACAGTAGCATCAACATCTCCTCAACGTAGAATCAACGTATGATCAACGTAACATCAGCGGAGCATCCACGCCGCATCACCTTGCACACAAGAGACATGAACGTTATTGCAACTACCTGCCACCCCACCCCACCCCAAAAACCTCAAAAAAGCACGGCCTCTTAGAGGCGCCCATACCAACAACATAGCTCATGAAGAGGGGCAGACCCCAGTAGTTTGTTGATGTTTGTTGTCATTTGTGGGCCTCAGCTGTCCGAAATCCCTGACAAATTGATTGGTCCAAAAGGGGAGCCAGAGCCAATGAGTCCAATTATTCCGATGAGTGCTAGTTTCTGGTTTCTGAGTCTCACCCTGCTGCGCAACCTGGAGGTGAAACCCCTACCTGCTGCACAGCAACTAAAACTTGTGTCGCAGCTATGTGGTCTGCCCTCAGAGCACGCAGTGCTGAATGGACTGATGGCTTATGGCAAGGCTCTGCGAACAGCTGCCAAGTCTGATACTGGATGGTAATTTTGAACGAGCCTTCTTTTGTTTGTTTCTTTTTTTGGGGGGGCTTCTTGACTCATTCTCTGGTGCAATATATTTCTACGCCTGTTTGATTTCATTTGATTCATTTGACCAGTTAGGCCATGCGAATGCATGGAACACTTCCAAAAATGGCAATGGACGATTCATTTCTCATATTTGACTTACTTTGCCATCCTATTTGCAGCCATAGGGACACGTGCCAACTTGTAGCTTCGGCCGCGCCAAGGACGTGTCGCTGCAGCCGTTGGTGCTGTCCCTCCGTCAGCTTTTGCAGCTGGGTCGCCGCTGCCAGCAGCGACCTGGAGCTGAGGTGGTGCAGGCTGCGTTGTCGGGGTACCTGCACTTCCTGCCGCCCTTGTCCAAGCAAGCGGTGCAGCGGATGATGCAACAGGCCATGAAAGGTGGGGCGGCCCAACTTAGGAGATCTTAGGAGATGGAGATGTGGTGGATTTTTGTACGGAAAACATCCTTGTAATTTATGTTGTTTCAAGAGTGCTGTGGGAGGGTACCCGGACAGGTGCCTGCACGTGAAGTACGGTGGGGTGTTGTGTGGGTACGGTACGGTGGTACAGGACGGTAGTATGGTGGTTCTGAGGTACGGTATGGGTATGGTGGTGCAGTACGTGGTACGGTATGTGGTGCGGTACGGTGGTACGGTGGTTTTGAGGTACGGTACGACGGTGCGGTACGTGGGCACGGTGGTTTTGGTTTTTCGGTACGGTATACGGTGGTACGGTATGGTGGTGTGGCGGTTTGGAAGTTGGGCACGATGGCCTGGTGAGGCGGCGCAGTTAGTTTGGGCGCACGTCAGGCTGGTGTAGGGGCTGTGGTTGTGATATTTGGCGGTTTGGTAGCATGATAGCCGGCGGGTTTTGTTTTACGATTGATTGGTGGTGTTTTGGCTTTGTTGGTTGTAGGTTTTAAGCTCTGCGCCCTATCATACGAATTTTCAGAACCTATGGGTGGCTTATAAACATTGGATCAACCTGGTTGGGAGCTGCCATGGTCCCCCCCATTGAAGCAAAATGCCTGTAGACCGACAACAGCGGGTGTTTCCTGTATATAATTCACCTGGCCGTGCACAGGCAACAATGTGAGTCATGTTTGCTGTGTAATGCTATACACAAAAAGCCTCCTTACATTGTAATGGTATCAGCCCGTAGGGGAAAAAACTCTGCAGCCTCAATTCCACAATATTAAATTCTTTTATCAGATGAGAACAGATGCTAAGTCATTTGCGTTGGCTCACTTGCATGTCTGCCGGTCACTTGCATTCACAAGGATTCGCGGGGCCAACTGCACTTCGTTCGGCCGGCAAACTGTTGGCGAAGTGAAAGCACAATCGTGTTATATCATTGTGTATCACCACCCTTCAACTAGTTTACATCTCCTAAGTTATCCATAGGTTCTGAAAATTCGTATGATAGGGCGCAGAGCTTGAAACCTACAGCCTTCAAAGCCAAAGCACCACCAACCAATCAGGAAACAAAACGCGCCAGCTATCATGCCACCAAAACCGCCAAATATCACAACCACAGCCCCTACACCAGCCTGGCCCAAGCTAACGTTACTGCGCCGCCTCACCAGGCCACCGTGCCCTACTTCCAATCCACCACACCACCATACCGTACCACCGTATACCGTACCACCGTATACCGTACCTCAAAACCAAACCAAAACCACCATGCCCACGTACCGCACCATCGTACCGTTGTCAAACACCGTACCACGTACCGCACCATCGTACCGCGCCTCAAAACCATACCGCACCACATACCGTACCACGTACCGCACCACATACCGCACCACATACCGTACCACCGCACCACCGTACCGCACCATCGCACCGTACCTCTAAAACTGCATTGTACCATGGACCGCGCCTACTTTGGAGAGTGCTGCTGCTTCACTGCACTCTTGGAAAAAAAAATTGCAATGTCTTTTCGCAGAAATCAGGTGTGAAGAGAAATTGCCAGATACGGGAACTAACATCGGAATAAAGATAAACCTGCAACGTCAGGATGTTCCTCCAATTTTTAGAATGGCGAAACATCCTGGCTGCCGCATCCCCACCACTCCCACCATCCTCTCAACCTCCATTCCCTCCCAAAACCTCAAATCCACGAAACCACCCCGTCTGTATCCCAACAAGGTGGTGCGCCCAGTCATGTAAGTTGGTTTAAAATGTTTTTTTTATTCATATCATTTTATAACCCCATCTAAACTATATAGTTCAATAGATCTATCACAACCCCATCGGTAACCTGCACTTTTTTCACCAACTTAGCTGAGGATGCGGGGCGCTTTCCCCATCTCCCCAGCTTCATCGCAGGCGTGGTGCAGGTCGACCTGGACCACGATGCCTCGGCGCAGCAGAGGGCCGAGGAGCGCGGGGAGCGCTTGAAGGCCCTGGAGGAGCCGGCCATCGGGCTGCGCTTCATGGCCAATCCGCAGGCGCTGGGCGTAGCTTCCCAACGGCAATTTCCATGGGGTATGATGATAGACCAGTGGATTTTTGGGGGTAGCCTATTTCTAGACAAACCCGCGATCTATGCTGTATCCTGACTTGGTAGGTATTGATGTGGATGCTTATTGGATATATTAACTCATGACTTCGGACATGTTGATTAAAAAAGAATGGCGGGGTACCTTCTCAGTGCTGTTTCGGGTTGTGGATGGTGTGGACGCTGAAGAGGGCTTAGGAATCTTGGGGGGAAGTTTATGCGGGAAATGCCTCATTTCTGAACGTGGAAACCCGCATTTTTTTAGAACGCGGAAACTAGCTTGGTTTGGAACGCGTATTTGGCATGGCTTTTCCAAGGTTTTCTGATTTCCTGGTTCCCTTCCCGGTTTCCTGGTTTCCTGGTCTCCTTTTTGTTTCATCTTGTATTTTTCCATATTTTTCCCGAGAGCGCCCGAGCGTAATGTTCTTCTAAAAGAAGGAGCTGAGATATTACATCTTCATTACATCTATACAAGCATCTACACATCTTACATCAGCTGATCTTACATCTTCGCCTCTCACGTCAGCTGATCTCACATCCTCACATCTTACGTCAGCTGGTCTCACATCTTCACATCTTACATCAGCTGATCTTACATCTTCACATCTTACGTCAGCTGATCTTACATCTTCACATCTTACGTCAGCTGATCTTGCATCTTCCCCTCACACGTCAGCTGATCTCACATCCTCACATCTTACGTCAGCTGATCTTACATCTTCACATCTTACGTCAGCTGATCTTACATCTTCACATCTTACGATAGCTGATCTTACATCTTTACATCTTACGTCAGCTGATCTTGCATCTTCACATCTTACGTCAGCTGATCTTACATCTTCACATCTCACGTCAGCTGACCTTACATCTTCACATCTTACGTCAGCTGACCTTACATCTTTACATCTTACGTCAGCTGATCTTGCATCTTCACATCTTACGTCAGCTGATCTTACATCTTCACATCTTACATCAGCTGATCTTGCATCTTCACATCTTACGTCAGCTGATCTTGCATCTTCACATCTTACGTCAGCTGAGCTTATATCTTCACATCTGACGTCAGCTGATCTTGCATCTTCACATCTTACGTAGCCTGACCTTACATCTTCACATCTTACGTCAGCTGAGCTTACATCTTCACATCTTACGTCAGCTGATCTTACATCTTCACATCTTACGTCAGCTGATCTTGCATCTTCACATCTTGCGTCAACTGATCTTACATCTTCACATCTTACATCAGCTGATCTTACATCTTCACATCTTACGTCAGCTGAGCTTACATCTTCACATCTTACGTCAGCTGATCTTGCATCTTCACATCTTGCGTCAGCTGATCTTACATCTTCACATCTTACGTCAGCTGAGCTTACATCTTCACATCTTGCGTCAGCTGATCTTGCATCTTCACATCTTACGTCAGCTGATCTTACATCTTCACATCTTACGTCAGCTGATCTTACATCTTCACATCTTCCGTCAGCTGAGCTTACATCTTCACATCTTACGTCAGCTGATCTTACATCTTTACATCTGACATCAGCTGATCTTGCATCTTCACATCTTATGTCAGCTGATCTTACATCTTCGCATCTGACGCCAGCTGATCTTGCATCTTCACACCTTACGTCAGCTGAGCTTACATCTTCACATCTTACGTCAGCTGATCTTACATCTTCACATCTTGCGTCAGCTGATTTCGCATCTTCACATCTTACGTCAGCTGATCTTACATCTTCACATCTTACGTCAGCTGATCTTACATCTTCACATCTTACGTCAGCTGATCTTGCATCTTCACATCTTGCGTCAGCTGATCTTACATCTTCACATCTTACATCAGCTGATCTTACATCTTCACATCTCACGTCAGCTGATCTTGCATCTTCACATCTTGCGTCAGCTGATCTTACATCTTCACATCTTACGTCAGCTGATCTTACATTTTCACCTCTTACGTCAGCTGATCTTACATCTTCACATCTTACATCAGCTGATCTTACATCTTCACATCTTACGTCAGCTGATCTTACATCTTCACATCTTACGTCAGCTGATCTTACACCTTCACCTCTCACGTCATCTGATCTTACATCTTCACATCTTACGTCAGCTGATCTTACATCTTCACATCTTACGTCAGCTGATCTTACATCTTCACGGTGTATGTTTGTAAAAGGTTCTGTGTGTAAAAGTTTGTGAAAGAGTCTGTGTGTAAAGGCATCTGTGTGTCTAAAAGCGTCTGTGTGCAAAAGCGTCTGTGTGTAAAGGCATCTGTGTGTGTGTGTAAAAGCGTCCGTGTTCAAAAGCGTCTATGTGTAAAAGCGCGCGTGTGTAAAAGCATCTGTGTGTTCAAGGGTTGTGTGTAAAAGCATCTGTGTGTTAAAGGGTGTGTGTAAAAGCATCTGTGTGTAAAAACGTCTGTGTGTAAGAGCGTCTGTGTGTAAAAGCGTATGTGTGTAAAAACGTCTGTGTGTGAAAGCGTGTGTTTGTAAAAACGTCTGTGTGTTAAAGCTTCGCGTGTCAAAGCGTCTCTGTGTACAAGGGTCCGTGTGCAAAAGGTGTCTGTGTGTAAAAGCGTCTGTGTATGTAAGGCAGGGCATGTGTGCCTTCGTTCCTTGCTTGCTGCCAGTGCCAGTCCAAATGTTTTTTTCGGAGGGTGTTTTTGTTTGTCTGTATGTTCGGAAATGATCCGGTTTTCGTGTTCCAAAATGAGCCGTCTACATCCGTCTACCAGTTTATGATGTTTATGCTTTCTGTGGATCAATTTCCCTTGTTTTTTTCGGCCCCAACAGGCGTTTCCATCGCCTGGCCTTGGCTCAGGCGGCACAGCTCATCCAAACGGAGACAGCAGCTTTGAAGGAGGACACGGCGGTGAAGCTTGCAGCGGGGGGGTGGTTCAGGCTTCTCGTGGGCTTTTGCGTGTAGAAGTACCATCAAATACAGTACTACAAGACTACCATATGTAAAGATGGCATATAATTATTTAATATTATGTAATATTATGTAATATTATGTAATATTACGTAATATTATGTAATATTATTATGTATACATAAAATCGTCAATTAGATTGGCGACGTTGATTGAATTTAAGATATCACATCATGACAAGGTGTAAGATTGTCAGGTTTGAGGTGCCATCTTCTAACCTTGGTTATGTCGATGATTTAGTAAGAAACAATCTCGAATACGCCAAGAAACGCACTCCATCTCGAAGTGTTGGAAAAGACAAAAGACGTAACAGTTAACAAATTGCCTATTTTTTGTAAAGAACTTCATCTAGTAAATCATCTTGTAAACGGATTCGATCTCTTACTAAAGATTATTTAGTTTATCAAGTATCAGATTCAAGGCGCCAAAATTTGAGCCTTGGTTCCCGAGTCCCAGAGTTGGTTTGAGGGACCATTTGCAGGAAACCGCCAACACTTGGTACTATAAATCAATGGCTTCCGGTCAACTTTTCCCCTTAGACCAATCCATCAAGTGGTGCTTTAGCCGAAAAAACTCGGAGAAAATCCGTGACATTCCCACGTATCACTGGTAAAAATCATAAAATCGCGCCATTTTTGAGGGAAAAAACCTTTTGAATCGGCTGATGTCCTGTTTCCCCAGGAGGATGCTGCCACTCGCCGGCGCGCGCGCGAGGCGGTGCGACGTCAGGCTTCAGAGGCCCTGGCGCGAGGAAGCCGTCGGCGGCAGGGGATGGAGGTAACGGAGAAGGAGGTGAGGACAGGGGTTGGGAAAAAATCGAAAAAGTCGGCATCCGAATGTTAAACACCTGAATGGTCTATAGTCTATATATCAAATTTTCCCCAAAAAACCATGATTTCTAGGTGTTTGACATTAGGGTGAAGGGATTCTCAATTTTGGGGTTTCTCTGAACCATGGATGCCCAACAACCATGGGATTTAGAGGTGCCCCATGTTGAGAGAATCCGGAGGATCGCACAATGGGCAAATTTTTAGGTGAGTTGTTGGTTCATATTGGTTTGTAAATGGGGATTTCAGATGATTTAAGTAGATTTACGGGGCTGGATAATTTTGGAGGTTTTACCTCTGGCAATCTAACCACGGCAATGGAATGCCGCAAGACCACGAATGAACCATAGCTCTAAATAAATGGTTTACCCTATCAGTGGGGTTAGCACAGTACCGGATATTACCGGCTTGGGGGGTTCACAAAATCCTCCATGTTTTTTTTCCAGCAACGCAGATGTTGGATTGCCAAGAATATTTTTTCGGCTACTGGCCAGCAACAAGTCATTCAGGATCCCAAAGCCAAAACTGAAGATGTTTAACCAGTGTTTAAAAGTAGCACAAACCCATTGATTGTTGGGTGTGAATATCCCCAATGCTTGATGTTGACGACAATCGCCCCAGAGGATTGGAGATGTGTCCTGCAGAAGAGGCAATCCGGAGCGACCTGAGCTGGTACCATCCACCCTGTTTGTGCCTGGCCGTCAGTTGGGGGTATGGAAAAGCTAACCGGAAATTAACACCAAAACACCTGGGATTTTACATGCAAACATGAGGTAACGATGGGTAATATATGCAGGGGTCAGCAGAGAAAACCGGGGAGTTGCGTGACCCCAAGCGTTGTGCACTGTGCTTGTCCTGCAGAAGAGACTTCACAATTTTTCTCGAGCCACTCTGGAGTTGAGCGAGAGCAGTTTCTCATGGTTTCAGCTGGGGGCTTTTGTACGGTGCTGTATCGAAATGATGGGTGCGTTGTGGCCTGCGGAAGGAACCAAGGAGGACAATGTGACATTCCTGAATTAGAGGAGGGACTGTCATACACCCCACAGCTTTCGGCAGGTTGGGATCATACAGTTCTTCTGCGAAGTGATGGCCGTGCTGTGACATGTGGAAGCAATCACTGCGGTCAATGTGACATTCCGCCCTTGGACAAGGGCCTGTCCTACGTTCAAGTTTCTGCAGGCTGCACTCATACAGTGCTACTGCGCAGTGATGGCTGGGCTACTGCGTGTGGAAATTATGATTTCGGCCAAGGGCAGTGTGAGATTCCAGCTTTTGGATGAGGGTCTGTCATACCAGCAGGTTTCAGCAGGTCGCCAGCATGCAGTGCTTCTCCGGAGCGATGGCCAAGCCATTTGTTGTGGAAAGAACAGCTACGGACAATGCAACATTCCAGTTCTGCTCGAGGGTGAGGCCTATCTCCAGGTTTCTGCTGGGCTTCACACAGTGCTTCTCCGCAATGATGGCTGTGTGCTATCTTGTGGAAGCACCTATGACATCCTATGACCAACAGCACCGGATTCCTCCTTTGGAAGATGGTGTAGCATACACCCAGGTGGCAGCCGGTGGGATTCACACCGTGCTGCTGCGCAGTGACGGCTCTGCGGTGGCATGTGGTGGCAATAACTACGGACAGTGCGACACCCCACCCTTGCTCCCACAGATCGAATTTTACAGGCTCATCTTGCAGCAGAGGACTAGAATATGGTCATGACGTCATGACATGTTTCGGTTTGGATGGACTTGAAGTGCTGTCTTTGGGGCGACTTGCAGCAGAGACGGACACTGATCTGGCGCATCTTCGTGTGGTGTTGCCGGATGGGCGTTTGATGAATGCAGTCTGCAGTTCGGAGCCAACAACTACACCCGAAAGCCTTTTGAATGCTGAATGACAATTGGACTAGATTGCTTTATGCTATTTTGTACAGCTACAATCTCCAACCAGATGCTGAACAACTTTTGATGATCTTTTGAAGAGAGGTGTGCCACGACCCTGGTGCGTGTAGCAGCACTGTAGCATGTTCTTTCATAGCATAGTGTTTGGAGCTTCCGCCATCGAGTTGTGCGAAGATAGGGTCTCAGAGCTGTGTGGGAGGCGGATCAAATGAACATCATGCCAAAGCAAAATCCACCATGACCCTGAAAGTTCGAATATGTTTGACTACCTGTGTCACTGTGGGTGCACATGAGCGGGCCCAATGGGGCTGCGTGTCCGTTACTCGCATCCTCCAAAAGAGGTGACATTGGCTGGCACTTAATGACCAATGAAACAAATTCATACAATTTCCACTTGCAAAGTCAAAAGCATTGATCCAACCGGAGTGGCAAAGTATGGGAAATTATATCCTGTTTGTTACCCACTTGACCTACTTGTACATTAGATTCACCTCCAACTCCTCCTATCCCTCATGTGAATTCAGGTCGCATGTTTGTCCAAGGTGGATATCCCCCAACATCTCGCAGCCTTGCGTGCCATGATGATTGATTGGCAGTTGGGCCGGCACCTTCTGCTCATCGGGAACCAGGGGGTTGGCAAGAACAAGTTGGCGGATCGCTTCCTAGGCATGTTGCGTTTGGAGCGGGAGTATCTGCAGCTGCACCGAGACACTTCGATTTGAGCAGAGTCGGCGATGTTTCTTTCTAAACATACTTTTCCCGTTGATCAATTGGTAAATCATGGTAAATGTAAATCCACTATATCTTTGGCGAATCTATAGGGTAGAATTTTCAAAATTTGACCCATCTAAAATACGGCAGGCTTCTTCAAGCAACGGCCAAGAAAAATCAGGACACCACGGTGCAATCCCTGACGATCCAACCCATGCTGCAGAACGGGGTGGTCATCTACCAAGACTCGCCCCTGGTCTCAGCTGTACGCCATGGCCGGGTGCTGGTCATCGATGAGGCAGACAAGGCACCACTGGAAGTGGTGTGTATTCTGAAGAGCCTGGTGGAAGATGGTGAGTTCGCGGCCTGGCGGATGGTTTTCAGGGTTTTGGGCCGTTTTGGGTGTGCGTGTATACATAATATACGTATACACATAATATAATATATATATATATATTTATAACACATATAAAACACACACACATATATATATAATATAATATAATATAATATAACATAATACGCAATACGCATTAGAATCGTTTTTTTAAACATAGATGTATGGCAAGTAATTATTTTGGGATCCAAGTATGTCCAACTAGATTTTGGTTCACCCCTTCGCAACACATTGGGGTCCAGGCTCTTGGCGATGGCCGCAGCATTATGAAGCGCGGCCGGCTTCCCAAAGACCTCAGTGACCCGGATCCCAAGCTGCTGCTGATCTCCGAGGGGTTCCGGATGATCGTCCTGGCGAATCGTGGCCTGATTTGAATTCGGTGAGGCCAACATTGAAATGACCAGATACCCTCTGGTAAACTCACATAACTATGGAAAATCACAATAGCTAGGCTATGTTAGTTTACCAGAGGGTATCCAACAGGTGCATTCCCATGTCTTCCCATGTGTTCCCACCACTTCCCCATCCCCACCTCAGAATTCCCCAGGTCCGGGCTATCCCTTTCTGGGCAACGACTTCTACCGCGAGTGTGGCGACGTCTTCGCCTCGCATGCCATCGACAATCCGGAGGTGGCGTCGGAGGTGGAACTGCTGCGATCGTATGGGCCCAACGTGCCGCAGGACAGGATGGGATGGCTGTTCTGGGTGTGCCAAGATGAACACATTCAGGTTGGAGATGAGTCAGTACTTTGGGGATGACTTTTTTTTACAACATTTTTTTTTTTCTCCTATCATTGCTTATCATTGTTATCATGTTCGTTCCTTGCATATAATAAAGCTGCCGACCCCGGATCAGGTCATGTTTTTTAAAGGTCACTTTTTTTTGCTCTTATCGTTATTTCTCTGGCTAAGAGCTTACATTCACCTGGCATGATCATAGGTAATTGTCGTGCATGGCATGAATACTTCAGGTTCGAACCCCATCCTAGCTTTCAGCCCCATGATTTCGGAAAATGAATTTTCAATGATTCAAATCCTTTTTTAGGATGCGTTGATCGACTCCTACAGTTATTTTCATTGGTGGCCAAAAAAATTCACCTTGTCCATGGCATCATCAAGCTGGCCTGCATTAGATCTTTGGGTTCGGGTTATGGGTCAACATTTTTGGACCCAAAATGGAACGAGTTTATCTTCTGGTAACATGGCAATGAAAAATAACCCCATGTATCGGTGATTTTCCAATTAAGACCTCCCATTTATATCCATTTGCATCGCGGATTTTCCAGCCATGCATGTTTGAAGGGCCGGCCATTTGTGAGCCCATTGGTGCCACAATGGCTCAACCGCACCGCAGGAGCAGCTGGTTGCTTTGCTGGGGCTGTTTGTTGAGTTGCGCAGGCTGGTGGAGGAGCAGCAACGGCTAGGCTTGGGGTGTTTCAGGGATAGTGTCTTTGTGAAATGTGTGAATTGAGAGAGTCTTTTCAATTCTTTTCATTCAGGTTTTTCCCGCAGTCATGGATCTAAACAAGTCTTCTGTTTTCTTTCTTATCTTTCTTTTTCCACTCTCTCTCTCTCTTCCTTGAAATCAGTACCTGTAATTATGAGACTTATATTGTTATATTATAGTTGTATACGTCGCTTGATTCTCATCTCCTATTGATCTCCATCAAAATACCGTGACGCTTTTGGCATCTGATTTCAGCGTGATTTTTGTTTCATGGGATTTCATCTTAATTTTTTACCGATTTAACCACCCCCCCCCAGGCCAGTCACCCCCCCCAACTATGGCTTGGCCAAGCAGGAGGGTTTGCTGGCCTACCCCTACTCCACTCGGGAGCTCGTAAAGATCGTGAGGCATCTGGAAGCTTGGAAATCCGAGTCGGGGGTCACGATTGGGTCACGATTTGTTGAACGGCAACCCGCCAGGAGCAACATGGTGATTTGGTCACAGAATCAGTTGCTACGGGGCGTCAATTTCGAGTGTCTGGAAATTCATCAACACTTGTCAATAATCAACAAACGAACCTACCACCCAATCATTCATAGTGGGGCTGACCCATCACTGTCTGTTTGATGACTGGATCAATATATCGACCATGGCGCGACTGAGGAGAGTTTCCCAGACGACCCAGTGGAGGATCTCCATCTTGCCGTTGTGCCATGTTGAGTGGTTCATGATGGCTACAGAACGATGGTTGATGGTTGATGAATGTTGCTGATGGTACATGGTTAACCCGGGTTAACCCATTCGTGTTGATTTAATGATGGTTGATGATGGTGGTTAAATGTTCTTGAATTTTCTTTACAGCGGCGCATTGCGGGTCATACCCAGCTTGCTTTTTGGATGTAAGTACGCCCCACCCCATTCATCCAACATAGCAGTGGGAAGAAAAGACAAGATTTCGTTTCGACCAGACATGATATACAGTACGAGTTTGTAAGTTTCCAGCCGCTTATGTTCGTTCGCCAAGAGTGCTCCATAGAAACGGTCTAGGATTAAACGTCGTGGACTTGTAGATATGACATGACATGAGTTCAGAATGATTCATGACAATCCACTGCCACAGTGCAGGTTATTTATATAAATATAATTATATATATATGTATGCTTGGGGTGTGATTAATACACCCATATGCGCCCCATCAACTACAGGCTTAGGGGCTGGTGATCACCACATCCATCCATCTTCAGGTCCCAGAGCACTAGTTGTGGATTGATTTTCCCACCAAATCCACCGTACCTGCAAATCGTATGGGGGTATTTTCTGTTGCCGAGCCAAATTTACCGGCGGTTTCAATTTCGTTGTATGCTCAATTTGGATGGGGCAGCCAGATATCAATCGGGTTTGTGTGAGGGAAACCCGCGGCATTTTTTCGGGACACCATGATTTTGTGACCACGTTTATCATCGTTTATCCATGTTCTTACTGACTGGGAACTCGCATGAACTCGCAAATATATCTTCACGGCACGGTACATTTTCTTTTTTCACCTACTTTTACAAGCTTTGCACCGTTTTTACATTTTTTCTTTTACTATACAATATGTTATTGACATATATTTTTTTTTAAAAAACATATTTTGACTCAGTGATCTCCTTTCTCCAGGAGGTCTTCGCAGACATCTTCGCCTTCGACTGGCACGACCGGAAGCTGCGAGAGCAGCTGGGCCAGGTGCTTCTGGGCTGCGGCTTCCGAGGCTTTGAGGTCTTCCAAGGCAAGGGCAAGCAGCATGGAAACGCCAAGAGGCGGTTGCCCAAGGAGATCTTTGGGGTGGGATGATGTGGGATGGGTAGCCACTGGAATCCATTGGTTCATCATGTTCCACAGTAAAATATGGCCGTTTGGATCCATTGTTTGGATCCATTTGCGGGGTGTAGCCGCGCATTTTTGGTGCACAACTGGGGTCCGCACTGTGGCCAACCTCCCAGGACTTCAAGTCTGCCAAGCACTATGACTCCGGAGAGAATGCGGAGACTTTGCTTCGGTGTTTCGATGATGGGAAAACCCCTGAAAGTAGGGAGGCTCAAAGATAAACGGCCCAAAAACCTATTATGACTATTATGCCTTCAGTAGATCTTCAGTTGGAAGATCTCTATGGAGACGCTGCAGTTTTGAAGAGGCCACTTCTGCGCTGCCGCTACGCCGGAAGTGTGAGATGATTCTGATGCCGAAGTTCTGAGCAAAACTCAGCAGGAATATCTAGCCTGTTGTTCATGTGGATTTGTCCTATTGTCCTATTTTCTCCAAACACGGAGGATTACCCCAAGTTATTTCATTTTGATTTTGAACATGTTTTTCCTTCTTGTCAGACCATGGGACTTTTGAGTGCCCTATTTACTGTGTGGACCCGTGTCTTAGGAGAACGACGGTGAAGGTGGCAACCCCGGCGACGTGGGCACCCGCGACTACGACGACGCCACGGACCACTCGGGGAAGCGCCACGCGCCCAGGGCCGGCAACTGGGATGGACGGCAGCATATCGGCGAAGGACCCTGGGATGGTGGATCTGGTGGCACCGGAACCGCTGCTTGGACTTGGTGTCATCATGCTTTGATATGTTTTTACTCTCTGGTTATTTAACGTAGCGAACTGGAAAATCACGAGTGTTAATATAGATTGAATAGGGAAATCACCATAAATGATCTATAAATGTGCCATTTTCCATATAGCCATGTTACAGAACCAGAGGGTAATAGGTATTGGGATCTACTATATGGGGGATCCCCACCTATCATTGGTGGATTCATTCCAAACAAGGATAAACCATTTCAGTTGGGATCATTCACAACACAAGTTACATTGGGACTGAACCCGGCCCCCCTGCAATCATCAACCAATTATCCATCATAGAATCACATAGAATCACCCCAAGTCAGGGTGTGCCCAATTTCATAAACCACCAATTATTGTGGATTCCACCGGAATTGTGACATGCCAAAGGTTGCTTGGTCTCGAATATTTTCATATATTTTCTGACACGGAATTCTTGGGAAACGGTTGGGTCTAGAGTCTGTAGCCTATGAAATTCTATGAAGTTCCCTGTGATATCTTATTTTCAAGCCGTAAAAATCCGAAAACATCAATTTGGATAATTTTGGAAGATATCTAATGATATCAGATAATGGTCCATATATATATAATGATATCAGATAATGATCCATTGATCCATGTCAAATTTCTGCCCGGATTCTCAAATTGGATCCTCTTCCGTGTCTACGGAAAGTGACGATCGCAGTGAGGCTGGCATTGGAGGCCGTGCTGGCCCTTACCGTTTGGATGTGGGACAGGAGCTGGTGATGTTGACCGAAACTTCGCCCGCAGAGCAGCTGTGTAAGGAGTCTTAAGGTGAACATGGGCCAGGAATGTCCAAAAAGAAGTGATACCCAAACTATCCCAAACTCAATGTGTTTAAACTGTTTTCCTATGTTTTGCTGAACACAGTAATCCGGGATGAACTGGGAAATGGTGGAACTTGTGTATCCAGCATTGTTGGACATGTCATTGAATCAATGTGAGCGCCGAAATCTGGTAAACGTGTGTGCTGCATTTATGTATCATTTATGTATATATATATAAGAGATATACTACACATATGTATGCATATATTATATATTTATATACATTCATGCCGCATGTTCTGCACTGCACCAAGATGCAATCGTTCCAGGAAACTCCAATTGTTTCAGGAAAGAAAACCATGAACATCCATGAACACCTTAACCTGAACCCGACTTATCGCATCTTATCACTGCGAAATGCCCCTTTTTTAAGGGTGGCCCAGGAAGAGCAAAAGAAGGAGGTCTCAGAAGAATGGCACCGGAAGGCCCAGCAGATGGCAGATGAGGCCTACGCTCATCGCCTACATGAGCTGAAGATGAGTGGGCATGATGAGCAGGAGCAACTTTGATGGTGATTTCCCATGGGATTTAACCAACAACCATTGGGATTTATATGGATTTATTGGGATTTCCCATGGGGATATTTTTTGGGAGAATAATGAGATCATGATGAACAAATGGAGGTTTCCTAAGTCATTGATGTCAATTGGAGGTACTCCAAATCAGCCTGAAAGTCATTAGACTATTTACCCTCTGGTAATTTAACGTAGCTATTGAAAATGGCCATTAATAGTGGATTTTCCCATTAAAAATGGTGATTTTCCATAGTTATGTTAAATTACCAGAGGGTAAAGATTGCAACTCCCATGGTGACTTGGAGATCCGCCATGACTTAAGAACACATCCGTTACTGGGCCGCTGCCTGACAGCTCAGCAAAACCGGGCTGGGCCGCTGGCTGACACACAGTTTCTGCTCGCCTTCAGTCTGTGACTAAACTCTTGGAGAGGGCGATGGAGAGAGAGAGAGAGAGAACTACAATGATCTATCTATCTATCCTACCCTATCCTATTCTATAGTATTCTATTTACTATTTGACATGTGGATATCTTCATGCATACATGCACCACCATGGACCTAGAAATATCTAGAAATATAGACATCTATACTCCAACGCACTGTGTTGAGCTGCCAAGGTACGCCGCCCTGCGGGCTGCCGTGGAGGCACAGATCGCAGCCTTTCAGCTGGTGTTGCAGAGCCATGAGGCGCACAATCAATGGATTTTTGGTCATTCCCATGGGTTATAACTTATAACTTATAACTTATAAGTTATAACCTATAGTTACTACTTTTAATGCGGGATTTTGCCAATGCCATAAACCTATCATTTGGGGATGGCTTATTACGCCTTATTGTTGGGTTTACCACATGATATTTAACTGAAAGAAACTATTGATTTATAGCATGATCTAGGCAGCAGCAATGAGGACTGGAACCCAGCTAATGAGAAACAACACATTGTTGACGTGACATATCATGAAATCGAATTCATGCAAATTCACATGACATGTCAGAAAGACATAAATGATCATAAATGGGTGTCATATCACGTGATTCTGTAAATGCAATAGAAACATCCAATTTACCGATGATCCACCGATGATCCCAATATGAATTTCAAGGGCCTCTTGGATTCCAGGCAAAGGAGCGGGAACGAACGTGGCAGAAGCAGCAGGTGCAGGTGGGCGTCATCCGTCTGGGGACAAAGGGGAGATAGTGGGATAAGATTGAGCAGCTTATGAAGGCTTACGGGGATCATCACGGGATATTTTCTTCACCAACAATAGAATACGTTTATTTAAAACAGCATGAGGGAACACACTCAGCTTTGTTGCCAAAATTCTCACCAACTGCCATCAACATTTAAAATCAATCAAAACAATCCAGTCATTCTAGTTCTTAGTTAGATATTCCATGAATATCTCCATTTCCATTTACTACAATGTCAACCCTGGATTAATGACCCCTCCGGGGCTGTTGAATTGGTTTTTGGGTGCGGTACCATTTAAGTATCACCTATATGGGGGTTTCCTAAATTGAGGGTACCCCTAAATCATCAATTTTAATATATTTTAATAGGATTTTCCATTATAAGCCATCCAGCTATTGGGATACCCCCCCCTTTGTGGAACCTCCATATATGGTTGATCCATTCCATCATCCCCACGCTGCCGAGGGCGAGCTCGACGAGATGCGCCTGGTCGACGGCATCGCCGGGGCCAAGAACATCTACCGCCGCCGCGGGGAGGCGGAGGACCTGGGTGGAGACCAACAGCTGCGGAAGCGGATCAAGTTCGTGATGGACTGCAGCGGCGTCTTGGGCAAAATATGGCAAAATTAATATGTGTTTATATAGTGATACATATATGTGTGGGATATTGTTAGATTATTGTTAGATTTTTAACGATGGTATACTACTACTATTTATTCTAACTATTATTGGGCTTAATATTGGTGATTTTTCACATGATTTAAGCATCAAATGGGGATTTAACCATCACTAATGCTGGCATAATCCCCATTTGGGGATGGTAGTTTAACCTAATCCCCTTGGCATCAAGATCTTCCAGCTCCTGGGCCCGAAGGCTCTATGTACACCTTCAATCGCATTGACCAGCGCTTGCAGCGTTTGATGGAAGCTTCAATCTTCATTTTCGAAAGTTTCGCCGGCTTCGAGCACAAGTATGAGCAACTTGGATACCCTCTGGTAATTTAACATAGCTATTGAAAATTGCCATAGAAATAGTGGATTTACCCATTGAAACAAGTGATTTTTTCGTTATTTAAACGTTTACCAGAGGGTAACTTGGGCTGGAAAATTTGGTGCAGCTGGTGATCACAGCGATGTCCAAGGTACTCCATGGTGGGTCACAGTGGCACGGGGCCAGAGGCTGAACTGCTGGTGCCCTGGGGCAAGCCGCCCAGGACTTGGGGGACCTGGGTGTGGCTTACCAGATCTTACCAGTAATCCCTTCCCTCTAAGTCACCTATAGCCTATTCAATACTACCCAGACACCCTTGGTTTAGTAGTGATCCTTTTTGTTTTTTGGGGCCCTTTTTGGGGTTGTTATTTTCTATTAGGCGGACGGGATTCGGGATTATTGGATAATTAAGTGGGCTTACGGCATGTAAAAGTAAAAACCAGCTATAAATGGTATGATCCAACTTGGAGAGCGTAATCCGGGTCCTTAGCCAGTCACGATCCATGGGGTGGTCCTTCAAGTAGTCTGAGAAGCCATCGCCAGCTCCAGTGGGACCTGAGGGGGACGGCTCCTGCAGGAACCCTAAAGAGCAGTTGGCCATCGTGAAGCAGATGGCCGCTCATGCGTCATGTGGCAGCAAGCTGGCCCGCTGTTTTTTTTTGAAAAATCAGGAGCGAACTCTTGATTGACTTCATTTGACTTCTAATTTCTTTCATCTTTTGGAAATAAATGGCATAATTACCAGCATTAGCATTGATGGGAAGAACTTGAGCACATCCCAAAACCTTTTGAACCGAGAATGATACCGGTCTCTACGAGTTTGACCCAAGACATCATTAGAGGCTGAACCATTCAAAACTAGCACTTGAGGGTGGGGCAGTTTGATCCTTTGTCTATTCCAAGATGGGCGTACTACCTTACTTGGATGTGCATCCCACTTAGCGGGTGGTTTAGTTAGCCCTCGATGATATTTGCTGATCCCTCTTCATTTTCAACATGTTTTTTTTTGGAACTATTTCTGCAAATGGATGGAAATGGGTTGTATGGTTATAAACGCGTTCGGTCTAACCTCAAGTAATCAAACCATTTAAAATACATTTAAAATATTTAAATACCAATTCAAAAGTAATTGACTTACAAACTGGGATGCGCTGGATGCACATCTCTAAGTGCAGAAGAGATCACGCTCAAAATTGGCGAGGCAATACTCCCACAGCGGAGATCACACCTTGCAAGCCACCGACCGAGCCATCAAGGAGGGACGATGTGGAGGGGCACCCAACCTGCCAACCAATCCGTCTGTGTTCGGTGCTTTTGTTTTGTTGAAATAGTTCTTGAGTTGTTTCCACCACTGCCAGACAATTCCAACTGGCCGTTTTTTGTTGGGATCGGATTGGCAGCAGCCGCTGGTTGCACAAGGACGTGTTGCACAAGGCCGGGGATGAGTACTATGTCTTCGTGGTCAGTGACGCAGACTTGGGGCGCTATGGCATATCTCCAAGTTCCTGGAATAAGATCCTGATGCAGGTGGAGACAGCTGGTGTTTCCCCTGAGCCGAAGGGTGAAGCAGAAGATCCAAAAAACATGGGGTTCCGAAAATGATGTGTAGCTGCTGGAAGTGATCTATATCTTGGCACATTTACTAGCCGGGTATAGCTCATTTTCAGACATCCGGATATCACTAGCAAAGGTCAACAGCATCCGCTTGCCGCATCGCTTGGGTTGATGTTTGGCGAGGACAAGAGGGTCAACGCCTACGTGATCCTCATCAGTTCCAATACCGATGAAGCAGAGACGATCAAGTCGGGCCTCACTCCTGGACATGGTGGCTGGGTGGAGATTTTCTTGTCAATCTCATTTTTTTTTGACCGACATTTCTCTTGCCAGTTGTTCCTGTGGATGATAAAACACGAAAAGATACGAAAAGACTGACAAGGAACCTGTCACCAGCTTGGTGTTTAGATGTTTCGCTGTAGATTTTGATCTTTTTCCAGTTTTTCCTCACTATCCCCTTCTGAGAAACCAGTCCCTTTTCCATCCACTTGTCCAGTTGTGGCTTCGCCCAGGCTTCGTTTGTGACCACAACGACCTCTTGGCCGTGACCTTCAAACAGGTCTTCTCCGTCACGATGCTCCGCAACCGCACCTAGATGCACCAGCTGAGGGCTAGAGACGAAGAGATGGTAGAGATGGTGGGAAAAATAAGGGGTGAAGCTATGGAGAAGTCCTCCGAGTCCTCCAAGTCCAAGTGATCCAAGTGCCAGGTGGATGAACACTCAGCTCCAGTGTCCTGGATGCCTCGGGATGCCACCCTGTGGATGGAGGATCAACGGCTGCGTCGTTTCAGCACCTGGTGGCCTTTTCGCCAAAGGCAGCCAGCAGAAAGGTGAAGTGACCAAGCGCCAGTGTTGCCATGAATGAAAAATCGAATTCATACTGACCTGCCAGTGTTGTTGAATATCATTATGTATATATATATACAGTTTTATGATATATTATTATATATGCCATGTGCATAAGAACATGACTGGAATGAAGAGTTTGGGGGTAACTAATTCATTGATTAATTATTTACACACACTCATATATATATATATACATATACTAACTTCAATGGTACGTGTGCGTATTTCATTTGCATATCCAGCATATGTACATGATACGTGCGCTGACACGAAGCTCCGAGGTCATCCTGGTGGCTTCCAACGCCAAGGCCAGACCGGAGTCTGGGAGCTGGGGGGTAGGTCACTATTCTACTTGACAGTGAATAATCGTTGATGTAATATATAATATATAATTACTTATAAATACACATATCTATCTAATCTATCGATCGATCTATCTATCTATCTATCCATCCATCCATCTATCCATCCATCCATCGATCTATCTATCTATCTATCTATCTATCTATCTCTCTCTCTATCTATCTATCTATCTATCTATCTATCCGTATTTATCAATCAATCTCTCTCGCTCTATATAATCAATATAAGTATGTAAATCTTTCACAATCTTTAATATACTGTAGTTTGAAGTTCTGGGACAGGGTTGGACCAGTATCCTCGTGCAGGCCGGTGCCGCCAAAGGCACCGTGCGGCCTGAACTCCTCAAGGGAGCCACCGAGGCACTTGGGATGACAGGAATGGGCAATAATGGGCACTTTGGATAGCTAAGATTTACTAAAAAAATGTCACTTTTATACCGCCATATTTTATCCCATGGTGGTATACTGATCAAGGGAAATAATGGCCATCAATATGGCGGTATAAAAAATGGGCACCCATTTAATCCGATAAAATTCAGGAAGTCCATCGATTTCCAGATCAAGATCTATTCAATTGAATATTTCCACACATGGTCAATCCTCAACATCTTACCCTACTGTAACACCTACACATGGATGTGGTTTTCAACCCACCATCTGTAGAACATTTTCCCAGGGAAACCATGTGTTTTCCACATCTTTCGGTATGTTTACCCTAGGGTACCTTCTTTTGGCTGGAGAAGCTCCAGGATCCGTCGATGGACTGGATCACCATGGGTTATCCGCAGTTGGCGCAGGCCTGGGAGAATCACATCCGGGTTGGCACCTTTGAAATAGAGATTTGAGACCCGAGGGGGTAACACCTGTTTCTTCGAAATCTCTGGATAGTGGTTTCAACATGTTTCAACTATCCTCTTGGGAATCGAACATAGCTATTGCAAATGGCCCACTTATAGTTCATATTGCGACATTTTTAAATGGTGACTTTCCATAGCAAACTGTTAGTTTCCCAGAGGGTAAATCCTATGAATCTATATAAATCCATTCTTGTTGGTTATATAAATCCCATAAACCCCCCATTTTCAAAGACTTCATGTGGGATATGTGGGTACTGGGCTGAGTTCGAGATCCTTCTGACGTTCTTCCGGCCCTTTGGGAGCCAGGCCAGTGGCAAATATTACTTTGAGGTGCACCTGATTGAAGGAGACGCAGCGGACCCTACCTGATTTTTGGTCAGAAATGGATCGAAATGGGGGGATGTCATCAAAAAACCATGCCCAAGAAATGAGGTTTGCACTTTGGTTCACCACAGTATTCAGTAACATGTTTTTGAGCCACAGCCTGAGAAGGCCAGCTGGAACATGATTTGCGGATGATCCCAAGAGATTCGCTGCGGTTGGGTCCATTTTGACTTCGCATCTTGAGGTGTAAGAAGAATTCTTCTTACTGGTTCTAGGAAAGCTGGAACTGGGACCCTACAATCTCCGAACCTAAGTGGCGTGATGTTCTATCAGCTTCTCACCAGATTTGAGCAAAAGAATGCCATCAATAGGACATCATATGTTTTGGTAAGTGTCATCATGCCATTCACTTTTCATGAATAATGGAAAAATACCCACCATGAATCACCAATGATGTTTACCCAGGAGCCGAGGCTCCTCAGGTGGGCCTTCTCAGCAAGGAGCGGCGGCTTTGGAATTTGGGGTGTCCATGGGTATCCACCCATTTTATGGAAAGGCAATTTAATAATGGCCACGCCTTCTTTCGGTTGATGGCATATGACGTCCAGCAAAAACACATTTGGAATTGAATGGCATCCAAGATTCCACGTGGACACATGATATGGTCAAACAGGTTTGACATGAATAATGCCCCTCCAGCAGGCAAGGTCCTCAACATGATGACCCCTCCATGGATGATCAGCCCATTTGTATATGTTCCACTGAGCTTAACCAACATGACAGCCAAAGAAACGAAACTTTTGTATTGGATCTCTTTATTTTGGGGGTGGCATTACTACGGTAGGTATCACTTAAAGGTCATTCATTTGGCACGTGCCACTTGCACAGCTCCAGGATTTCAAACAGCAGCCGGGCGCTCCGAGCACGCAGGTGGCAGAGAAAAATGGTAGTTCTGTGGGGCCGTTTGGCAATACATTCATTGGGTGTTGGTTTCAGGCTTAAGGCTTGGTTTAAAGGGGAAATTGCAGGAAGCCATATGAAGCGCCATAATTTCTGCCATAAGAAATGGTGGGGTCTCCTCCTTTCAATTTCTCCGATTTGGATGAAGAATTTATCCAAATACATGCAGGGGCGGAAACATCCGACATTGCCACCCTTTTGGGTAGAAAGGCCGTGTGTAAGTGCAACTAGCATTTTTTGGACCAAGGAATGGGGGGGACTCAGACATGTAAGAATTATGACCACAATGAAAATCGGGTTCATCCTACTTCCAAGCTTATCTCCGGGTATTATATATATATATATACACATAATCACAGAGAGAGAGAGATATATGTATATATATACTGTATATATATATAAATATCCACGTTCCGCTGAGTAAGAATAAGACGGATGAACAACCAAGTGGGGATCCCAAGGCCCGGAAAGTATGCGGGCACGCACCACCCTGGGATTTTGGCAGGGCAACCAGCTTCACCTTTGAAAATGCAGACCTTGAATCAGCCGCCAGGGAGTTGGAGATTGCGCGAATGGCTGGGTGCGATTCCTAGTTGATCCCAAGCTCAACTCGTTACAAGCCACTTGGAAGCTGTTTCACTCACCCATTGGAATCATATATTGCTTGGCAATCTTGCCATCCTATGCTTTTTGGAAGAATACCATCCAGTGAACTAGCATATATGGAACATCCGCCGTTTGTAGATCATTCCCAGACAGCAACCCGTGGATTTCCGTAGCTACATTGGTCCTGAGCTTATGAGGCTGTGGATGGACAGAGCGCAATCCGCTGGCATAGAGGCGGGGAGTGATAGAGAAGCTATGGGGAAAACAGTGTTGAACAAATATTTGGAAAACTCGTCTACTTTTTTTTGGAACCCCAATAAATAGTTTCTCTCTCTCTCTCTCTCTCCCCTCTCTCTCTTTCTCCCTACGCGCACACACACACACATAAATAGCTAAAAGTCTTTCTGTTGTGATATATACCCCTTACGAAGGGAACTATCATTAGGAGACGGCCCTGGGCAAAATGCATTTCACATTTTATTTCTCGACGATGGACCTGCCGCATCAAGATCTTCCAGATTTCATGGAACCTCCAGAATGATTTTATAGGGATTTGACAAATGGATGGCTGGAATTGAAAGACAGATTCTTGGACTGCAACGACCCCGCCAGATTCTAAAACTCACAAGAGAGTAAAGTCAAGTCTTTCACCACGCCCATGTCAGGTGAGGCATTGCCGTGGGCCCAAACATGGCCTTCTGCCGAGGCCATTGGGGGCATATGTATCTTAATTATTGGGTGTACTCTCTATGGTGCTCTTGATATTACAATGGTGTTTCTTCCACCGCCCATACTTGATGATTTTCTCCTGGGGGGGCATCTGGGGTTGTTTTGCCTCAGATTTGCCTTTATGAAGGCTACTTCACTGTTGTTCCCAAAGTTTCCGCAGTATATCGGGGGATATATCGCGGTATAGCCATAGCGGTATATATGGCTGTATTGTTTACAGTAAGGTTTACGCGGTTGAAGTTCTCCTAGCCATTTTTACCGTGGCTTTGTCTTCTTCAACTGCCTCTTTGTTTCTCTGTCGGGATGCTCAGATGCGAAGGGCGGATCCTGTGAGAGCATCAAACAGTAAGACTCTACTTCATCGGGTGAGAATTGCCTGACCTCACATTTCTGCAAACTTTGATTTCACCCAGACAGCTTTGCAACGCTTTGCATGCATCCACTGAGTTTCGTCGTGATCCTTTGCCAATGCTTAGTTGGCTTGTGCTGCCCACAAGTCTGTCTAGGAACAGCACGAATCTCATACGTACAATATTGGATGGAGTATGATGGAGTGTTTGAAGCCATTTTTGCAAAGCAATGAGCCAATCAAAGTTCCAAGTCTTTGTGGGCAGCAGTAGGCAGAATTGGAAGAAAACAGGACAAGCACGCACCTGTTTCCTTCTTGGAATTTTTGATCTCAAGGAAGCGTGTGTGCGGTAGATAGTGAAGCAGCTTCATTTGCGGGTTGGCATCAGTCATTCGCTGCCCATGCCAAGGATGCTGCAAAGCCGGCTTGCAGTTCTCTCAATGTGTGTGTTTGGTGCGGTCATGATTTGGTTTCGACCGCGTGCTCTCATCTTTAGTCCAGTTCCCGCTACTCTTGGGAAGGGACGATCAGCTCACCTCACAGCCACTGGACACGGCATCAATTTGGTGGAAGAGCCTTGCCGCCACGGGGCACACCATGAGCTCCAGGCCTCGAGCCCAAAGATCCCCGCTTTCAGCTCGAACGCGCCCATACACATCAACATGAAGCACATCAACATCAAGTTGGATCGCAACGTTCTCAAGTGGATTTTCAGGATTTTCTACCTATGTTTGGATGGCTGGCTCAACGATTTCTCTTCTCATCAGAGTTGCTGCAAAATTCACGAGCAGGAAAGGGAGATTCAGAAAAAGGATCTGCCAGAGATATACGAGATACCCGAATTGATCAAAGGGCTGGACCGCTGGCACCTAGTCTATCGTGTTCCATGTCTCCCTTCAAAACGAGACAAGCAGTGGAACAATACAATTTTGAGAAGTCAGGAAGAAGGGGAAAAGAAAAACAGGGAGTCAAGTACGTTCAGGTGGCTGATGATTTCCGGCGTTCTGGTCTGTGAGAATTGGGCTGAGGACGAGGCCCTCAAAAGGCTTGACAAAGATTCGGCTGGACTGGCTGGTCCTAAGGAAGTTGGAGATCGCCAAAGCTCCAGCATCTTGTTATGTTCATGCTGTGTTGCAGCACTTGGAGGGGGCCTTGCAGCTGTGAGTTTGCAGATGTGGACAGAAAGGAGAGGGGTGCTCCCCTTCGCTGACAGCTCTTCCGATGCATTCATCATTGCCGCTGTGATCGCTTTCGTATCCATTGGAAGTCTTTCTGGCGGTGGCCTTGTGGAAGTGGATCATCAAAGAGACGTGACTCAGATGTTTTCGGTATTTCTGGAAGGAATGATCCTTGGCGTGGCCGGTTTGTGGAAACTGGATGATTTGTCCAGACAGCGCATGCAGCGCCTTTGACATCCTTCAGTGCTAGTAGCCAGTCGCACGGTTTCTTGCCAAGTCTAAGTGGTTCTTTTTAAGGGTTTTGACCTGCAATGCAAGGAGAAAAGGTGTGGCAGATTGGCAGATGTAGACAGAAGATCTGTGGGCATCAGCCTTTCAACAGGTCTGGAAATAGACAAAATCACCTGCAAAGGCTTAGCACATCCACCATCTTTGCCTCAGTAAATGCCAGATTCAAGTCACTTAGGATGGTTGCACGTGCACTGTAAGTCTGTGCCACACTTTGATAAAGCAGGCAGCTAGAAGCATGCTTAGGGAAATTGACCCCACACAAATCCCTCCGCATATATACATCCCACCGCCTGCTTCGAGGTCAGACAGCATCCACTATTGGATCCTGCAGGTTCATCCCGCAGGTGCTTAAACATCTTAGAGTTTGATGGTTTATTTCTATATGCATATAATTCACAATTCATATTTGCAAGGAAGTATTAGTGAGAGACTTTGACGGAGATGCGTTAATGGTTGGAAGATTTGGACAACATTTCGGCGCTGCTTGAGGCCTGCTGCTCGGATCCATGCTAGTATTGTAAATATAACATGTATTAACATGTAATATATTCATTTTGAATATGCATATTAGATATATACCGACATATTCGATGGCACATGCAGATATTATATATGTACACAAGTGTTTTCACCAGTTTCATGTTGCAAATAGGGCCTTATCGCGCGCTGGCCCAGGTTTTAACATGTTTTAACCACAGTGAGCCAGTTTGAAGATGTTCTTAAGTTGGACAACGGGTTTCTTCAATATAACAACCTCAGATCTTGATCACCAGGCACGTCAGCCTGTCTTCCTGAGTTCCTGGGGAATTTTCCATGGACCACGGCTCCAAACCACGTGACGTTTCGAGGGCACCAGAAAGCTCAGTGCAGCTGTTGGGCGCTCAGATTTCGCAGGGTGCAACCCTGACATTGTTGACATTGTTGACGCAGTGGAGACTGCACCATGCAAACAATAGGCGTTTTGTAGGCCCGATTCACCAGCATTCTGGAACCCTTCTTGATTTCGAATTTAGAAGGCAGATGAAGGCAGCATATGGTAGCACATCCAAAATCGCAATCCATGCCTGAAGATATTCCCCAGGGCGATTCTGCATACATGGCGTTAAATCGTTTACGCAGTCTCGACTCAATAGTGGTAGCACCAGTCAGTGGGTAGATTACAGAATCCGTCTCAAACTTTTGTGTAGAAAGAACAGCTGCAGAATAATCAGCAGGTGAAAACTTATGATACACTTTTCTAATCTTTTCTAGCGATTTGGAAGTCAATGTGAAATGGATCGCATTGGTGCAAGTTGCCAAGAGCTGCTAGAGTTTAGGCTGAAGCCCTAACGGGTGCATCGCCTGCATCGCGGCCATGAATCCTGGCACCGCCGCGGTGGTCGTCACCGGATCATTTTTTGGTTCCTTCTGCCGCGCTGCCACGGGCTTTGGGGGGTCCATCATCTTCGAGTTGATCTACAACTTGTGTGGCGAATTCCACGTGGCACCAGGCTTGCGGAATGCCTTGCGGATGGTGGAGCTGGGCATGGTCTTAGAGATGACGAACTCTCCACTGATGTTCCTCACTGTGGCCCGGCAGACGTCCCGATTCTGGCGGAGTTTGTTGATGCTCTCGATGCTGTGCTTGCCAGGCACCATGCTGGGATCTTTCGGCCTGTTGCAGGCGCAAGAGCATGCGAAAACCCTGGCGGCCCTGCGCATGGGACTCAACTTGCTGTTCCTACTGATTTCCATTTTCAAACTCTCTGGCGAAGTGCGGGCCCACACCAAGCAGCCAGAAAAGGAGGTTGCCTTGCTGAATGAGGGATCCAAGGTGCAACAGGATGACGACAAAACAATTTGTAGAGAGTTGGGATTGGGATTGGTGTTGGTGGGCTTCGCTGATGGCTTTTTGAATGGCTTGATTGGCATTCCGGGGCCTCCAACCATGATCTACTTCGCCTCAGTCTTGAAATCTGGCCGCATGACGCCCGACACCTGCATGGTGCTGACCCAGACCTTCTTCCTGCTTACCACCTTCATGCGCGGTGCAGCCTTAGGTTCCCCCGCCATGTGGCACGAGTGGCTGAAAAGCGAACCCCTGGCCCTGCTGATTCCAGTGCCAGCTTTGGTAGCTATGAAGCTGGGCTTTGAGCTGCGAAAGTGGCTGGATCCCACCCTGCTGCTGCGGTGCATCTTGGTCCTTCTCTTGTTGTCTTCCCTGATGGGCATGGACGTTTTCCAAGGCTCCTGGCTGGGGCTAGGCAGCCTGGCCTTCACTGGCCTGTGGCTCTTGGTGCTTCTGACGAAAGTGACCCGCAGAGATGTGGCTGGCTGTGAACCCTGATGGGCAGCTGCCACGGGTCCGAAGCGGATCATGTCTAGAAAAATATGCAGCGGGAGTTGGCATGCCTTTTTCGGTGCCCACCTGTTGATATGCTGATACACTCATGCAACAACATGCAACATCAGGCAAGGGCGTGCAAAGATGTGCAAAGTACGTGTACAGTATGTTCTCAGGTTTTTACATTTTCCTTCGTCAACATTTATAATTAGCACACATCTTTGACACACACACACACAAGTACTTCGACGCATTCTGAGCACAGCACGCGTTCTTCTCCCATTTGGAATCCCTGGCGCGTGCTACCTTTGCATAACATTTGCGTGATCATGATACATGTAGGATCATGTGGGCGTGCTATGCCTAGCGCTGATGCCAGAAGAAGACCCCCACTGTAGCGATTTTGACTTCTCCAAGGTGATCCTGTTTATCCATAGGATCGTTAACCGATCTGCTTTCACGGTGGCCTCTGAGGTCACTGTTGGTGTAGCAGTTGATTTGGACCATCGATTCTTGGCGAAAATCGCTGGGGAAAAACCAGGTACCAATGGATTCCTCCTTGATGTCATGGGATTCAACATGATTCAACTAGCCCCCCAAGTTTTTGACAACCCCCAATAAATCCCAATAGATCCCAATAATGGATATATCTAGTTATATAATAAGCCCTTATTGGTGGTTGTAGGTGGTCAACGTGCCCCCTTAGTAAGCCTTGACTTGGCTGCCGTTGCATTGGAGTTGACCAACTGTTCTCCCCTTCGGCCTGGATTTCTGGGATTTTCTGGGCCCAGGATGTGTGTACTTCTCCACAGACGGCAAGTGGGATGAGAAATGGCTGGAATCTCCTGCCTTCGGAAAGGACCCCAAAGCAGGGAGGTTGAGAACTCAGTCATTTCACTGGGAAAAGCGATGTAATTGTGGGGCAAGATTAGACACCCCAAAATTGGCAAATACCACCATATCCTCTGGCCAAATTCTTTTGGCTACATTTGGCTACTAGATGACATGGAAGAACTGGCCAAATGACCGCAATAGTGATGACACGTGATATGTTGCCTTTCTCAATCAAGAATCTTGAAGACGTACGATCCAGCGGAGCCCCAACATCAGGATCCACCATTCAAATGGGTTTCCTAAACTTATCATCACCTATCATAAATATTCTTATAAGGGAATATGCTGGGCCACGGGTATATAATATGGACCAATATCTTTGGGTTTCATTTCATCATTACTTCAGGATGGCGTAGCTCACGCCAGGACCGTATTCCAGCTGGCATGGAGCTGTATCCTGCCATCTCGTTGAAAGGCGCCGACTCGGGGCATCGAACATAGCAACTTTGCAGATAGAAATGGTAGAATTTTGCGAAAGTAGTGGTAAAATTACGAGAGTTTAGTACCTTCTCACTTGTGGATGATGAGAATTGCAGAGAGTGATTATATATAAGATATTATAAGTATGCAAGCATATTCTGTTCTATCCCATGTTTTTATACAATTTAAACTACATTGTGACATAATTTGTGATATAGTTCGAAGTTGGGTGTGAGCCGCAGAACGTGTCATTCTTTTGAACCTCCGAACTCACCGCTGGCCGCCAGGTAGAGCATCTTTCGACTTTGGTCCGTGCGCTACTGGTGGATTGGTCATGAGTTTTATGCATGACTTCGCGGATGTGATTGATATTGAAAGCTGCCAGGTACTGGAAGTACAAGCCGCCAACAAGAAAAGGACACAAGACCACTTTCAATGTTTCTGGTCAAGATTGAGTTTCTGATTCTCTTTTTTTCCCCTTGGCACCCCTGTCCATTCCTGATGGCATCGGAGTCGGGTCAATATTTGAGAATCAAATCTTTTCAAGTCGCGCACCTGTTGAAGGAGATCCCCCTTGAAGCCTTGAGAAACAAACGTGGCAATGGAACATCTCCATTTATAGAAGATTTGCCCACGACAATTGTGATTTATGTATATTTATGTGACTTGAATTCTACATAGGTCAGATTCGCCCATGAGAATTGTGATGTTTATGTGAGTCGATTCTGAGTCGATGTGTAGATTTGTTCATTTTATATAAATTGTGATATGTTTGATGTTTGAGTTTTCCCTTTTTATGCACGATATCTTGACGGAGTGGATGGCACCCCCGTTCCATCTCCCGAGGTTTGGCGAAACGCCCCAACGGGTGCGCATAGCTCTGCAGCCCAGAGACATTCCAACGGGGACGTTTAGCACGGCTGCTATTGGAAACATGAAAAACAACATCCGAAGGTATCTGAAGGTAAATTTGTGAATCATGACTTTCTATTTACCCTTTATTATCTACTTACTCACTCTATTTCATGTATGTGGATTGGAGCTGTCATCAGCCTGCCAATACTTTAAATCATTTCCATGGTGCCGACTGTGACAGTGCTGGGCCTTCCAATGACAAGTGCTGGATCTCACAGATTGATTGGTTCGGTGATTTCACAGCTGGCACTTGGCCCCGGGGGCCCCATGGTTTCCAATGAGGAGTGGACGTGCCACAGATTGGAAACTCCGAGATGCCGTGCCCTTAGAATCCATGACGATTGATGGGTCCCAAGAACGATGAAAGAGTACCACCCGAGCTGGTGAATTTTTCGTGTGGCCCAGCAGGCCCAGCACTCTCTCCCGAATGTTCTCAAAAGTTCACCGACCTGGCAGAGCATAAAAATCAGACATTCGAAAAGCATCAAACCAGGCTCAGCATCTATAAGGAGGTCCAACTGCACGGTGAGCTCAGTGGGGCGATCTCAGATGGCTAGAAGGAGGGTCTAGGAGCCTAGGTCCATTTGAAAGTGGGACCTGGATGATCCCAAGGAAAAACATGGAGTAACAGCGAAAACATCAATACTAGACTTTCTTAGCACCCCCCCACATAAATGTGCAAGACCCACTCAAACAAACCAAAAAAAACATTCTTTTTGATGTTTCCACCTCATTTTCCGTCATTTTCCATCATTTTTCCATCATTTTTCCATCATTTTCCCATCATTTTTCATCATTTTGAACAGAAAATCCCGCAGATGTATGGCTTCTTAACCTCGGCCCCGCGCTCTCTCGGCTCCCTCGCCTCCCTTCGCAGCACGCCCTGCCGTGGCGTCCGCAGCCGCGTTGCGACCGCAGCGCCGGGCCGGGGCCTGGAGCGTTGGACGCCGCTGGCGCTGGCGGTGCTGGGAGGAAGACTCGGAAGACGGCGGGTGGCGAACATGGCGAAAGTGGTGCCTGGGAGATGAGTTTTTCTAGAGTCTACAGTCTACCTATGTGTTTAAATTAGTATGAATAGTATAAATAAATACATAGATAGATGTAGATATAGATATAGAATGATATAGATATAGATATAGATATATAGATATATAGATAGATAGATAGATAGATAGATAGATATAGATATAGATATAGATATAGATATAGATATATATAGATAGATAGATAGATAGATAGATAGATAGATAGATATAGATATAGATATAGATATAGATATACATAGAGATAGATAGATAGATAGATAGATAGATAGATAGATAGATATAGATATAGATATATATAGATAGATAGATAGATAGATATAGATATAGATATAGATATAGATATACATAGAGATAGATAGATAGATAGATCGATAGATAGCTAGATAGATAGATATATGTATGTATATATATATGGGTGATTTTCGCATCCATTTGTGGATATGGTTGAATAGTGATAAATAGGGTTCAATTTCGATTTTTTGACGGTTGCATCACGTAAACCCTTTGAATTTTGTAGCTGCAATCTGATTACATTCATCTTTTTTCTGGTTATACACGCCATATTCATTTTGGCGTTCTATGTCACATGTTTGGTTTTTTCAAGCCAGGTCCAGTTGGTTGTCCCCTTTTTTTGACAAGCATGTGAGGGATTTCAAACCGACAATCTGTGTAAGTGGTTTCATTTCAGGAAATTCCCAACATATTTTGATGAGGATCCACTATGACTCAATATTTTCATGAGGCTGGACCGTACCAGGTTGGAACGCACCAACTGAATTTCTGCAAATCTGCGGATGATATTTCGGCAAGTCTCAAGACTTTGATGGAGAAGTATGAGAAAGAGGTCCAAGCGATTGTGGACGCTGGGGTCTCCAAGGTGCGGTGGGGCTGTGGGCCTAGGCATGCGAGGTTACTGTAGGATACTTAAGGCCTGTGGAAGTGCCTCAGCATGTCTGCTGCCGAACGGGTTTTACATGGGGTTGTTTGAACATAGAAAAGCCCTATACTGTATAAATTCAACGCTTTGACAATCAATCATTTTCATTTTCCATCATTTTCCCATGTTTTCCGGTTGAATGGCAATTTTTGGGTTCTGATTCGATACAACTTGCAACTTACTCTGGAAACATTCCCCTTGATTCACCAAGGCTGAGACCATGCCAGCTAGGTTTTTAACAGCTCACTATTCAGTTCCTTAGATGATCCCTTGGTAAGCCCTTACTTGTCACTTCTTGCATGGTTCCTATAAACTAGAAACACTTTCTGATTTCCAAGAACTGGATGAGGGGAACATTTAAAGAAAAAAGGACAGCTGCAATTTACTTGTTCTCATGATTATTTTCATATTGGTATGTGATGTATAAATCAATCATCTTACCATAACCTCTACAGCGTTATCCACTATATCCCACTATATAATATGCAAATAATTACCAACTACGATCAATGATCAATTATGATACAGTAATTATGATCATTCTGATGAGTATCATTATCATCATCATTAATTACTATTGTTATGAGTCATGATCATGATCATTCTCATGGATCATTGTCATAAACCGTATAGTGAACTTGTTTTTTTTTTTTTTTATGTGCATCAACTTAGGCACCACCTTGATATCCCTAGTTATAATTACCCTCCAACATAACCAAGGCAACCAAGGCCGACCCCCCAGGCCGACCCCTTCAGCTGCAGCTTCGGCGCCCTGGCGGCCGAGCTGACGCTGCCGGCGCTGGTCAGCGGCGAGGCGGCCAGGCGCCACGCGGCCACGGAGGCGAAGAAGGAGTTGCAGCTGATGCTTGGGCCGCCTTGGGAGTCCAATTTTGTCGAAAGAAATGGGTATGGATCAATACCTATGAAAATACAATTTTTAGGGGAATGAACATCCATTTACCAGCTATTTTGATGTTCACCAGGGGTACAAGGTTTTGACACACTGCCAAATGGTTCAACATGGTGAAAATAAAACGTCAATCTTGGGTAGAAACTAATCCTTTAGTCTTTTGGTATCACTGGGATTATCTAACCAGCTAAGATTTTTTTCCCCACCTGCCAGGTGAGGGTTGTTAGATTTTATGTCAGTTGCCTCCTCCTACTCCTCCTCCTCCGCCTCCTCCTGCCTCGTCCTCCTCTCCTCCTCGTCCTCCTGGTCATCCTTGTCGTCCTTGTCGTCCTCGTCGTCCTCGTCGTCCTCGTCGTCCTCGTCGTCCTCGTCCAACTGCGACCCGCGATCCACAGTGTTCTCTGCCGGACCTCAACCACGACCATCCACGCCCAGTGTTCCCTGCCGGACCTCAACCACGACCAGCCACGCCCAGTGTTCCCTTGTTGTACCCACGCCAAGTGTTCCGCTCAGGAAATGTAGAGATAGAGTGCCAGAAATTGCCATCAGATATGCCAGATGCCAGAAGATATGTCAGAAATATGCCAGAAGATATGCCAGATAGAATGCCAGATAGAATGCCAGAAGATATGTCAGAAGATATGCCAGAATAGAATGCCAGAAGATATGCCAGATAGAATGCAGAATATATGCCAGAAGATATGTGCCAGATATCAGATATGCCAGAAGATATGCCAGATAGAATGCCAGATAGAATGCCAGAAGATATGTCAGATAGAATGCCAGAAGATATGCCAGATAGAATGCAAATAGAATGTCAGAAGATATGTCAGATAGAATGCCAGAAGATATGCCAGATAGAATGCCAAAAGAATGTCAGAAGATATGCCAGATAGAATGCCAGAAGATATGCCAGAAGATATGCCAGATAGAATGCCAAATAGAATGTCAGAAGATATGTCAGATAGAATGCCAAATAGAATGTCAGAAGATATGTCAGATAGAATGCCAAATAGAATGTCAGAAGATATGTCAGATAGAATGCCAGAAGATATGCCAGATAGAATGCCAGAAGATATGCCAGAAAGATATGTCAGATAGAATGCCAAATAGAATGTCAGAAGATATGTCAGATAGAATGCCAGAAGATATGCCAGAAGATATGCCAGATAGAATGCCAAATAGAATGTCAGAAGATATGTCAGATAGAATGCCAGAAGATATGCCAGAAGGTATGTCAGATAGAATGCCAAACAGAATGTCAGAAGATATGTCAGATAGAATGCCAGAAGATGTGCCAGTAAGAACATGTATAAATGTCATGGTGGGGATCACACGAAGTAAAGTATTTTTTTTTTGGCAGGGTATCTAAGATTGGCCATGATATGGTTGAGATATGTTCAACTTATGGTTGAAGGTCAAAGTATTGAACAACTGGATTCATATGGACTCGTGGTGTTTCATGGTTTATTAAAAGCAATCTAACTGTATCGATATTGATGTTTGGGATCAAATATGATCCAAGGGTTAAGTGGTTGAAATCTGATGCAACCCAAAGCTGTTGGATATGAGATGAACTGGGGGATTCATGCATTGAACGGCTTCATCAACAAAGGGTTTTACCAACATCAACACATGAGATCAAAAAAGGGATCATGCGTTTGGTGCTGGAGATTAACCATGGATATCACTTGATGTAGCCAACAGAATGGAGAATCTTTAGCTACCGGGCCGAAAGAACCGTCTCCGGATTTGCTAGTGTAGATGATCATTCCAGCATTTTTCAGAAAGGAACAATTGATACCGGAAAGCACCTCGGATCAATACGTTTCCCTCAAGGAATCCTAAGATGGTCCATTTCACGGTGCTGAAAGGTGTCAGGGCGGTCTCCTCCTTGGGGTGTTCTACCAGATGCATTCAGTTTTTCTCTTTTTGATGTTTGCATCCTTTTGCTTCTGTAAATATGGCTACTTTCAGGGTCTGAGATGGGCTGTGTCTTTCGACCTCGAGCTGTTTTGATTTCGCTCAGGATGTGGGGGAAGACTTACTCGAGACCCGATTTGTACAAAGTGCTGGTGAGTGCACAAAGCTTTGCCAAAACACCAGAAGAACAGCGCTTGAGCCAGGTGGTTCTGTCCAAATTTCGGCATGTGGGAGCCCATTTGGAGACCAAGCAACGGCAAGAGTTGGAAGCCTTGGATGCGCGCTGCAGCACCCTATGTTTCACTGCGGAGCAGAACATCAACGAGGATTGCAGCTCAGTCCTGCTGTCCGCAGAGGAGTTGGAGGGTTGTGCTGAGACTTTCGTTCAAAGTTTGCCCGAGGAAAATGGCTTGAAGCAATGTTCCCTCAAGGCCAGGATGGGCGGTCCTCTCTGCAATACATTGCCACAGCTATTCTTGTGCTCACCAGGGCGCAAAGTTTTTGACCCAAGAAAATGTGTTGCAAACCAATGTTTACCCAAACGCATTGGTCAAATGCAGGTAGATACCACACAAATTTCCCATCTCTTTTTGGTTTGGGATTCGAGGTCCTTCACATTGTTTGAGCTCACATCAAGCCCAACATCCTCCGCATTTCACCACCGCCCCTTTAAGCCGCACTTGTGGCCCAGGGCCCAGGGGCCCAGGGCCGGACCGGTGAGGCGCCTGTGTTGGTTCCGATCCTCCAACGCTGTGGCAACAGCGAGACGCGCAAGAAGATGATGGAGGCGAGCCAGAAGCGTTGCATGGAGGTGAATGGACCCCTGCTAGAGGCCTGGGGATAGGTTGGGACTGGGTGGGGGGATCAAGATATACACGTATGGTGAAGATTGGTGCACTCGTGGGTGGTTTCAAACATGTTATTTTGAACAAATGGTGATATTTTAGGATGATGATCCAAACTGACTCATATTTTCAGATGGTTTGACAGCATCAACCAGTGAACAAGTTGAAGAAGTTGGGAAAATAGGAAGCTGGCCATTCTTGGACAGTTTTACTCACATTTACTACCCATTTTTTATTCGTGTGGTAGACAGAGGACAGTTGCCGCAGAAAGACCCCAGGAGCTGCTGACGAAGCGCCATAAGGCAGCACTGCAGCTGGGCTTCAGCTGCCATGCTGAACGGATGCTTGCACTGAAGATGGCTGGCAGCTTGGATGAAGTGGATGGGGGCATGGGCCTAGTGGCGACCGACATCTTCTTGAAGGTTCTGTTTTTGTTCATTATTTCTTTGGGATGTGGCGACAAAGATGATTCACTCAGAGGTCACTCTCAGATTGGATGATCTAGTGATCTTAAATTGTCTTCAATGTTCTTAACTGATAAAATTATGACAAACTACAATTATCCACAATTACTATAAAAAACTAAAGCAGTCCAAAAATGAGACGGTCATGTCATTCATATCTTTTCGAGCTAGTGGTTGGTTGTCACGGCGGATTTCAGATGGGTCAGGACTTGTTCAGCAACAACACGAGTGCATTTGTGTGCCGGCCGTGGAAGTTTCCATTCCAACGGTCCCTGAACCTAAAGAACACGTTCTACATTTGGGAGCTCAAACATGTTTGGATTTTTAAAAACCATGGTTTTCCCATGAATTGTCCCTTCCAAAACCTATCCAAACTGAAGCAGTTAGCCCAGGGAGCCTGGACTCGGCGCGCAGCTTCGTGCTGGACATGCTGCAGCGCATGCAGCCCCTGCGCGACAAGGACCTGCAACGCCTCAGCGCGCGGAAGCACCGCCTGGAAGAGGCCGAGGCCAAGGACGGCCGCAAGCGCAAGGCGGAGGTGTTGGGAAATGGCGGCCATGGCGGCCATGGCCTCAATGCCTGGGATGCTGGGGCTAAATTAGTAGGGTTAGGGTTTGGTGTGTTTTGTTTTGGGATCCGGGATCCCACATCTGTTGGGGGGTTGAACTCCATTTCCATGTTTTCCTGCCACCAATCCTTCACTTCAACTGTTGCTTCAACCAAGGACGTGTCTTTCTACGCTGACCTGTTGAAACGTGAAGAGCTTCACTTGGACGACGAGAAGCTGAAGGAATTCTTCCCACTGGAGGGCACCATCGATCGCATCTTGGAGGCGTCTTGCCAATGACTCATGTAATTTTACCCGTGGGCCGCTTGTGGATTATCACTACTACTAAGGTGATTAAAGTGACTGAGAAACCAACCCCAAGAATATCCACCAATAAGATTAAGTTTTGCCGAGATCATGCCAAATTTCTGGATGAAAATTGTGCAACAAGGTGCTTACTATTTGCATATGGTGGGCTTGGCACATGGGGAATGGTCTACTCTCTTACTTTGTCTGTAACATTAATTAAGGAGGAACACTGCAATACCCTGGAATTGAACAGATGTATTCATCATGATTGAGTGGATGAGAGCACTGACTTGAATTTAAATGGCTGATATTGATTCAATGCAGTTGACTACGAGCTGAACCATGCATCCAGTGGCTTCCTCCCTTCCAGAGAACTTTGATCATTTTGCGGTGTTCAGGGTACGGCCTGTCATTCTTTTGGTGGGTGATTTGGCAGGAAAGGACAGGATGAAAAGGATGGAAAAGTCAGTCATTTCTATCTTTGTTGTTGACCCCTTATGCATATATATATAGTAATTAATAAACCGCAAACAGATACGGAAGAGGTTCAATTTGCCACTCCATCTCAGAAATTCATCTTTTTGGCGCTTGTTATATATATATATATATATTTATAACTATATAACTATATAACTATATATAATATTACATAAAAACGATATACACACACACACATATATATATATATAATAGAGATATATCAATATATTCCATTAGATTCCTATATCCTTATGGTCCCATTATATCCCCATGATCTCCCGTGCCAGGTCTACACCGAACTCCTGGGCCTGACCTTTGAGCGGAACGAGCAGCTGCCTGTGTGGCACGACGAGGTGAAAGCTTTCGAAGTGAAGGAAGATGGCAAGGCACCTGAGGGACTGGGCTGATCATCTTGGGTAACATGACATTATATATATATGTTTATGTATACATATATATATGTATATATATATATATTGGATCTATAACCCGCTAGCCGCTAATTACTGTGAAACATGAGGATGTGGGCAATTCAAGCCACTGTGAAACTAAGGCCATGATTCATTTGGAGAGCAAATCACATAGATAGATGGATGGATAGATAGATAGATAGATAGACAGATAGACAGATAGATAGATAGATAGACAGATAGACAGATAGACAGATAGACAGATAGACAGATAGACAGATAGATAGATAGATAGATAGATAGATAGATAGATATATATACATACATATACAGATGCCGGAAACATGTCCACTGGAATATGTCAAATGGCATTACTGTTGGTAGATACTTTAGTCCTTTGTGGTGGTTTTCCGTGATTTTGATGGGTGATACTTGGTTACAAGATGATTTTCTTGATATATATATATATAGATAGATAGATAGATAGATAGACATGGCTTTTACTTGGGTGTGCGGGACCCAGGAATCGTAAGTGGATATTGACCATTCTGAAATAACCCAGTTCACTTAGCTATTCCAATCAACCAACAGTTGGACAGAGAATAACTTTCCGGGAAGGATGTCCTGTGAAGGCTGCAGAAAGGAATGTGATGATGTGATATAATATAGCCAACCATGCAACTATGCTGGTGGATGATATTGCCAACGTACCGTAACAATTTTGGGGCAGTTAGCACAAACCTTGGGATATGTCACGGCAACACGAAAAGTGATTGGGCAACTGCCTGGATCTTTGATTCCCATCAGATGGTTCAGGTGGTGGGCCACCTTTTCTTGGACCAGTTTCCCAGGGATGGGAAGTTTTCGCATCAGATGATCGTGCCGCTTGCGCCTGCCTTCGTCAGCAGGGATGGTGAAGAATGCCTCCCAGCCTGCGTCAATATCTCCAATTTGCCGCGCAGTGAGGGTGGGCGCCCCGCCCTGCTACGTTGGTCAGAGATGAAGACACTCTTTCACGAGTTTCTGGGGACAATGGGTTTTACCCTTTGGTAATCAAACGTGGCTATAGCTCGGAAATTCCAAGTTTTTTTTCCCGAAACAAACTAACAAACAACATAAATAAATAAATTAATTAAATAAACAAACTAATTAATATATATATATAGATTGCAAGGTGAAAATCACCGAGCTAAATGTGAGCTTTCCCATTGCCATGTTTGATCACCGGAGGGCACATGGGTCTTGAGATGGGGAAGATATGAACTTAGAGTCGAGCTGCATGACTCCATGCAAGTGAGTACTAAGTGTATCTAATTTTGGAATTTGAGGATATAGACCCTTCTGCATAACCAAGAAATATATGAGTGGTCCCCCAGTTTCCCCAGCATGCCTTTTTTTTTCTCAAGCGTCAGGTTAGGCCACGTGATGCACTGCTTGTGCACCCGCACGCGTTTCAGCATGCTCAGCTGGGCCTGGCCTATTGTGCCGTGGCCTGGTGGGGTGGAGCAAGATTTCTTGGAAGTGCCTTCCATGGCGCTGGAGAAATTTGCCTGTGAGCCCCTGCTGCTGCAGCGGGTGGCCAGGCATTTTTCGGGCCAAGGCGGCCAAGGGCAACTGGAGGAGGCGGTGGTGGCCAAGATCAAACAGTACCTGGGATGAAAGGCATGAGGAGTTGATTTCTGGGTGGGGTGGCTGGAAAGTAACAGTTACGAAAGTTGGGGTTGGTGAATGTCTCAGGATGTCTCAGGATAGCCTGCTGTAACATACTTTAACCATCTAATCTGTTCTTGTATTGTTTTTACCTGGATGCTAGGCCCTTAGGCTATCTTTGCCCATGCGCTGATGTAGGGTTGAAGTTGAAAGCTGAAACCAAGGTTGGAGACATGGATGGCAGGGCTGGGTGAGACGCGCTACTTCTCATCTTCGCTGTTTGATTTGATGATCCATTCCCAGGCTCCGCCCTACACCTTCGAGGGCGAGGACAACTTGACAGCTGCGGAACTGTATCGCCGTGTCACGCAGAAATATACCACCCTCGCACAACTTCCGAAGACCAACTACAGTGCCAGTTGGCCACTTAGATGTTTTTTGCAAGACCTTTTCATTTTTCCACATATAATTAATTATAGATAAATATATTTAAATAATAATACAATATATAGGTAAATATGTATGTGTGTGTGTGTCTCTCTCTCTCTCTCTGTCTCTCTTTGGGATGGGCATGCTCTGTGGTGACGACCCAGCAACTCAGAACTTGTTCCTTTTTGGGATGGGCTCCGTGAATCTCCGCAACCTGTGAGCCCTGCCTGGCAGGTATCACCTCTACATCGGCTATGATGCTGGCGTCTACGGCTACGGCTGGAGCGATGTCTATGCTGCGGACCTCTTCCACACCATGCAGGCTGGCTGGTAGTTTTCAATGTTTTTTCTCCTATAGAAAAAACGTTCCCTCTGAAAATCTTTTAAAAAACACACACACATTCAAATCACATCAAATCATCAGAAATCATCAGTTCATTGTAAATCCATATGGAATGTGTGGGCCATCAATAGAAGCAAAAGATTGGGGATATGGCGATGACGATCCCAAGTGATCTTTATTTCAGTCTGATTTGTATCCACTGAGGATCAAATTCCTTGGTCACGCCTTTCACAAAAGATTTTTTTTCCTCTGTGCCTCGTGGCATAGAGGCTATTCCTTGGTCATCTCGACAAACAAAAACCGCCCGTTGGTTCCCAAGTTGGCTAATGATCTCCAAGTGATCTTCATATTTTTACGGCTGAAACCATTCCCGAATTTGTCCAAGGATGGTTTGGGGAAAGCTTACAAGAACCGGCCCAAATCTGGCCGGCAACGCCCAGGTTTCCTGACAATTTTTCCTTCAACCAAGCCAGACCTCCTGCATAAGTCAATACCTAGTCCAAAGTTCCTTGAAGTATTCCCAAAATCTCTCAAGAACATCCAAAATCACAAACATGTCCCAAACATATATCCAAACATATACCCAGACATAGACCCAACATAGCCCTGAAGTCCCTATTTTCGGTCCCCCAAAAATCACCAAACAGCCCTTGAACCCCGCAACGGGCTAGGTCTCCGAGAGCGGTGCCCTGTCCTCCGCCACGGGGCAACGGCTGCGGAAGGAGATCCTGGGGCCATGCGCCACCAAGACAGGGGACGTGGCTCGGTGGTTTTGACCGCTTTTTTTTGCCTCCAAAATGGAGGATGAATGGATTTAACTGGATTTTTAATGGATCTAACATTTTTTAATTGATTTTTTAGTGGATCTAACATGATTTAGCGGGATTTTGGTGGATTTTGATGGTCTTGTTGGGGAAACCTTAATAGGAAACAATGGTTGGGGTTTCCTGTTTCAATTTTCCCTTAAACCAATGCATTGATGCATCATTACCATCTGTGCTTTGCGGGCTGCATGGCAGAACGAAACGTCGTTCCAGGTGTCACTGCTGCTAGATGGGGCAAGGCCACTTAACCAAAAAAACATGTGCCATAGTCAAAACTTGGGTAAATCCTCTCATACTAGGGGATGGTCATTCATCTATTAATAGGGGTTAATGTACCTGGTAGAAGGGGTCCCATTCATGATGGTGAGATGACAAGCCCCTTGTATCTTGACCATGGCACACATATCCCCATCAAATCCATGAATGCTCCCACAATGGCTGGTACAGTCATATTCCCATTACATTCCCACTGTACTACCATTCAATATTTTTAAAGTACCCATTAGATAGCTATTTGGTACCCATTCATTCATGTGCCATTAGATACCCATTACAGTAGCATTCCCATTAAACGCCCAGTCCATACCCATTAAACAGCCATTTCGATATCCATTGGATACCCATCTGACATTGGATACCCATCTGAAGACCCCGGCCGCCAAGGAGATGCTGAAGAACTTCTTGGGACGGGAGCCCTCCGTCGAAGCGTGGTGTGCGCTGAAGGGCCTCTGACCGGGGAATGGTGAAAAAAGGTGGCGTCTCCCGCAGCAGCGGGACCATGAAGGTCATGAAACTTCGAGAAGTGGGGTAGGTGGATACGGGGTTCAGCAACCTGGATGATACTTTCACTCAGTTAGACTCAGTTGAATATGTGTTTAAAACTGTTGGAATAGGTATCTAATTATTGTTTCAATCTTTTGCCACACAAAGGGATATGATTTAACATTTAATACTATACTATATTATAGATTATTATAGGTGTTTGGTTTGCCAGCTAAATACCAGCTAAAAAACATAGTTTCTTGATGTTTCTTGGAGGGTATCTCAGCTGCTACCATCTGGTAATTATTTAACATAGCTATCGAAACTTGCCCATATAAATAAATAAGCGCATACACACACACACATATATATATATATATATTAATCATATATATATATATATATTAATCATATATATATATATTAATCATATATATATATATATATATTAATCACACATATATAATTATATATATATATATTAATCATATATATATATTAATCATATATATATACATATATTAATCACACACATATATATATATATACACAGTATATACTGTATATATATATATACATAATATGATACATCCCCATTTGGAAAACATTGAGTTTCCATAATATAACTAAGCCCAACGGTCGCGCCTATTGCCACTTGCAAGATTTTGCAAGTTCCTTTTCCAGTTTTAGCCACCTCAATGGATCACCTGGAGGATCATCCCACGAATCGTAGGTTGTTTCTGTGGGGTTAGTTCATCCAGTTGCTAAGTGGGAGAATCCACTTGGGGGACTTACAGTGTGGTGCCCCAAATCGTTAGCGCAAAGAACTCCAATTTCACTCGGGTTGATTAGGGGGTTATATCGAACTAGTTCACAGGGATTAGAAAGCAAAAAACATAGATTTATAACTCCAATCACTAGGATTTATAGGGGTTATGAACTAGTTCATGGGGATTATTAACCAACAAACATCACTGGGGGGTACCACCCTGTTGCTAACCAGGGTTACTAATAACCACTAGTTCATGGTGATGAACAAGGTCTCAAACGCAACGTTCAGCGCCTGGTGGCGGCACGCAAGTGACCGGGGGGTTTTTGTCGGGGGCGCCTGGGCTGTTGCCATGCTGTTACCCTCCGATGATAATCCAACATGGCTAGATTTACCCATAAAACATGGTGATTGCATGGGTTTTAAATATGTTACCCTCTGGTAAACTAACAGAACTATGGAAAATCACCATTTTTAATGGGTAAATCCACTATAAATAGCAATTTTAAATAGCTATGTTAAATTACCAGAGGGTAAAATGGGAAATCCATTTGGACCGAGGGACCATGGATGGAGCATTTTTTTTTCACTATAAACCGTGCGCATTTTTGGTATCATGGTTGGCGAGTCGTGCAGGTACCGGGACATGAACAAGATGCAGCGTTCCTTTGGGTGGACGTCTCAGTCAAAGCGGATGGCTTCGGAAGAGGATTTTCCCGGTAGAATTGGATAGATAGAATTGGCAGTATTGCAATTAATCATTCTAGTTAAATTCATTTCAATTCTATTTTCACCATTCGATTTCATGTTGTTTTATACCAGGGCTGGTGCTGTTCACAGATGCTCCAGACACGTTTTGGTTGGAAATTCTGGGCCGACCCTGGTATTTTTTGGGGTCTGGGAGAAGGTCAAGGTGGGGATTGTAGAGATCTACAGAGGAAACCATGGTTTGTGTATCACTTAGCAGCTTAGCATGTTTGTTTCCTCTTATGTTTTCATAGGTGTTCCTTCACTTCTGGGAAGAGGGGATCATTATCCCCAGATGAGGTCTTTCAACCATGGTCCAACTTCCCATGACCCAGGCTGCGTGTGAACAAGGCAGGTGACTGTTCAGGCGCGTGAGTCGAGGGGATCTCTCTTCTAAAGGCAGGGATCCCTTTTCGACATGGGATTTGGAGGTTTCCTAAAATGAAGCATGGGTCATTAAATGTCCCATTTTGGGAATATTGGACATCACCTTATAGTAGCCATTATAGACCATATACCATTCATGGTTGGGTGATGTGAAAAATGGGGACATTTAATGACCCATGTCTGAAGGCTACCGCCAAATCATCCTTGGTCCGAGGGGTCCAGGATGGTCCAGGAGACCCCAGCTTGATGCAAAAGTATCATGACCTCAAACTCAGTTGCAGGATATCCAAGATTGGCAATTTTAGGTATGGATAGTATGGACTCATACCCACCTGGGGTTGGGTCCAAATTCTTGGGACGTAGCCAGAGAAATGGCCGGGCTGCGATTTTTCAAAATGTTGATGTGGGAAATCGTCCCGAAAAAATGCAATAGGGCCAAATCTGTGCCTTAGGTTTGTTTCACTTCAGCAGGATCATTTCTTGGATAGGACACCATGAGTTTTTGACGGGCAAATATTGGAGATATTTGGAGATTGAGAATCCTGCCAGGGATAAAATTTCACATGTTCATTTCCTGTCAAGTATTTCCAGATTAGGATTCCTGCAAATAATATTGAGATTATTCCAGTTCGTTTTTGACTTCTGACTCCAAGTCGCATGTCCCAAGCCGCAGACCAGTCGCCAGGTAGCTACAAGCGAGTGGGCGCGCGCTGCGACATGCAACTCGACCAAAATGACGGACCCCTGATGTGAACAGATCCCTCTCGTAATTTAAGAGCTTGCCATAGAAAATCATCCATTTCTAGATGACTTAATTAATCTTAATATATCTTAATTACCTATTATATCCTATTATGTAAATGCCATTAAATGCCAATGTTCCATAGTTATGACTAGTGATGTTGAATTACCAGAGGTACTGTACCGAAGATTTCACTGAATTTCTATCAATTTCCTCAGGGCATTGACAAAAATTCGGCCCTGAAGTGGTGATTCATCCAGACCTGGACCTCGAAAGTCATTGATATGAAATCGATTTTTAGATACCTACGGGGGATGAATGAACCTTGCCATGATACTGCTTTGCCTGATGCGGGGGATGCAAAAATTGCGGGATGCCCCCAATTTTGGCCCTTCCAGGGCAAAGTGTGGGATCTTGGGCTCACCACATCGGTTTCTTTGAACGGGAATTGCCACCAATTCGAATGGAATTTTCATCAGATGGCCAGTTCTTGATGGTAAACCCCCCGACATCACAATATATGTTGTTGGTCAAATATAAATCAACTCCATCCGCAATCCTCCATAATATCCATAGTTTCATCCCCATATTGTTGGTTCTATCATGTTCTCACGAGAATATATACTGGTTGGTGGTTTGGAACATTTTTTATTTTCCCATAGATTGGGAATAATCATCCCAACTGACTTTCATATTTTTCAAGGAGGGGTTGAAACCACCAATGTATACATATATATATATACATACATACATATACACACACATATATGCATATTGCTATATCTTCTTCTTCTTCTTATTATTATTAATTATCATTATAATAATATATATCTCATGATGTCCCTTAAGGCCAATGTATCGATGTGGAAACGGGAGCGTCATCTACTTCGATGGCCCCAGCAGTCAGTGGCGGACTGCACTGGGCTGAAGTGGCCGGGAGACGCGTGAAGCTTGGGAAATTTCAATGGAAACATAGTGGTTTAACATGGTTTAACCATGAAACATGGGGAATTCATTAACTATGAGCAGTCAGGGATTAAGCAACAAAATGGAAATCTAGGGTTTACCCTCCAGTACTTCAACGAAAATATGGACACCCACTATTTGCATATAGATTATTTTCAAAGGAAAACCACGGGCTTTCCATATCTTTTTCATTCTATGTCTATGTTAGTTTAGCAGAAGGCAATTAGCTGCCTTTTCCAGTTATGTATAGGCGAAGCTTTTCTTTTGTGCTTGTGGTTCACAGGACTAGGCGATTTGTTTATTGAGAGATGGGTCATACCATGTTGTGGCGGATGAACATCCATAGGCTATTTGATATTGAACTACAGGATGTTAGTGTCTTGACCGGTCTTGACCCATACCCACGATATACCCTCTGGTACTCAAACATGGCAATGAACAATCACCATTTATAGATGGTTTCCACATTAAAACTTTCATTTATAGTGGATTTTCCGTTGCCATGTTTGATTACCAGAGAGTACATATTAAATATGACCCAGCCTGTGTCTTTTGCTCGGCGTCTGAGATTACTTTGGCCACATGAACTCTCTGACTCTTAGAGCCATTCTGTCAATCCCTTGCAGGGTAAATCCCTGGTGAAGCCCACAATCTTGTTGGTGATATCCCCAATTTTGCCGTTGACAGTTGACATCTCATATATATATAATATCATATCATATCATGTCATGTCATGTCATATCATATATCATATACCGTATATCATATACCATATATAGAATATATCATAAATTATATATCATATATCATATATCATAAATCATATATCATAAAATAATCATATATCATATATGTATATGTATTTGTATATGTATATGTAAATATGATACATCTATTTATACATGTAGAAATCCCCATCTCTGACTCTCTCTGTCTCTCTTTCTGTTTTGTACACATGTATGTATGTATATATGTAATATATATATCTCTCTCTCTCTCTCTGTAGATGTACCCACGCCCCTCACACACACATATATATATCTTGATCAATTATACATTGTACACGACCTCACTGCGACATCGTTGGAATGATGGTTCGGATCCAAAAAATTCAAACGAGTTATTTGGTAAATTGATTCTAATTTGCATTAATTTGTCCAGATGTATCCCTATTTTGTTCTAGAATGGTACCAATTTGCTGTTCTTCCCCAGCTTCTACGCCCCTGCGCCTCTCTTGACCCTGTGGGTTTTGCAGGATGGCGCTCAAGCCAGTTGAGGGTGAGGAAGCTTTTTTTTGGGGAGAGGGGGGCGAGGGTGATATGATAGATGACTTTTTGGGTTATACATATTGTACATATATATATACATACTGTATATAATATGATAATATATATATATATTTATAAGTGTGTGTGTGTGATGTTTTTTATTTGCTGGGGGGGCTTTGGGTCATTGATGATAGAACCATCAACAAGCTTGGGCTCACCCTTCGGGAGGTGGCAAAGGCATCCAGCAAATCTACCCTTGGGGATTTCGGGCTGAGTCGTATCTATCTTGTTTATTGATTGTATATTCATTGTAATTTCAGTCTGACTGTCATGATGAATTTATTAATTTTGGGTGGAGAGTGGATCAAGAGCAATCCCATTATGAGGACTTCACTAACACTATGCATCCAAGTAATTACCTTCTAAGGCAAGCATTTGCCTTCTCAGGATCCAACAGGTAAAGAGATTTTGTGGATCCAAACCTGCTGAACTTAAAGTGAGTTCTTCAAACTATTTCGAGCTGCTCAGATATGGTACTCAAGATATTTCTCTTGTACTTCATCCGGCAGATTAGAAGATTTTCACGATGCCGCGTTCAAAGTTGTTGCGAGGACCAGTTTACTGATAGAGCTGTGTACTGCTCAGCGCCCGCAACTGCTCATGTGGGGTGGGCCCAGAAATGGTGAGTCAAACTTGGGGCGACCTGAAAATAGCCAGTGAAATGATGTTAAATGGGTCAAGTGAAGATAAACCAATGAAATCCATCTATTTTTTTTTGGGGGGGTGGCGAATTTAGGGGGTCGCTTGACGCCTTGACGGAAGATGCCATATGCCAAATGGAGTCATGGCACCTATGATTTTCCTACATGAAACGTCTCATTCCTTAACAGATTACAGGGGAGTTTTGGAGTGGACCGGTGGGAAGCGGCGATTTGAAGGAACCAAGAGGGAAGTATTCGTATCGTATGATATACAGACAAATTTAAATATGGAAAAAATAAGAGCACACACACCCGCACACACACACACACATATATATATATTATACAGTGTATGCAGCTCATCTCAATTTTGCCCACTTCTGGTAGTCGGAATGTCTCCTCACAGGTGAACGAACCTCCACGAGGTGGATGGAAACTCCCAGATGAGGAGAGCCACTGGGGGTGTCTCAATGGCGGGGGAAAATCGGGAAACATCAAGAAGACGTGGGATTTTGGGATGTTTTTACCAGTTTTTTAGGTTTTTTTCCTATGTTTTTTTTTTTTTAATAAATCATGGTTGATAGAGAGTGGTGATTTGCCTTGGCAGTGGAAAATCGAATGTGATTTTTCAAGCCAAGGGTATACCCAGCAACCATCATTATTCATGGTAGCAGTGAAGTAATTCCTTGGGATACCAGCAGTGTCCAAGTAGGGGGCCGTGCCCGCGAACATGTTGTATAGTGACTGTAGTGCTGGGGACAACTGGGCGATCTTATTTTGAAGCAACAACAATAAGTTGGAGTTTGATTTGAGAGAGCTGACTGCCAGATTTTTTTTTGATGGTCATTTCCTTGGCTCATAAAATCCAACCCTTCCTTGGCTTACTGATTTGGTAATCAAATATGGCAATGAAAAAATCGCCATGAATATATGATTTTCCCAGTAGGACCTCCACTTCTAGGGGTTTCCCATTCAAAACCCATTGAATCACCATGGTAAAACCCATCAAATCAACATTTATCACGGGATTTTCCCATGTACCAAAGGGATCACCGCAGGTCATTTCCTACCGGCATCACCGCAGGAGCGTGGGCTTTTGCCGAAGGCTTTCTTCACCAAAGGTCTACAGGCGAAAGGTGTTTCAAAGGAGGCTGGAGGGGGGCGGTTTTCCAATGTTTTCGCGAGTGATCTAAGGGTTCATGGTGACATGTTTTTCCATGTTTTTCCCACACAGATATACTTACATACATACCATTACATACCATTACATTACATGCCCATTTCCATTTGCATTTAAATTTACATTTCATAAATACATATAGGGGTGAAGGCTTTATTTGTTTACTTATGATGGTATTTATGGTATGTTCTTTTTTTCCCTATTTGAGTTAGGAACGGTAGAAATTTGCCTGAGCCCCACTGCGAGGTCGTTCAGTCCATAGTGTCGAAGGTGGTGCACCAGGCGCACGCCGCGACCTTTCGGCAGATGGTGACCTTCAAGAGTTTCATCATTTCATCATGATATTTTGGACTATTTTGGAATATTTATTTTGGGATATTTTGGAATATTTATTTTGGAATATCTTGGAATATTTATTTTGGGATATTTTGGAATATTTATTTTGGACTATTTTGGAATATTTATTTTGGGATATGTTGGAATATTTATTTTGGAATATTTTGGAATATTTATTTGGGATATTTTGGAATATGTTTCTGAGGAATTTTGCATATACCCCAAAAGTTCATACCCCAGAATCTGGAATTTGGCAATTTGCAGGGGCAACATTGTTGGCATCTTTTGGGATATGTTTGGTCCAATTTTTGGGTCCCTGACCCCCTGTTGACACAGTTGTTTTTCCTGGATTGGGTTGAGTCAGCAGCAGCAGCGACCAGTCAATGACTCGAGTTGTGTTTCAAAAGCACTTCCAGGTTTTTGTTGAACACAGGGCCCTCATCCAAAACGGCCGCGACCCCCTTGGTAGCTCTGTGGCTTGCAGGATGCTGACGGCAAAATGTCAGCATTCCGGCGGAAAGGAGGCGGGATGCCCAGTTGGCATCCCATATATTAATTATTAATGTATTCTATTGCTGGCACCTAGTTGGATTCGCCACGATTCAACAGCAGCCCGTGGTTGCTCAACTTGCTTGGCTGATTCCATCGAACACACATGTATATGAATGTATATGATATATATATATGATATATATATATATATATACATCTAAAATGATATACACCTGTTTTGCTGTACAATGTACAATGTAAAACTACGTGTTTTCGGCAATTTTTCACATGTCGACTGGGCACATGTTGACCTTGGATCCCGCGATCCCATACGCCAGGTGTCAGCTTTGATGAGGAGTGGGCCAAGTTGGAAGATCCGCCCTGCGAGGTGGGAAAAATGGCCAATGTCTTAACATGTAACGAAAATATAGCACCACACCCCCACAAGGTAGGAAAAATACACATTCTATCCACATTTGTATGCATTTGTACATGGTGGTACATCACTTTCCGCTGCTTTTGAGGGGGTTACTATGATTTTTCATGCCATCCAGAATGATCATCGCAGTCAAGCAACTGCCCAATGGCACCGGTAAAACCTCCAAATGGGCTACACCACTTAATACAATAATTATTGCAATGATTTTTTTTGCCATCTCAAACCTATTGTGGCAAGCATGGATTTAACCAATTTAACCATCAAAATCCAGGCTTTCCCCTAAATGTTTGATGGATTTTCATAGAGGTAACCACTCATTCAATCCTCATATTCCCATATTTTACCATGGCTTTCCGGAAAAAAAAAAACACCAGGCCCAAGCCGCATGGCAAGCGGGCGTGGAGCAACTCCAGGTGGATGGTTGGATGGTTTGTTAAACAGGGTGAATGCACATGATATTACATCAAATGATACATCAAACACTTATTTAATTAACCCTCTGGTAATTTAATTTAAGACACTTTTTGCGAAAATGGTGATTTATTACAGTTGATTTACCCATTAAACGTGGTGATTTTTCATTGTTATGTTAGTTTACCGGAGGGTATCATATGATATGTATATAATACATATGTACTGTATATATATATATAAGATGTCCAGTCATCCTGGAGTAGATATAGAACTTTGATGACATTTCCATATTCTATTCACTCCGGGATGACTATACATATATATATATATGCAGATAGTTATACTGTATACTGCTTTTTGCGTGTGAATACTTGGGAATGTTGAATAAAAAGGAAAGCATAGGATAATTTTGGAACAAGTGCAGTAAAACCATCTCCAGTTGGGGTGAAAGAACAATGGTATAACGAGGATTGCAAAATAAGGCCGATAAGTTGGGATTTATATATAATATGCATATACACACATATATATATAGTATATAATTATATATATAATATTATATTTCTCTCTTTCTTTCTTTCTTTATTTTTTTTGGTAGCCCCAGACTTGGCCACACATGTCCACCTATCACTCCAAGTAGGGAGGTATAACAGATATACATACCATCCAGTAATCAAATGTGGCAATGCAACATTGCCCATTTCTATATTCTATACGATTTTTCCATTCAAATCTTCATTTATAAGGATTTTTCCATTGCTACGTTTGATTACGAGAGGGCGCACACACATATATATGCATACACACATACATACATACATACATACATACATACATACATACATACATACATACATACATACATACATACATACATACATACATACATACATACATACATACATACATACATACATACATACATACATACATACATACATACAACATACATACAACCATACATACATACATACATACATACATACATACATACATACATACAAAACCATACATATACCATACATACATACATACATACATACCATACATACATACATACATACATACATACATACATACATTACCATAACATACCATACCATACCATACATTACCATACATACATACCCATACATACCCATACCATACATACATACATTACATTACATTACATTACATTTACATACATTAATTACATTACATACACATCATACATACACATATAACTTACATATACAACATACAATACACATATATATTATACATATACATACATAGACATACATATACATACATATACATACACTACCTACACATACCTACATAACATACATACACATACATACATATACATACATACATACATACATACATACATACATACATACATACATACATACTACATACATATACGTACATACATACATATACATACTACATATACACATACATACATACATACATATATACACATACATACACATACATACATATACATACATATACATACATACATACATACATACATACATATACATACACATGATACATACATACATACATACATACATATACATACATATACATACATATACATACATATACATACATATACATACATATACATACATATACATATACATATACATATACATATACATATACATACATATATACATACATATATACATACATATATATATATACATACATACATACAGACAGACACATACATACAGACACATACATATAAATACTAGTGTAAGTAACGCACAGCATCCTGATATTTTGCATGTGTGTGCAAACGCACACGCACAACGCCATGCCAGGAGAGCTTGATGCAGGAGTTTGGAGTGCCAGGTGGGAGGCTCGAAGGTGAGCTGTGCTTGCTTTCCATATCTCTATGTTGATGGGAAAACCATGGGAAAATCATGGCTAAACTGGGCTTGGAATCTGGAAGATGCATTTCCGCAGACATTGAGATGTTTTTCGGCTTTTTGGGGGTAGAGGCCCCGAAGCGCACCTTCACTTCTCTTGCAAGCCAATTTTTGGAGCGCTCGCCATTGCAATACTTGGGCACATGAGATGTTCACATGATGTCCGTCTGTGAGTTCAGAGCCGAATGCATGGATAGATGGATGGATGAATGGATGGATGGTTGGATGGATGGACAAAATGCGATTCGATTGGATGAATTGATCCACTCTGGCAATAAAACCTGGAAAAAAACACACATTTTTTTTTTTTATCAATCGATAGGTGATGCTCCAATGAAAAACTTGGGTTTGCCATTGCCATGTTTGATTCCTGTAGGAACTTCCTTTTCGTCTAAGGAGCTCACGTAGTGGAGTCCGCCCACCCCTACGAAGCGAAGGCGGGACCATTGCCCCTTCTTTTCGTGTTCCTGGTCTTAAAGCTGGTGCGGTCTGATCATTCTTGTCACATGGTGATTCACCCCGAGTTGATCCTGGTGTAGTGTAGGTAGAAACTCATTGTAACACCAGTTTCTGATGCCTGTAATGGGCATATTGGGGCATGTAGCTTCCCTAGGGAGGCATCAAGCCCATCAAGCATCTCATCGGCTTCCGATGGCCCAGGGCTTCCGCTGGACCAAAGAGGTTTCCATCAAGGGCGCCTCAGCTCTAGTCGTTCACTTCTACGAAAAGAGCTGCACCTACGACGCTTGGCGTTTCGGAGCCAGGGGGTGATGGCAGGGCAGTGGCAGCCGCAAGGTTGAGTAATGTATAGCAATGTTGAATGGCGATGGGAAATGTAAGATGAGTCAGAGTCATACACCCCTATGTTTGTCAGTTTTATACTTGATTTTGCGATGGCTATTGATCCCTTTTCATTCTTGGTTTCATGTCACAGTCCTTCAAATTCTTCTGCAGATGGGTTTGTTGCAAATGCACCGTACTCGTTTCGGGCACCATCACGACTCCCTGGATACAAAAAGCCCGCAGGGTTTGATCCCAGTACTGAGGATAGCTCCACCCGCCTTTGCATCTTCTCGGGTGGGCTGCCGCGGGATGCCGCGGGTCCAGGCGGGCTGGGGAGGATGCGAGATGCCTAAAATAGTTGGATTGGTAGAGTTTTCTAGGAGGTGTCCTAAAATAGGGATACCTCCAAATCATCCATTTTAGTAGGATTTTCCATTACGAAGCATCCACTTAAATGATCTTAAATGGGCACCCCCATGGAAACCCCCAAATCATAGATGTTGGTAAAGTGGTTGAGTTTTCTTGGTGAAGCTTAAGGTCAAATCTGCATGGGTCGATCTTTGTGGCCTCGGGGGCTCCCTCCATCAACCCTGGCAGGTGCGCGAGTGGAACTTCACACCTGCTGAGGGCTTGGGCGCAGAATATGATACCAAGTAGAAGCGTCACAATGCTTGGTGATTCTGTTCTTAAAGGATTTAAAGGGGTGCCATCCATTTCACTTATTCTTCTTGTTTTTTGCTACCCATGATACCCCAAGCAAAAACTGCTAGACATCTAGCCAACAACTAGCTAAGGTATGTCAGGGGCACCACCTCGCACAATTCCATTGTATATGTTTTTTTTCAACATATACCCTTTGGTTATTTAACATAGCCATGGAAAATGGCCCATAGAAATAGATGATTTTCCCAGCTCGAAACCTCCATTAAAAATGGTGATTTTCCATGGCTATGTTAGTCATAACCAGATGGTATATTTTTCAACATATACCCTCTGGTAATTTAACATAGCTATTGAAAATGACCATTTATAGATGGTTTACCCATTGAAAATGGTGATTTTCCATAGTTATGTTAGTTTACCAGAGGGCATCCCACGTAACGTTGCTTTTCCCATGATACCCCCCCATATGGGTGACATATCCCCATCATTGATATGGGGCACCGAGGTTGCAGCCAGCGAGTCTGGGGCACCGTGCTGGAGCGAAGCGCTGGGATGTGGAAGGCTCGCCATCCGCCATGGGGTGATGGCGGGAATCTATAGCTACACCAACAAACTAACAAAAACTGACTACAGACATCTATAGACTATAGTTATTTTGAATGTTATTTTCATGATTTGTCATGTATATTTTAACTAGAATTTTAAGGGAGCCTCGTTCCATGGCACCACAACGACAAACCCGCCGGACTGCTAGGTCTTGCTTGACCGCAGGGTGCCAAGATGCATCAAGATGCTGGTGATCGTGATGGCATTGATGGCATTGACATGGCGGCCATGCCTTGACTATGGCCATGCTCATGATGATGCTGTATAATACCATCTAGCACTGGGTGTAATTTGTTCCATTCCAATTTTTTAATCACCATGTGAAATTGGTAAAATCATCGAACTAAATGGGCCATGTCGGCAATAAAGTGTTGAATCACTAGAGGGTATCCCATGAATATTCCGACAATCTACCAATTAAATCAGATGATTCATCTCCCTTTTGAATGCTAAACAATGGATCATTTCCAGTCAGCTATGTCAGCTATGTCAGCTATGTCAGCTATGTCAGCTATGTCAGCTATGACTGGAGGGTCTCAGTTCAGTCAAACCCACACGAGGTCAGACGCCCGGCACAACAGCTGCGCCGGCTGCAGAGTGGCCCCAGCTCGGAGATGCAGTGCAGGCGATGCTGCGATGCCATGATCGTATCCTCAGTACTTGATATAATATTGAATCAGTTTATTGCAATGTCATTTTAATGATTTTATAAATTCTTACTGGTTTTGGAATATCAAATTTACTGTAGTTTACTTCTTTTTCGGCAGACATTCTTTGGTTTCGTCTCTTGAAAGATGGGTCGCCACAATCATTTGGAGCCAAAGAATAGAACGCCGGCGCCAGAGTTGAAAAACTCGGCGTGCTGGCAAAGAATCAGGACCGGCATGGACCACCTGCAATTATAAGGGTTCATTGGGGGTTTCTGGGCCAACCTTTGTTAGATACTTTGGTACTTTAATCTTTTGTTACTAGAAATTAATTAGTCTATTTTGGCAGGTATCTATGATTCACCGTGTTTTATGAACCACCAGCAACCACGTCTGGTTTTTTTTGGCTAGGGAAAATCCCAGGGGTTTCAGGGTTTCATAGTTCCCAGCCGATGTCAGGCCAAGTATTTGCACGGGATGTGGTTCCCAGCCAAGATCTCGGCCATCAAGGCGTTGGCCCAGTGGCCCTGGGAAGTTTGGGTGGGAGGTTTCTGCGATTCAAAAGTGGGCAACAAGAACAGATGAATCTGGCAGTGTGTCAAAACCTTGTACCCCTGGTGAACATCAAAATAGCTGGTAAATGGATGTTCATCCCCCTAAAAATGGATTAAAATGGTATTAATAGGTATTGATCCATACCCATCTGGGAACCGTGTAAACTGATAACTGGTCGGTACAGACAAACATTGAGAAATACATCTTGCCTATTCTTGCCTTATTTTCAGACCTACTGGTATTTGGAACGACCCCCAATTCCAAGCCACCTATTTTTGGACCAATTTTTTTGCCCGAACTGCGATCTAGCAATCTCAGATGGAAAAGGGACACATTCATTGAAAAACATGTGCAAGTACCATCAAGTACCCCCTAAAGATCCTTCAAGTGATCATGAGTGATCTTGGGATGATTTCCCATGCCTAAAAAATCACGAGATGAGTTTTTGTTTGGCCAGCGGTTACCTCCACGACTCATACGTCATCGTTCACAACATGGTAAGCCCAAAGTCAGACATTTCTTCAAGGGAAACGCACAAACTTTGATAGTTTTCCTTGCATCTTGGCAGGTTGAGGGGTCCATGCCTCAGTGACAGGGCAGGGATGTTTGAACCCAGTATTGACCTGTATTTGGCCGCTAACACTAGGTGGATTATGCAGATGTGGTTGCTCGCAGCTGTGTGTACAAGCGCGTCCCTCCCAAGGATTTGCTTTATTTTTTGTGGTAGTGAGCAGCAGCTGTATTCGTTAAATCTCCGCATCGTGGGTTACCAAAAGTTGAGATTTTCTTGCTATGCACCACCCTCCGGTAGTCAAACAGGGCTTAAAAAAAACGATAAATATATGATAGATATTGATGATGTTCCCAGCTAGAAACCTCCATTGGTTCCCTCCATTTACATAGACCACCTCTAAGGGGAATCAAAACCTTCACCGTGGACTGGGATGATGGGGACTACCGGGACAAGGCGAGGACGTTTGAAAAACGAGGCTAAGGGGCACCTCACTTTGGCATGGAGGAAGTTCTGATCAATTGGATCTTGGGGTATCTGTATATACATATATTTATATATATATATATAAACAGTTTAATAATTTATCACTACATATCTACATATTATCATATCTACATCTACGACATATATATCATTATATATCATTATAAATATATCCATATCTATAGCTTTATCTATATTTACAACTTCTAAATCTAAGACTTATCTTACGCCAGGAGAAGCGGCGCGAAGAGATTCAGCCCAGGGGCGGGGGTCCAGTGCCAGAGCTGGCCGCGTCGGGGCTCCTGCTGTGGAAGACCTGGGGAAAAGGTGACATTGGAATCATGAGAAAATCATGGGAAAACATTGGAACATGATGGGAAAACATTGGAAAATGATGGGAAACCATAGGAAAATGATGGGAAAACATAGGAAAATAGTGGGAACGCATGGGACAATTATAGGAAAATATGGGAAGATCATGGAAAAACATAGGAAGACAATGAACATTAATGGGTAAAATCATGGGAACATGGGTTTGGAGGGAACATGGGTTGAACGCCTAAAAAATGTGATTGGAAGATGCTTTTTCTGGTGGAGAGAGTTTCCGCTGCTTCCAGAGTCCACGAAACGGAAAGGATGGCTTCCGCCTCAGGGAGATATAAATGGGTGTGTCTTCTGAAATGGAATAGCTAGTAAGAACTGTTTTTTTTGAGGAACTCAAAGTGAGCGAGGCAATGTTGGCCAACATTTGATCAAAACCCGCCCAGGGAACGCAACGTGGAAGATGCCCCAGCCTCAACTGGGGCATGGTGGTGATGGTCGTACTCTGAATTCCCCCCTATGACTCTATGACATTCCGGGAAGTATGTGTGTTTGCATGTATGCATGTATGCATGTATGCATGTATGTATGTATGTATGTTAGTTATGTATGTATGTATGTTAGTTATGTATGTATGTTAGTTATGTATGTATGTATGTTAGTTATGTATGTATGTATGTTAGTTATGTATGTATGTATGTATGTTAGTTATGTATGTATGTATGTATGTTAGTTATGTATGTATGTATGTTAGTTATTTATGTATTTATGTTAGTTATGTATGTATGTATGTTAGTTATGTATGTATGTATGTGTGTATGTATGTATGTATGAATGTATGTATGTATGTATGTATGTATGTATGTTAGTTATGTATGTATGTATGTTAGTTATGTATGTATGTATGTTAGTTATGTATGTATGTTAGTTATGTATGTATGTATGTATGAATGTATGTATGTATGTATGTAATGTATGTATGTATGTATGTATGTCTGTATGTATGTATGTATGTATGTATGTATGTATGTATGTATGTATGTATGTATGTATGTATGTATGTATGTATGTATGTATGTATGTATGTATGTATGTAATGCATGCATGCATGCATGTATGCATGTATGTATGTATGCATGTATGCATGTATGCATGTATGCATGTATGCATGTATGCATGTATGTATGCATGTATGCATGTATGCATGTATGCATGTATGCATGTATGCATGTATGCATGTATGCATGTATGCATGTATGCATGTATGCATGTATGCATGTATGTATGTATGTATGTATATAATGTATGTAATGTATGTAATGTATGTAATGTATGTAATGTATGTAATGTATGTAATGTATGAATGTATGTATGTATGTATGTATTAATGTAATGTAATGTAATGTAATGTAATGTAATGTAATGTAATGTAATGTATGTATGTATGTATGTTTGTATGTTTGTATGTTATGTATGTATGTATGTATGTAATGTTATGTTATGTTATGTTATGTTATGTATGTATGGATGTATGTATGTATGTATGTAATGTTATGTTATGTTATGTTATGTTATGTTATGTTATGTTATGTTATGTATGTATGGATGTATGGATGTATGGATGTATGGATGTATGTATGTATGGATGTATGGATGTATGGATGTATGCATGTATGCATGTATGCATGTATGCATGTATGCATGTATGCATGTATGCATGTATGCATGTATGCATGTATGCATGTATGCATGTATGCATGTATGCATATGTATATATATATATATGTATATATATATGTGTATATATATATACATATGTATATATATATCTACCTATGTATCTCTATATCTATATCTAAATCTATACCTACCAAGTCCAAGCATGACCTTCAAACATTGGCACACTATCCATCACCCACATGGCAACAAGTTCGATTAGTCTATGCAGAATTGTCGTCTACGACCGATCCGGCAACCGAAAGACAGCTTTGTTGAGTTTGTGATGGAAGCTTGCCATGCTGACTAGACAAATGTAGGCAACTTATCAAGCTACATGGGCCATGTTCATCCATTTTCCTTCGCAAACTGCAGAATTTCTGGACAATTTTCCACACGTTTATAATCCATCAATCCATTCGTATCTCAATATGAACCTCCCCCAAAATTATAGGATGAATCTGATTTTCCTAGATATTCATGAGTGGAAAACATGGAGAAGTTATTGTTCTCCTTAAACCCCACCCATTTTGCTGGGGAATTTCCCAAGCTGACACCAGGTGGAGGTTTATCGACAGGCCGTGCCCAAGGACGCCACGGCGCAATGCTTTGCACATTGCAAGGAGGCGCCAAGGGCGGAGCTGCTGAAGATTTGGGTATGGGTCAATACCTATAGATACATTTTTAGTGGGATGAACATCCATTTACCAGCTATTTTGGGGTTCACTAGGTACCAAGGTTTTGACCCATCCCCATTTATCTTTGTTGAGAACCTTTCAAAGTGTCGGACACCTTATCTGAGGCATGGAGAAAAAAAAGCCGAGGGCTAGAATCCAGGAGGTCCATGGTTTGAGAAGATTCACAGATCCAACATATCCGGTATACATTTAGTATACATATTCCAGATCCACAACATGCTCAACATATTTGAGGAACCCGACCTTTGGTCATTTGGGAGGTCCAACATGCTCCAAACTCACGGCCCCCCTGTCCAAGTCAAGTGTTGGCAGAAATTTGCGGTTTACGAATGCTAGACTTGGGCCCCTTAGATTTTATCCATTGAGAAGGGGGTCTGGCCCTACTATTTTAGGGGCTGGAGCCCGCCTGTGGCCAACAATCAGGTATGAAAAGGGCCATGAAGGGTTTGTAATGTGCTAAACCAAGGTCAACCCAACAATAAACCATTTTGAATAGAGTCGAGGTTTATTAGAGTTTATATTATTTTACATGGTTTTATGAGTGGCCATACTGCTAAATAATTATTTGGGATGATGTAAAACGACCCCAGATGGTTGGCTAATGGATGTTAATGGGGGTTGGTTTGTGGCCTTGGGTTTACAACATTATTCCCTTCCAACAAACCTGCAAGGATTATCAAGGATTGCAATCCGCCAGCAGCCCAGGGCCCTCCAAAGCGTGTGCTGGTCAAGTACGGCAAGCAAGAGGTGGGGCTCAGAACACCCTGAAACGGATGAACAATGCTCCAAACTCCAGGTCCTGCTTCTTGGTATCCCAGCTCCTCCTACCTTCTGCCCCCCCAAAGTGGGTGGCTAAAAAAGCCAATCATGGCCAGGGCCCCAAGTACGATGAGCAGGGTTTCGGTGTCACCTGTGGCGATGAACTCCTCGTCTTCAGCCTCGACAGGTTTGCGGGGATGTCATGGCTAAACGGCTAAACGTTGACGGGAGCCAGTAACACTGGTATGACATCGTGATTCAACCACCTGAAATAGTGTTTTAAGCTAATATTTTAGCAATAAACATGGGCAAAGAATTGGAGAGCAGTTTCGGACCACAGATTTGGATCCTTTGGCACATTTTTCTTTTCACTGTGCTCCTGTTTTTGTTTGTAGTGAGAACTGGGAGGTTGATGTTGATGGACCTGATCAATTAGTCATTCTGGAGGATCAGCATCCCTGGGAAAGAACTGGTGACTCGGAACCCAGATGACCCCCGCCATCATGCTGAACGGCGGAAGAACTCTTGAACTTGTTTCTATAGGTGCTTACTTGTACTGGTAAGTCTTGGTAAGTCATTCATTACCCACAAAAATCCGCGTGTTCAGCAGCAACTATGGCAAATTATCATGAATTACCAGGATATGCAGGGTGGTGTTCCCCCACTCCTAATGTAATATATTATAAGTAGGTTTATGAAAGAATCCAACTATAGATACACCATGAATCCCATGGTTAGCCTAGTGAACTAAACCAACCTGGCTATCGAATTTTGGGGTCCCACGTGGCACGATGTGGCACGAATTTTCCAGGACGTGCCCTTTGACGCCCATCGTCTTGTCCAAGATCTCGGATAAACCTGGCCCTGCCAAGGCCGCCGGAGACGGCGTTCGAGCCGCAGCGAAGGGCGCAGGAGATAGGGCAGGATTTTGGGGCCTCAACATATCCATAAATAATCATAAATATCCCACATATGAGTTATATAGTTATATCGATTTATGACTATTTATGGATTTTCAATGATTTTCAGCAGCCCCTTAGAAATCCAAAATATGGAATGACTGATGGAATGATTTATGGAACATGACACCCCCAAAACAACAACTAACAACAACTTGAGCAAAAGAGACTGCAAAGTTTAGTTGCAGGGAGAGAGTCCACGAACATCCTATTCATAATGTCCATCTCGTTTTGTGATGTAGCTTTGTTTCCCCATACTTGGGGTGTGCACACCAGCTAGTACGTGGTTTATACATGTTTATGCATGTTTATATATCCTATAAGCCTTATAAGCCATCTATAACCCATAACTGGGTTATACTCTTCTTATTAGCAGCTCATTGGATTTGGGGTTGATGGTCACCCTGCCAGGTGCAAGGTGTTGACAGCGGTTGGTACCTGGACCTGGTGAAGACGTGGCTCGACTCCATGCTCGAATTAATGGGCGGTTCCATCAATGATGATACCCCCATAGCTGGATGGTTTATACTGGAAATACCAGCTAGAAATGGATGCTTTGGGGATAGCCCTATTTCAGGAAACCTCCATATATAGTGGGATAATGTTGGCTACTGTTTAGTGTTGCCCCCCTCAACAATTTTGGTCTACTCAATAACTCGCCATTTTCTTGGGAACCAGGTCTGGGGAATTCAGGATGATAAACTTAAGTAAGGATTTCAATTGACATCAATTTACTTTCAAATGATTTTCCTTTTAAATTTCAAGAACATATATTGATAAGAAAGGCTTTCAATTGAAATCAATCTACGTTCAATTGCTTTTTCAAAGAAATCTATGGATAAGAAAGGGTTTCAATTGAAATCAATTTACTTTCAATTTATTTGAATCTACTTTCAACTGATTTTCCTTTGAAACCTCAAAGAAATCTATTGATAAGAAAGGATTTCAGTTGAAATCAATTTACCTTTCAAGTCATTTGAATCTACTTTCAATTGATTTTCCTTTTAACATCAAAGACATCTATTGTTAAGAACGGATTTCAATTGAAACCAATTTACTTTCAATAATCACTCATGGAGTACTCTCTTGGAAAAATGTTTAGGTGCTGTTTTTAAATAAGGGTTTAATAAGGCATCTAATTATTTGGGCCACCTTGCATTTTCAAGGCTTTAACATGGATATGGTTTTCTATGGTTTTCTAAAGTAAATGGACCAGATTTACCCAAAGAAAGGTGGAGAAAGGTGGATAAAGCTCCTTCTGACAAAAAATGGATCTGAGAAAAAACTTTGCACAATAGAGGCCCACTCCCCCATCCACAGGATACTCAATAATTTTGGAAAAAATCCACAATAGAGGTCCATCACACTAATCGGTATACTACATTCTTCATGATAAGTTGGCCCATAATTGGATAATGATATATATATATAGATGATTTAGGACTGGGTCTATAATAAACATATTCGAACTAGCTATTTGGGGCTATAAACCAACAAACTTACCCTTCTGGCAATCAAACGTGGCAATTGGGACATCTCCTATCAACCGAGGTTTTAATGGGAAATCATCTGCAAATAGAGAACATTTCCCTTGCCATGTTTGATTACCAAAGGGGTGACTGGGGGGCACTTGGCCCCTTTGGCTGTGGAGTTCACAAGTTTGATCCGAATGGTGATGTCATCAAAAAACAGGAGGTGGAATATTGATAGAACGTGGGAGGTCAGCTTTAAGACTTTCACCAAGTCTAAAAAGTAAATGTGAAGCATCACAAAGCATAAAAGTGGGAGATTTACTATTTGATATCTATTTGATATACAAAAAAATTAATATATATAAATTATTAATATCAGCATGTTCAAAACTAGCGACAATTTGATGGCTCGGGCACCCCCAAATGTGGGATGGTTAAATTTTAAGTACCCTCCGGTGTCATCAAACGTGGCACAGAAAGCCCCCCTCAAAATAGAGTCTTAATGGCACCATCTTCTATCAATAGAGTCAATAGAGTCTTTTTTTAATATACAAATGGGAATGAACGATATTTCTCTATAAATAGAGACATCATGGATTCCCAGGTTTTCACGACGAGCGATCAGGTTTTCAGGCCCTCACCGGGAAGCCTTGGGAGAGCTGCTGAATGGACGCTTGGGAGGTGGCCGGTTTCGATGATTCACAGGTGAAACGGTCACACCTTGTGGTGAAGTATCCATTATGGGAATTCTCTACACATTGTGATTGTGATGATCTCGATGATCTCGATGATCTCGATGATCTCGATGATCTTGATGATTTTGATGATGACGATGACGATGACGATGAGGATGATGATGATGATGATGATGATGATACTACATGATACTACCACTACTGCTACTACTGCTACTACTGCTACTACTGCTACTGCTACTACTGCTACTACTGCTACTACTGCTACTGCTACTACTGCTACTACTGCTACTACTGCTACTACTGCTGCTACTACTACTACTGCTACTACTGCTACTCCTGATGATTGTGCTTTGCACTTTTTCACCATCTTTGTTTTCTTTCCATTGCCACGGAAGGCATACACACATTTAATTGGACGAACTCCTCATGAGAGGAATTCCCATCAGCAGCGCAGGTGTCACCTTGGACCTTTGTCCAGTGAAACCCGACCAGGTGGGGACTGTGTCAGCTGAGTGGCTTCATTGTCTTATTTTCAACATTTTTCAATCATACTTGGGCCTATAGCCTCCAAGTGACTACATATCTTTCAGTCTATAATTGGTGTTGAAACCACCAACTGCTATTTTTTTATTGGTGTTCGGTTTTGATTGCGATATTCGACCAAGATTCCCAAAGATTGGGAGCAGCTGACCTCAGGTGATGGAGGCAGTGATGTCCAATCTGGAGAGCTTCGTTCAGTTGTTGAACACCAAGGCAGCCGGATCGAACAGGGGCGACTTGACAGGAGGAACTGGTTAGTGTTGGTGATAAGCCCGACAAGCCACTTATTGTCAATCCCGGATCAATAAACAATGGTTTCTTGATTAGGGGGGCACTCCTCAATGATAATCTATGAGAATCTGATACTTGAATGGTAGCCCAATGAAGCAGCCCAAATTGGGATGATCCAAGCACTGTTGATTTTGAGTGGAGAAGCATCATCGACCTTAAGTATCCTGGAAATGTTTTTCGGCATCTTGGGGGGTTACTGTCAACAATACATTACATACATACATACATGCATGCATGCATACATACATGCATGCATACATACATCCATACATCCATACATCCATACGTACATCCATACATGCATGCATGCATACATGCATACATGCATACAGGCATACATGCATGCTGCATACATGCATACATACATACATCCATACATCCATACATCCATACATACATACATCCATGCATGCGTGCATCCATGCATCCATGCATACATGCAAACATGCATACATGCATACATGCATACATGCATACATGCATACATACATACATACATCCATACATCCATACATGCATGCATCCGTGCATCCATGCATCCATGCATACATACATACATACATCCATACATCCATACATGCATGCATGCATGCATCCATGCATACATGCATACATGCATACATGCATACATGCATACATACACACATACATACATACATCCATACATCCATACATCCATACATCCATACATGCATGCATGCGTGCATCCATGCATACATGCATTCGTACATTCATACATACATGCATGCATGCATGCATACATACATACATACGTACATACATACATACCACTATCCATACCACTATCCATACCACTATCCATACCATTATCCATACCATTACATACCATTACATACCATTACATACCATTACATACCATTACATACCATTAGATACCATTACATACCATTACATACCATTACATACCATTAGATACCATTACATACCATTACATACCATTACATACCATTACATTACATTACATTACATTAATTACATTACATTACATTACACTACATACATTACATACATTACATTACACTACATACATACATACTGTAAACAATACATACATACTGTAAACAATACATACATACTGTAAACAATGCATACATACTGTAAACAATACATACAGACAGACAGGCAGACAGACAGACAGGCAGGCAGGCAGGCAGGCATACAGGCATACCATACAGGCATACAGGCACTCAGGCACACAGGCACTCAGGCACACAAGCACACAGGCACACAGGCACACAGACACACAGACATCCAGACAGGCAGACAGGCAGACAGGCTGACAGGCTGACAGGCATACAGGCAGACAGGCATACAGACAGACAGGCAGACAGACAGAGAGACATACCGACAGACGGACAGACATACAGACAGACAGACATACAGACAGACATGCAGACAGACATACAGACATGCATGCATGCATGCATGCATGCATGCATAGTGTTGTATACAGTATGTATATACATTGCCAAGTGCAATGGCACTGGAGGAGCAAACTGTAGTTTCATATGGTGAAGCTGTTGAACCAGCGAAGCTGGGGCTCAGTGCATGTCGGAGGGGAGGACTGGTGCGGAATCTTGCTGGAACTAGGGGCTACCAGGCAGATGTAAGAGTCGTTCCAACATGAAATAGCTGATCGTGACTTTATAATTTACAGATTTCTGGCTTGTTAGTTAATTTTTTCCAGGGTGCTCCAATTTATTGCAGGTAAATGATCGAAACACAAGGGCTGGAAATTCAAGTTTTCCCCCAAAGGCATCCAGGAATTTGCAGGAAATCCTGCATCGTTTTGCAGCAAAAATGCACGCCTTTCTTGCAAAATTTACTCATCCGATTCTGATAGGCTAAACCCTCTGGTAATTTCACGTAGCTGATTTTTCTCACCATTTTCAAAAGGTAAATCACTAAAAAAAAACATCAATTCCTATGAGCAATGGCATAGCAAACTGTTCAATAACCAGAGGGAAAGCCTTTATCCAACCATTTTACCACACGTTGGAGGTGCGAGCCATGGATGACGTGACCCTGTGCTTCATTGACAGCTCAGCGGCTGTCATGCCCGTGCTGCTCCCCGAGGCCCTGGGTCCCTTGGGTCCCTTGGGTGGTGCCGCATAGTTAGCTAAGTTGGTTTATAACTCCAGTAAGTATGGTTTATGGTAGATATGATATATCTATACTTACTATGGTTTATAAACCAACTTATAACTTAGATGGGTAGAAACTAATCCGTAATCTTTTTGTATCAATGGGATTATCTACTCCCCAGGTAAGAATTTATTTTTTTGCAGGGTATCTCAGATTGGCCATGGATAGAATATGATAAAATCTGGCTAACATATGGCAAAACTTGGGTTTTATCGGGATATGATCAACAATATGGGGGTGTAATGGGATATTGATGATGGTGATGCGATTTACCCATATTTCACCGAGGGAAATGCTGATATTAATATGATGTATTAATGGAATATTAATGGGATCAATAGTTAGGCATGTATAGTCAAACATTTGGACATCTCTGGATAGATTATGTTGCGACTGCAAGTCGCGATGCCACTAGAAAAAATGATTGGAACGGAGAATTATCCCTAAATGGCATCATTTCAGGTCTTGTTAATTACTCTAACTTATCCGGAGCAATCTTACCAAGATCAATTTTCACTTTCAGTGTGGAGCTATCTTGACTACTTCACTTATCAATACTTATCATTGATTGTCATGACATCTCTGACGTGTCAGGTTTCTGATTTTGAATGTTGCAGAATCTGTGATGTGTGTATATTATATTATTATTATATATATATATTATATATATATATTATATATATACTTAGTTTTTTGAGGGGTAAGGTAATAAGGTATGGTTGGAAATTTCCTAAACATCCATGTCGGCATCCATTTAGGTGTTTAGCTGAGACATGATCTTGTGTCAGAACGTTGGGTGCCGGGTGCACGTGCCGAGACAGGCTCACGTGCAGTATGATGCCGCTGCCTGAAAGTGCCACTACATGTTGAGACTCGAGCATGAGACAACTGCTACTTGTAGTTAAAATGGGAAGAAACATTGGTCGGATTCAAGTTCTTTCAAATTTTCAATGTGTACACCACTCATAGAGCACTGTATAGCACTGTAAACTTGTTCATATTCTGATCATCTAAGGCCAAGGTGAGCTCGGAAATCCAATTGCTGGGCAGTGATGGCAAGAACGACGTCCAGACCTCAGGATTGAGCCAAGGAAAACCATGGGAAAACAAATGGAAGAGCACTAGCTACCAACACATATACATACTGTATTATACATTGTTATCATGACTACAATCCACACACACATATATATTAAAACACTATATGCACACACACAAATATATATATATATAATATATATTAAAACACTATACATACACACACATATATATATATGTAATATATAAACACTATATGTATATACATATGTATACATACACACATAAATACATAAATATATATATATATATATTGTATATATATATATACATGTCTTCATACACACACATATACATATATACTGTATATATATATATTATGCTAATACAATGAAGCATACATGATTCAACATAGGAACACACACACGGCGTCCGTTGCAGGTAGTGGTGAAGGCCTTCTGCTCCGAAGGACCTGCCCAGGTGGGTGCCAGCGGCTGAGTGGGGTAATCCCTCAATAGAAGAACAAGTAATTGACACATCCACATGGAGTCTTTGAAAATGGGAGTTTATGACGGTTTATGGGATTTAACCAACAAGAATGGAGATTTATGGGGATATAATGGGAAATAATAGGATTTACCCTCCGGTAAACCAACAGTTTGCTATGGAGAATCACCATCTTTAATAAGTAAATCGCCTATTTCTATGGGCCATTTTCAGTAATTAGCTATGTTAAATTACCAGAATGTAGATGGAGAGAGAGAAATCCAAACATATTCATATAGACAGTAGCTTCCTTTTCTACCTGATATTGGGGGTTGCGGAGAAAAAAACAATCAGATGAGATCGAAAAACATGAAACAATTCCTATTCTCAGATAGTTGAGGAATCTATCACATCTTTCCTCAGATAACAGAGCAATTCTTAATTTAAATTGAGGAATGATATTATAACCATCGACACGTGCATTATTACCACTTATTACCAGCCGTTACTAAATTATGAGTTTTGTATGTTGCAATGATCCGTGTGTTATTTCATTGGAAATGTGCTGGTATCAACAATTAGTATCAACAATCATCAATTGCCATCAAATATCAGCAATATTTGTCAACGATTAATATCATTAATGATTATTAACATATATCAACGATCAAATTAATGATTATTTCCAACAATATCAACAATATCAATGATATTTGTTAATAATCATTAATGATAATCATTAATCACCAATTATTAACACATATGAAAATATCAACCATATCAATGATCATTACTTATCATCATCAGATAACATGGGATGGCCTCTGAAAGCTGCAAAAAAAATGGAGGTGGGATACAATTTTTACCATCCCCCAGTCATCACCATAAATAGAGGGTATAAACGGTATAAACCATTCCCAAATGGGTGCTTTATGATTGTTTTACCCACATTATTGCGGATAGGAAATAGATGCAAGGTGGTGCCCCATAGTTAGCTAAGGTTGACGCACATAACTTGGTTAAGTCGGGTTTATGGGAAATATCACATAATATAACTATACTTCATGGATGTTAATGGGGTTTAATAGGCAAAATTAAAACTGGGGGGGGGCACCACCTTGTGTAAATAATAAAGTTGAGGAACCCCATGCGAAATCAGCGGACTCTGGCCAGGCGGCAGGTGTGAGACCCGGCTGGGCAGTTGATTGGTGAGGAAACCCAGCGGCACCAGGTCGTTCGCACCTTTTCGGCTCCGAAAAGGTGCAGAAATGGGTTGGAACGACTGTAGTTGTTTCAAGGTTTGTTGATTCCAACCATACTATTATTGTTAAGGTTGCCAATAACTACACTTAATCATTGTTAATTAGTCAAACAGTGTTAACAATATATAAACAACATTTTCACCGGGTTTAATATTAGCACTGGGTTTCTTGTTATTAGTCCATTAACACTTATTGTTAAGGTTAATTCCTTTTATCATTGTCAATGATTAATTATCGTTGACAATTGATGAACATGGCTATTAATTGTTAATCAGTCTGAATAATTGTTGATGATCATGATCATCAATGATCATCATTCTCGACAAGTGTCGTTCATTGTTGATGATTGTTGATGATTACTTATCGTTGACAGTTGATGACAACTGATGATAAGTGTTGACCAATGTCGATAATTAGTTCATATTTTTCGATGATAATTGACGCTCATGGATATTAATTTTTGATAATTATTGTTGGTGACAATTGACGGCTTCATCACAATTAATTGAACTGATGTTCTTCATTGTTTATTGCGCATAATTGTACATGCCATTCAACCACATTGCCAGCCACCCTCAGTCGAGCACAGGCCAAAGACGCTGCAGCTGAATCCCATGGCACGGGTCCTAAAGGATGCTTCAGACCATGGACAGCCCAAACATAAACCTATCATTTGGTGGTAATCTTTATCAGCCATAGATACCAGAAAACTTGAGGGATGGTTTACAAATGTTAGTAAAACAATAGTCAACAAACATCAACAAACCATATTTTGATGGTTCATACCATCCATTTTTATGAAAATAATAATATGTAATGATTATTTTTGGGGATGGTGTTGTACTGGATTTGTACTTCGACCCCTGGCGGAATATTGTGGGAACTTGGGCCAGCCTCAGGCTGAGCTTCCGAGCAAGGAGGACCAGATCATCCATGGCTTAAAAGCACAGGTCAAGCTACGACCGGTCCACGGGCCAGACTGTACAGGAAAAAGATTCATGATTTTTCTGGGAGCAGCCATACATGACAAAATAGTAGAACATATATTTCAGAATATGGGAGATTGGTTGAATAGACCAATTTGCCCATGAGAATTGTGAGGTCCCATGGGTGGCAAGGATTCGGTTTCAGTTCCTTGGCAGCATGCCCTGCGGGCGGCTTTTCGTGGCAGGAGTTCATGGATTCACCGAAGTCGATCTTGGAGAAGCCTGGGGCTCAGCTACTAGGGGCCCGCAACGTGCTATGGTTGGTGGTTTCAAGCATCCCCAGTAGAGGTTTAGGTTTATTGTTGTGCATACCTCTACTTGGGATGATGCAAAAAGAGCCCCAAATGGTTGGTGCATGGGATGTTTTATGACCTTGGGTTTACCACATTATTTTTTCCATCCTACCGGTATTTGGGATGACCCAATTGGCTCATGTCTTTGGGATAGGTTGAATGCAACCACCAGCCAGTTATGCTTGGGGAAAAGGGCGGTTCCTAATTCTAGTCCTTCAACTTCAACTTGTGACCTTTTTGTCCCAAGATATATTAGTGTGTGGTATACAAGCGGAAGCCAATCGGCTTTGGTTTTGGAATCAACTGAGGTCTGGGCTTCGCCTAGCCTTCAAAAATCTGTACCCTGCTGCAGCCTCAGATATCTACCGGACCATGGGTTCAGCCATGAATGATTGCCATCATCGTTGGACGTCTCACCCAAAACACTGGCAAGGTACACCACTGTAGTCCCATTCTTCCAATATGAAGATTCCACCAGAACCCCCTGATCATCCTTGATCTATTCATTTTAGGGTCCAGTATTGGGGGTATTCATACAAAATGGGGATGGGATGACAACATTTGCCAGCCCCTCTATGCAAAGATCAAGTCTTCTTCGGTGAGGTCAAGACGCGACAGTGCATGTTCTACGGCACCAAAACGGCCCGCTCCTGGCGAAGTGGGGCTGCCAACAGATGTTTAAAGAAAATTGGTTGAACCATCAAGGTGGCAAGATGTTTTAGGCCCAAGTGTGGTCTAAAAAACTTGAGGTTGGATGATTTGGGGATGATCTTGGCCAGTTTTTTTTAGGGAGAATGATGTTGGGAGTAGTTGGGAGTTTCTTTTTGAACGATGCCCATGTCATCTTTTTGATCATTCCATCCTTTGCGACTTGCGAAAAACCAAGGCCTTGAGATTCCAGGTGAGTTTTGTGAATTCGAGCAGGGGCAGCACAGCAAACCGCAGAAGCGGCAGAAGCGGCAGAAGGGCAGGGAGATCGGAAGTGGATGAGGTTGCTCCATGTTTGAGGGGTCTTGAAGGTGAAAACCATGGTTTTCTGAATGTGTTCTGCAAGTTTTTCCTAACACAAATCCACTGAATTGAACATCAGACACATTCCACCGTGAAATGTTGGAAAAATATGTTTGAGGTGACCACGTGAACAACAGCAATATCCAGCTCTGATCTGAAAATCATTTTATTTGCTGGGTGTGATTTCGCAGGATTTTTTGATGAGTTGAATAGTTAGATGACCACACACATCAATGATATTTTGCACATTCTGAGGATATGTATTACAGCTGTGATGCTACTGATCTCAGATAATATATGCATCTATGAAACCTTTTCTGGCCTATAAATTCACTTGGGGTCCCCAATAGCTTGACTGCTTGTAACTTGTATAGAAACCACTAACCCCCGATACAGGTCGTACTCTTTGCCATTTGTACGATTCCAAGTTCCAGGTTGAAATGGGACGCAAACTCGTTTTCATCAGGTTACACTATTCATCAGGTTCATTATCGTTTTTCCTTCCTCAACATTGCACTTTTACGCAATTTCAATGCTAAAACATCAAAAGACGGGACAACCTGGGGGTAATCCAAAAAGAATATGGGGTAAAGTAAAAAAATGGAACAACTAAGATTGATGTGGAAACTCCATGGTTTCCTGGTTTCGCAAAACTGATGCCACTTTCATGGGTTTTCCACATCTTCCGCCGTCCGCCCAGGTTTAGCTCGGACGGGGACGGTGCCAGCTTCCCTCACCAGCGCTGGGGCTTCTGGGCCCTGGTCTCCGCCAAACCTGCAGAGAAGGAGGCCTCGAAAAATGGAGCCAAGATATGCCAGGATTCCTAAGATGGGTTAAAAAAATGGGCTCTAGATTCCTAAGATGGGTTCTATGATGTTGTATGAAGAAAACATCCGGTGCACGTGAAGCAATGGGTCTTGCAAGTTATGTGCCAGCCACAGAAAATGACTGCAAATGGCGCCGAATCCGGCCCTCCAGTTCTCTTCAAAAGAATGAAGTCCTTTGGAATGTGAACAATGGCTGGGCAGCCTTTTCGCAAAATGGGCTGGAATCTAATTATATAATCTAATTATATACCCTCTGGTAATTTAACATAGCTATTGAAAATGACCATTTATACTGAGTTTTCCCATTAAAAATGGTGATTTTCCACAGCTATGTTAGTTTACCAGAGGGTAGTAGGATCTAGTAGGAATGTCATATTGATCATATAGAAATTCGATTGGTTTGGGATCCGATGGCCTGCAGATCCTGCAGGAGAAAAAAGCGGATAGCTTCTCCTTGGAAGTGGAGAAGAAAGAGGTTCTTCCAGTGGACTCAGTGGTTGCCTGGGATTTTCTTCCTTGACTTCCAACCTCTTCCATCAAACCTTGAGACAAGGGGTGGACTGTATTGGGTTTGTTCATTTATGTTCATTTACGGGGCCCAGTCATGGGAGTTATATTTTATATACGATGTGATTTTGAAGTTTAAACAGGACAGGATTCACTGTACAATGGGTTTTTGAAGTTGGAAGGTCCATTGAAGGTTTCAGCTTCAGTGTTCAGGGCGCCATGCTCGGCATCACGACTCAGGCGCATTGTACTCGGGGGGCTGTGTTAGATGGCCGGAGAATAGTGGCCGGCATCCTGCAAGGAAGTTCTGTATACCCAAGGCAGAAAATGTTGGCGGGGAGTGGAGTTGACCATGACCATTTTATTCAATTAATGTTCAACAAGAATCATTTAGGAGACATGCTACCATTTTGTTAGATAAGTTTTGGGATAAGTTTTGCTTGGCTCTTGTAACATTGTAACATGTTGCAATAGCCAGCGAACGATGCGCATTGTTCCGATGGCAATGAAGGTCCGAGAGGTTCAGTTGGGAAAGCTTTGCATCCCATGTGCCTCACCCACAGAGGCCATCACAAAACCCCGAATGATATACTGTAAGAATGATAAGAACTTAAGACTTCTGCATTATATCTCTATCTCTATCTCTATCTCTATCTCTATATATCTCTATCTCTTTATCTAGTCTACTTATCTCTTTATCTCCCTCTCTACCTCTATCTCTCTGTTTCTGTGTCTCTCTATCTCTAGTCTCTCTCTCCCTCTCTCTGCATTTGGCCCTCCCTCTGTCTATCTGTGCATCTATCTGTCTGTCTGCCTGTCTGTCCGTCTGTCTGTCTATCTATCTATCCGAATCTATCCCCATCTATCTATCCATCCATCCATCCATCTATTCAATGGCCATTTCAGGAACCTAAATTGGAGATACCTACCATATATAAGGCCTATGTAAGGGCTATGTAGCGGGATTGGCCCCCAAAATATGGCCTTGTATGTACAGCACCTGCATTTTAGGGTCCTGAAATGACCATTGATCTATCTATCCATCTATTTGTATGAATATATCTACCTATCTACCTACCCAAGCGGCTTAAGAACATGTATCCATCATGTTCTGTTGGTGAATCACCCCCTCAGAGGTCTTGTTTTTCCACAGCTGTTACCAGGAAGTGAGCGGTGCCTGCATGATTACCTCCATTGAACCAGGAAGCCTGGCACATCGCTGAGAGAGTGCACCATGGGGCCATGAATTTGTTGGAAGGGTTTTAATCAGATCTTCCCTGCGATTTGGACCGGAGTGTTGGGTATACAGGTATACATGTTCAAGATATTCTCGGGATAGCGGAACTGCGGAGAAGAAAGTGCAGCATATGATAACAGATGGACCATTTCTGACATACATGCGCATGTAGGTTCAGACCGGTTGAATAAATTTGTGTATAGCTCTTCGGCTCTTCGTATAGCAGTGCCCAAATTTCTCTCTTACATCACAACGTGGAAGTGGTCATCACTTCCCCCCAATATTAAAATTTATTATTCACACCTCAAGAAGCCATATGAAGCCATGTTTTAGTCGGAAATTTACACATTCTATTGGGACCATTCTATTGGGACCATTCTATTGGGACGTGTTTCTTTTTAGGATGGGACTATCCTAAAAAACCTATGTCCTTTGTCCGTCCTCCAGGATCCACACCCATCCAGGACGCGCTTTTCGACCCTTGGATCATCCCATGGGAACTGGTGGGCCCCGAAAAGGGCCCTGGGGCCCCGAAGAAATGGCAGGAGTGGAACGCAGCCCACCCCGACAAGGCGTTGAAGGTCCATGCTACTTGGCGCGCTGTGACCAAGCAAAATACCATGCAGAGACAACCTATAAATGGGGTCCAAGGTTTTCGCGGATGTAAACTAGATGATGTTCCCCTCCATGACTTCCAGGTTTTCAACTTTTGCATCTACTTTGCGGTGGCTACAATGGGGTTGAATCCTCTAATTCTCATCATCCTTCTGATGCTGCAGGATTGAGAGTGTCTGCAACTGCAGCTCTTAAAGAATAGCAATAGGGCGCTGTAAAGCAAGGAGGTTTTGACTGCTGAAACTGAAAGGGTAACAGTCAGGCTTTGCCAATGTTTGTTGCCATCTTCCCGGAATGACCGGAGCATGTGCAGGAAGCCTCCCAAACTTTGGAAAAAAAACCGCTGGCTTTTTGCGTAACCTTTCCCAGCACAAGCCCAGCCCAAGCCACCCAGTCGCATTGGTTTTTCCAAGGATTTCATCCTGGAGGTGAATGGTGTCAAGTCGTCCTATGAGAGCATCTTGGATGAGCTTCGGAAGTTCCAGAAACATGTCATCGCCGGGTGCCCAACGTGCCCAAGGGCAGTCAAGTGGGACACCGGGGCAAGGGGCAGGTCAGCCATGTTGAGCGTTTGGATTAGATCTAATTGGCTGCTTGATCAAGCACCGGTTTCAAAAACAAAAACCAGAGCAAAGGTTTGCACATGTTTGCACAATGCTTCCAACATGGGGTTGGTTCATTGTTATATTCGTTTACCCGGAAACAGGGGTACTTATTTGGTTAACCCATGTTAACCCATTATATATATCCCATTATTTTATGTTTCTTTTCCCATATGTCCATTCCCATATATTTCCCATGGAACCTGTGTTCACTATTTATAAAACTACATGATATAAAAAATATAGGCAGATATAAATCACACACACACACACGCACACACACACATATATATATCCATCTCTACGTGAACATGTCCTGCAGATCTTCCACTGAGGTGGCAAAACGCTCCAAGGAGCCCATGTGTTCTTCAGGTGTGGTCGAGTCGTGGTTTGGTAAATTGGGAAGCTGTAGATCTGTAGGTACAAGATGATATAGGTAGATATAGGCAGAATTGCATAGCTAATTAATTATGTGCGGTCTCCGGAATGCCGGAAATCCGTGATTTTTCCGGCTCGAAAGCGGATCGTTTGTAAACGTTCCTTTCAACTTTTTTACGAAATTTGTCACAGATTCTGACATTTTAAGTGTCTGATCCAGCCACACAGAGCGCAAACTCATGGAACTGGGCGTTCCTTTTGCCAAATCCCAAGTCTGTTTCCAGGCTTGAAAACACCAATCCCAGCAATCCCCGAAGCCATGACGTAGGCCATCAATACCTGGATAAACCAAGATAGCTTTTGAATGCTGATGGTCAACATTTCAGGATGGTTTGGTTGGAAGATGTTGGGAACACCAAGCCAATGGCATATGGTTTCGTGGGTGACCTCCAAGCCTAGGCCACATCCTTCGCCCAGACCCGAGGGTGTACAACGTGCAACTTGGCACAATGGGTCACCTGTTTTGGGGGGATGTTGGTGGCTTCATATTGCTTCCATTTTCGTGGGAATCATCCCCTCAAAATGCTGTGCCTCAGGGGAGGTTTGAAACCATCCACTATCCAAGAAAGAAAGTGGTGGATTTAGTGATTCGATTTCCTCGAAGAACAATTATCATTACCTCGGATGATGATGATGATGATGATGAGGATGAGGATGAACCACCCGCTGGATTTTTTCTGGGTGGCACCAACAATTTCTCTCCTAGCCACTCTTGGGCTGTCTGAGGTGCGACGTGTGCCGTGCTCCGGGAACACAGCTCCAAGCTCAGCCGATGCCGACAGGGTCAAGCTTCGAGTGGCAGGTCCACAGGAGAATGGGTCCAAGTTGGATGATGGTCCCTGAAATTGGATGCCTAGAAGCTGTTAATGTTAACCCATGATTTAACCCCGGGTTTATGAATAGACCCGATGAAAAAAACAGCAATTCATAGTCAGCTTGGACATGATAGAACTGGGAAACAAACAAAGGTCTGATACTGTATCAGAGAGCCTCTGACTGACCACTGCCTCATCACAGGTTCCGCTGCCAAGATGGCTGTGTAGGGCCACCCAATTGGCGCAGAGCAGGGAATGGAATGGGGTTTTCTTTTCCATGAAAGGGCTAAAGGGGACCATCATCCCCCTTAACAGGGATTAACTTACCAGGATGCAGCATAATATTCCCAATATTCCCATTGCAAGAAATCCCATTCATATCCATTCATGATGATGGGATAACCATAACGCATATATCTCCATAATTCCCCATATAATATATCCAATGCTCTTGACGATGGCACACACACAGTGTATAATGTGTGTGTATATATATATATATGTGTATATATATATGTATATGTATATATGTATATATATGTATATATATATGTATATATATGTATATATATGCGGTTTTAGCATGTTTTAAGATGTGGCTTTAACCAGAAAAGCTGCGGCACAAGTGCCGGAAGTCCTGCAGAAACGGCAGTTGTTGTTGGGTTTCACCATGGTTTCACCTGTCAATGACTTGCTGAGGACTATGACATGTGCGTGCTTGAGACTCAGTTGGCCGCAGCAAACGGCCGCAGCAGTTTTCGGCCTGCGAGCAGAAAGTGTGAGTTGAGATTTCTTGGGCATCTCTTGATATGGTTATGGGTCAAAACCTATTACATCTATTACTACATATTACTGCCATATTTTGGGGAATAACCATCAATTAAACAGCTATGTTAAGGTACCCAAGGTACCAGGGCTTTGACCCATGGCCCATATCTCTTTATCACCAATCACTAATCACGATTATATAGTGGTGTCAAATATGTTCATGAAACAACCTGCATCTTCAAGTGCTGATTGGCAAGTGCGCTGGGATGGGTTGAACCATGTTGAAACAACGGTCGTTTTTCAACGACCGTTTGCAAAAAAAAATCATGCCTTCATCATGGCCAATTTGGCACCTCCGGACCTGGAAGTTGGACCTCAGGAACTGTTTCCAAAGCTTCACATCTGGACCAGTGCACTGTCCCTTGGAGGAGATCATACAGTGATGTTGCCCCGCGGTTGGATAAGGAGAGTGAGAGAGTGAGAGAGTGAGAGAGTGAGAGAGTGAGTTGCTTCCGTATCACCGGTATATCACATCATATATATATATATACACTGTAATATATATATATATATATATTATATACCACACACACACATATATATATATATATATTATATATATCCCATTTTCAGACATGTGACACAGCCATATTATCCAAATAGATCCACTAGTTGCAGCTGGGTTGATGATGTCCCATTCTCCCAGGCAAGTGCCCTCCATGGCAAACAAATTACCAGTCCTCAATGTTGATCGTTCCTCTGCTAAGGACATGTAGCATTTTTAATCATTTTTAGCCCTTGGGATTTGGGGGGTCCTATATTTCCAAGCTTAATTTGATTCCGCTTGAATCTCAGCATCCTTCAAAGCTTGGGGCAGGAAGAGCGGTCAGATGTAAATAATAATGAGGCACTGCGTCATGCTACAACTTGACAGGAACTGCAACCACGCAACCCGCACCACTGCAGAGATTCACATAGCCACCAGTCAGGGGATGAAAGGAGGGACAGTAAAGTTGACATCATCTTCTTTCTGCTTACTCCTCTTTCAAAGACCAGATCCTTGTGTTTTTGCGGGTCCATCAGCCCATTTAATTTCCGTTGTGACTTTAGGATATATTTTGGCAACCCCTCAGTGCCAAGCTTCCTCCGGCGCCATGTTCAAATGGCTGACTGCCGACCGTGACAAGGGCACGCGGGCCTTTGCATCTGTGGCGGAAGGGCTTCAATCCTTATACAAGGACTGGCTGGTGGTTGCGAAATATTTGTTACCAAAAAGGATGTGATTTTAGCCAACCAAAAGATGGCTTCAGCCAAACGATTGGAAAAATTCGGTTGGTGGTTTCAAGAAAACCAAGCCAGCGATGCCAGCGCCAGGAGAAGCTGCTTCCCATTGAAAAGGACTTCAGCTTTCCCCACTTTTTCTCTCCCGAACTGACGGATGCGGATTTTTCGGCTCGGCCTATGGTGATGCTAACAGGCCAGTACTCCACTGGCAAAAGCACCTTCATTCGACACCTGTTGGGCCGAGATTATCCGGGCCTTCGAATTGGGCCAGAACCCACCACCGACAAGTTCGTGGCGGTATGCAAGGGAGACATGGATCAAGTGGCTTAAGAGCAAAAGTTAAGAGACACCAATGTTTCAAAACACTCATGCGTGTCTTTTTTTTGGATTGGAAAGGAGTGCATCTTTTGTTCAAATCTTGAAATGTCCAAAAGCTTGAACCATGATAACCAGCCAAATGGGTATGGATCAATACCTATTAATACCATTTTTAGGGGGATGAACATCCATTTACCAGCTATTTTGATGTTCACCAGGGGTACAAGGTTTTGACACACTGCCAATTGAGCCCACTTTTTTTTTTGGATCACATGACTTGCTGAAAAACTCCCAGGTGGTACCGGGAAACGCCTTGGTGGTTGACAAGGCCATGCCTTTTACGCAGCTGAGCAGCTGGACGATAGTTTCAGATGGGGGTGTGCTATACAGTAGTAGACTATACATACTAAGTCAGGGTGACCTGACAGCCATGGATATACATGATTAATCATGATTATATATATATATATTGAATTATTTATTTATTGCTAACTATTGTTATTCTTCTTAATTACTCTTCTTCTCATTCTAGTTGTAGTTATATATTTTAAATTCGCTGTGCGCTCAGTGCACTCATTGGTGGTTCTATCTCTGAAATGCGATGATCAGATGGATCCCACTTGCTGTAGACGGCTATCTAGCTTCAGGCTCCAGCCCCAGGTCACTTTGGGAATGCCTTCCTCACTCGTTTCGAGTGTTCCAAATTGGATAGCCCCGTGCTCAACGGCATGTCGCTCATCGACACCCCGGGCGTGTTGTCGGGGGAGAAGCAGCGGATCAAACGAGGCTACGAGTTCGAGGAGGTGGTGAAATGGTTCGCGGACCGCGTGGACATGATCCTGGTGCTCTTCGATGCTCGGACCTGCTTGGACTATCTTGGTGTCACATGGGGATGTCACTTAAATGATGGTGAAACGCGGTTTAACATGGTTAAAACATGTTAAAACCTAAAGTTCCGAAAGACATCCAGATATGTATCCAGATACTGAACTGATATTTTTCGCACGTTCATACTGTATAGTGTGATCATCTTGATTGTCTTCAGAGTTTATCACGCATCACTTGGCAGCATCGAGCTGAGGACGTCTCGAAGCTGGACATTTCCGATGAATTCAGGCGAGTGCTTCTTGCCTTAAAGGGCAATGATCAGAAGATCCACATCATCTTGAACAAGGCATGGCGATTTGATGGGTTTTAGCTATAAACAATGGTGATTTAACGGGTTTTAATCAGAAATCCCCGAACTAGCCATGGAGGTTTAGTTCGCTGGGAACATTATCCGTAAATGGTGGATTTTCCAGCAAGCCATGGTTGAGAACCAGAGGTTTTTCATCCCATAAATACCCCGTACTCCCCCAAAAGATCCCAAAAGAATATAGGCCCCTGGTTTCGAGTTGGATCTAATTCCTTTGAGGGACCCATGCGGGAAATGAGGATTAGTAGAATGGGATTGGTGTAGCATGGTTGGCAACTTGGATTCCGGATGAGGGGGTGTATAGATTCTGAGTTGCATGAGCAGCGTTGTGATTCGCAGCTTGCCCGAAATCTGGATCCATTTGAGTGAACACCCAAAAACTTTAGAGACTGAAGATTTAAACCCTAAGATTGCCTAAGATACCTAAAATGAATGACCACGGTATTTCGATGTATTTTAAAAATTTAGATCATTTTATACCCGAGGTTTTGGGTTGAGCATGGGGTGGTCCCCAGGGGATGAATCCGGGATGAACCTGTGACCGTTGGGCCAGGCCGATCGGGTGACCACGCCCCAGTTGATGCGCGTCTATGGAGCCCTGATGTGGTCCCTGGGAAAGGTGATCGATACCCCAGAGGTGTCGCGCGTTTACATTGGCACCCTGACTGATTAAGAAAATCAATGCGAACATAGCTAGCTTACTAGTATACAACATTAAACGGGTAGATAGACAGACAGATAGACAGACAGACAGACAGGACTAGATAGATAGATAGATAGATAGACAGATAGACAGACAGACAGACAGGACTAGATAGATAGATAGATAGATAGATAGATAGATAGATAGATAGACAGATAGACAGACAGACAGACAGACAGGACTAGATAGATAGATAGATAGATAGATAGAGGCTAAGATAGGATAAGATAGGATAAGATAAGGCAAGATAAGATAATAAGATAAAACGTGATAAGACTAGACCAGACTAGACTAGATAAGATCGATCAACACATAATGTATATAATATACTGCAATGTATGTTTCAATGACTCGCCCCATTCGGACGATTCAATCCTTTTTATTGTTTTTTTGGTTGCTCTCTCTCTCTCTCTGTTTCAGTTCAACTTCAACCAGTGAGGCACTTTTTGGGACGAGCCCCTTCAGAACGACGAGCAACGAAAGCTCTTTGAATCTGAAGAAAATGACCTTTACACCGCCTTAGCACAGATGCTGGGGATGTTTGCTTTAGGTGATGTTTTATTTCCAAATGATTCACCCCCCTGATTCCTTGGGGATCTTTTTTGTTGGTGAATTAAGGGGAGGAAAAGAACATACCCTCTGGTAATTTAAAATAGCTATTGAAAATGCCATTTATATAGTTGATCAACCCATTTCCATAACTATGTTACTGTAGTTTACCAGAGGGCATTTGCAAGCTCAGCAGGGAAGGGATCCAAGGATGCCCCGAAGTGCGGCCACTCGAAAGCTGAACGATTTGATCAAAAGAGCCAGGCTCGCGCGGGTTTTGGCCTTCCTCCTGAACCACTTGAGGAATAAGATGCCTTCATTCATGGGCCTCTTGGATTTTCCAATAGATCAAGAGGTTCATGGATGGTGAATGGTTAACCCAGCAGTACTGGGGAGGTGTCTATTGGGAATATGGTGGTTTCTGGGCGCCTGGCGTGGAAGGCGTGTGATCCAAGGCAAAAGCAAGGAGCAGAAGAGGCTCATCGACAACTTGGCGGCCGTGTACCAGGAAATTGCCAAGGAGAAGGGGCTGGCCATGGGAGACTTCCCAGATCCCTCCTTGATGCGGGAGAAGTTGGAGAAGATGGACTTCACCAAGTTCCCCAAGTTGGACAAAAAGACGCCTGAGCAAAAAACGGGGTAAAAACAAAAAGGGCAGAACGGCCCTGAAAAGAATCGTGAGGATTGGAGTGATCCAACCCCCAAAGCGGAGCTGTGGAACAGAACAGTAGGGCTTTTCTTAGTCACCAAAAGCCACTAATCGGGGCGTATTGGTGGACGGGGGTTGCTTGAATCCCCACCATCAAAGCTGGTTGGTGCTTTCAACGTTTGTGGTTGTGGTGATTTTCCCCAAATTAAGGATAGGGAAGAGCCCCCCAAATCCCATGCCATCCAACCCACATATCTACTGTAACTGTAACTATGAAGATGTTTTACTTTCCCACTGGTCAATCCACCATTCAGGGTATCCTTTGTATGTTTATTTAGACCATCCCCCAAAAAGGTCACACATTTATCACTATCAGTTGATTGTTAGTTGTTAGTTATATCATGTTCACATCCTTCCCCAAAACCTTCATTCCATTCCTACTCTTGACAATGGGATTGCCATCCTCCCCATCCTCCCCACTACAATTAGCTAGCCATAGCACAAAACCAGTGGATAACTATAGTAATTGCCATAGCACAAGTGGATAACCATAGTGCCATATCCCCATTAGTGGATAAGCATGGTCATTGCCTATCATTGCCATACCATCAGTGGATTTTTCTCACCATAGTCCAGAAAAAGTGGACCATAGCCAGCTAGCCATTAGCCACCTCAGATGCCATAAGTGTATAACCATAGCAGCCATTAGCCATGGCCATTAAAGCCATGGCCACCAGGAAGATGGACGCCTTGGAACGCATGATCCACGAGGAGTTGCCCCAGCTGCTGAAGCTCACCACCGAGGAGGCTGCCTCTGCAGAGGCCGCCTCCATGGCGCAGCTGGGCACGGGGGCCTCGCCCTTCGCGGTGATGAAGGTGGACGGCAAGAGCGAACGCACCGTGTACCAGGACCGGGTTCAGGGTTTGGGGAGAACGGGAGAAGGCACCTTTTCTTGGTGGGTTAAGATTGATTTAAGATGATTTAAGATGAGTTGATAACGAAGAATGATAAAGTAGTCAGTGGAATGGTTGAGATCAGATTGAAGGTATTAACTTTAAAAACAAATGATCATCATACTTGTATGATTCTTATTTGCTACGTATTAGGGCAACGGTGGGGGGCAAGAATGGGGGTGTGGGGTGGTGCAATCCCAGATGTATAAGCAGGCTGCGGCAATGGTTCTTTTCAGCACATACTGGGACTGAGAGGTAGGCTCTGCATGGTGGATGTTTTGCACATGAGGAAACCGAACTGGAGAGACCTGTGTAGAAGCTGTTGTCCGGGGTTTTGCTTTACACAACCTTTTTGATGGTGGAAATCCTGAGCATGAGGCTTGGCCTCAACGGGGTATACCTCTATCACGGCAATTTAAATAGGGAAGAAGATGACGATAAAGCAATGGATTTGGGATGTCCTGTTTTCAAACAAACCCTATGAGGACCAGTGGCTGGTGTTTCCGAACTTGGAGGACTACACCAAAGAGTTCGAAGACATCGGCCCCAATGCTGCCAGAAAAATCAGTGGATCTCAGGCCAAATCGGTTCTGGAGCAGAGCAAGTTGCCCTCCAAGGCTGCAGGGCGAGCAACAAGATGCAACAACCACTCGGGGGATTTTCGGGGCCATTCGTTCATTCCAAAAAAAGCGGTTCGGTTCCTGGTTTCTTAAGGGGTTTGTTGATAGGTTTTGTTCCTGGTGTCGAAGGTTGCGCGTCCGCGCGTCCCTGGGACAGGTGCTGCACGCCATTTGGAACTTGTCGGATGTGGACAAAGATGGCGCCTTAACATTGGCAGAGTTTGCTCTGGCCAAGCACTTCATCAAGATGAAGTTAGAGGGCCAAGATCTTCCACCAACTTTGCCTCCTGGGTTTGCTTAGGCCCACTGAATTAAACATGGAATCCCAAAAATGGGGATTTGGAAGATCATGTTCCTATCAAATATGGCCAATTTGGGGTTCCATGTTGAATTTTGGGGGGTGTAGACTTGTTTTCTGGCTGGTGGTTGTACATCATTTTCATTGTCAGCCCCTATTTGGGAGGATGCCAATTGACAATCATTTTTTCCGATGGGTTTGAACCACCAGACAGTTGTTCATTTGAACCATTTCTTTTTGGCACACTTTCTGCCAACCCAAGGCCCGCGCAAATGATTCCCCCACCTGACGATAGGGCATGAGACCCGCACACGTCTCTAGTACAGATCTCCGGCGTGGTGTTTCACCTTTATACAGACGGCTCGGGCGACACACGCCCAGTTTTGAGCATTTTACACCATTTTGCTTCAATCATTTCACCGAAAGAACTTCCTGCACCGAAGGGCCGAGGGGTTGCTTTGGCCAGGAAAATTGGATCGCCTCTGTGTGGTGACGGCAGGGGTTGCTTATCCCTTCCCAACGCGTGTCATATCGTGGGCACGTGGCACCAGGAATGACGGCAGCCAGCCCCTCCAAAATGTCCCAGGAATCTTGGGCAGGGGTTGCCAGCATAGCAAACACAACAAGCAACTCAAGCAAACTACAAGCATATATAGCCTGCCAGAAATCTGCCAATGTCAACCCTGGCTCAACAAGATCTGGTTGATTTCAAGGGGTGCCCTAAAAATGGTCAAACACTCTTCATCCATCTTCAATTAGAAAAATCAGCATGTAACTTAATCCATCTTAGTCCCTTCCCCATAATATTAAACACCACTTCCCCCTAATATTAAACCCCTCCAGTAATGATGCTTTAGTAGAGAATGAAGCCACATATGGCACCATAGTAGCTGCTGCTGCAGGACTTGACGACTTTTGCACAGAAGCGCGTGCAGGTCGTCTCACGTGGTGAGGGGAACCAGGACGACCCAGAGGCCTCTTGGGCCGTTGCTCTGGGATCATGGAAACTCCCCATGGTTTTCATTTTTACCCTCTGGTAATTTAACATTGCTACTGTGTTTTTCCCCTCCATGGTGATTCTCATCCATTTTCCATAGCTATGTGAGATTACCAGAGGGTGAGGGCGGTGAGGGCATGCTATTTTTATGTGGGAGTGGCCGACTCAAAATGGTCATCAAATAGTATCAAGTAGTATGGACAGTGGAAAACCATGGAACTAAGTTGAACTAAGCATCAGATTGAGGGGTACCCTATTTTCAGCCACAAAAACGGTTTCAAGGGGATGATCTGCTTGGAAAATTCTAAGACTTTGCCAATTTTTGGACAGTAAACCTAGTAACCCATGCGGGGATTCTTCGGGTCTGGTATTTTAAGTACTAGAGTGGATGAAAGGGATTTCTTGGGTTTGTCGAGACATTTTGTCACACCAAAACAGTCCACATATGTCCACATGATTTTGAGCCACAGCAGTTCATACCGCTGTTATGCCCTGTTTATGTGGAGAAACATGGAGAAACTACTCGGATGTGCATCGCGGTTACTCAGAATATCTCAGATTCTAGCCCAGTCATACATGTACTGTATAGTTATTCTATGTTATTATAGTCATGGCAAAATTCCCTATTTTGTCAACATGACCGTTGAGTCCATGGCCATTGCCCCAGGGCTTCCGGTGGCCTGTCCTGGGCCGTCAGCGGGTCAGCGCAGGTGGAACGCGATAGCTGGGACGAACAACGACTGCGTGCGCTCTGTGCCAAGCATGGCTGGGTCGGGTGCCCTGGTTTTCGGGGGTTTTCCATGGCGTTTCCCATGGGTTTTCCCCCCAAATTCTCAGATTCAGCGACCTAGGACCTAACTGCCTTGAAGTTTAGGATCGAGGCGGAAACCATCATACTTTCAGTGATGCATTGAAGTTTTCCCCGCTGGCAAAGAGCCTCATCTTTGGAACGCTTCAACAAGGATAATGATAGTTCATGATAATTCATCATCGCAGTGCCGCTTTACCAATCAGATCAACCAGTCTTAGGGAATTATATCAGTTTATGTGATATACATCACCATTTGTAGATCCTTTTTGCCCAGCTATAAACCTCCATTGAGTTCCGGGACTTTGCAGCCACGTTACCAGGACTTCGAGTGGATGACCGAGGCCTTAAACGTCGTGGTGCGGATGTGCGGACGTTTTCAGATGCCAAGATGTTGACATCATATGTCATAAGGGGCATAAATTCCCCGAACTAAATGGTGATTTAATATGATTTAATGGTGAATCACGTGTGATCTACTAGTGATCTATGTACTTATGATTTAAAGGGGTTACCTGGTAATCTACTGTAAAGGGTTTTACCTCTGAAAAAGGGTGATGAATGGAAGTTTGAATGAGAACATCATCGAACAAAATAGGGGCTTCCCATTGCCATGTTTCCTACAGGATGGCGAAAGACGGCGACGTGCCAATGAACGCTTTACGGAGTGGAAATTGGAGGACCTTCTGGTGGATGGTGGGACCTCCCATTCCCATCATTTAATGCCCTATTGAATGGAAACATGGGCTTTCTTATGGGAGTAGTGTGGGAGTAGTATGGGAATGGAAGTGCCATCATTAGGGGCCAGAAGATCAGCCAAAGTCTCTGGATGTTTTGTGGCATGGAGCAGCCAACACGCAGCTGGAAAGTCAACAATGGGAATTTCCACACAGATCTGGACGGGTTTGGTGATGTTGAGCTTGGATTGTTTAGTGTTGAAAAGTTCTCAAAAACTTGCGCGCTTCCGGCAACGCATGTTTGTTGTTTGCCATGTGACTTTTGCCTATCTATTATATAAATCCAGTTTGTCCATGTTTGTCCCGCAAGCTTCTGTTGGATTCCAGAAAGTTCCTCTTGTTTTGTATGGGAATAGATGGAGATGGGTCAAAACCTATTATTCCCCTATTCTTCCCCTATTATATATTCCCATATCATTCCCATATTGCCATAGTATTGCCATATTATTAGGGGGAATCAACATCCATCTTCACCAGCCATAGCCACCGGGCCTCGCCTAGGAGTCCATGGCCTCCTTCCTACATCAGGTGCACTGAGATACTGAGATTCCAATGTGTTATGCTTACACACATGGATACATGTAGACACAGACACACACATACATACATACATACATACATACATACGTACGTACGTACGTACGTACGTACATAAATAAGTAAATACATCATAATACATCTAAATAATAATGATACAGATATAGATATAGATATAGATATATCATAATATATATATATATACATATGTGTATGTAATATGGTGTGATGTAATCTATATCTTAGTTTCAACATGTTGGAACAAGTATATTCAACAGTTAAACTGTAAGGACCTCGCAGTGCGACGTCACTGGAATGATGGTTAGTAGAGCTAACTATCTCCAAACATACCCCTTCTTATCAGAGTAGTGAATAATTGAATACATCATAACTGTATTAGGTAGATTTTTTAGCGTGTCTCATTTCACCAAATATGGATCCTCACTTTAGGCATTACTTGTGCCACAATGCAACACGGCCCAAATCAGCATGTAGAGTTGCAAATACTAGATGCTGTTGTTTTTTCCCTATGGAAATTGTGTTTTTCCACCTCCATGTCAGTGAATCACCAGTAAAGATTGAGGGGAATGGAAACGAAATGGACTCAACTTGTTTTATTGATGAAAGACAATTGTTTATATAGATAGTGCTTGTGACGGCAAAAACTGGATTTTTCTATTGTGATTATCAGCTTGGCTTTTCAGATTACTTATAGGTTTGATCACAGGATGTTTGCAAGGGATTTTCCACTGTCAGAGTGGATTGGAATGCACGGCGGAGCCTCCAAATCGGCCCAAGTTGTGTTTGTCCCGGATGAAAATACATTTAAAATACAGTACAGGTTTCTTGCCCCATGGATTCCAGGGATATCCAGGGCCCCAGTTGTGTTTCACTTTGCCCAAGCCGCTGGTGTCAGGATACTACCCAGATGCCAGATTCGCAGCCACTGAAATCAGAGGAGGTGGGGGACCAATGAGCTTAGGGGTCACAAAGGAACTGGCTTCTATATGGAGGTTTCCCAAAATATAGGTAGCCCAAGCCACAGGTTTTCCCATTGCTCATACACACTTTTGGATGTTGGGGTACCATTTAGGAAAGCCCGAATTTTGGATTTGTCTGACTATAGGGGTATCCCCAGAGCCCACTTGGTTCACCAGAAAAAAGAGGTATTTACCAACACATACTGATAACATATAACTCATGACTCATAACATATAATTGATATCATCCTCTGGTCATTTCGCCTGGCAATGAGGGGAAAAAAGCTAACATATTTTTGGCCGGTAAATTGGATTCCGTTCAGACATATTTGCTTACCAAGCCGGGCTGGATGATCAACGTCACGATTTTTCAATCGGCAATCAGAAGCCAGGGGATTTCCACCTGCTTTCCTGAGTCAGCACATGTTCTGTCAAGGAACATCCTTCCACTAGATGGCCAAGGTAAAGACAATGATGCACCCCTTGCAAGATGCCATTCCTTTCAAGCCCCTGGCACTGGCACAAGAAATTCCTTCCGCATCCCTTGGTTTCTGATCGGATTCACCTTTGGAGTCGATGGCAGGCTTTAGGACTGGGAGCGGATTACGCTGTCAAATGCTTACCATAAACCGGCTGGTATCCAAGAATAAAGCCTCAAGTTTCCAGTTTTCGGGATCTATGACCATTAGTACATCTCCAAGCGGTAACAAAAATAGATTTAGTAGTCTATGTCTATATGTATTACTCTACCACCATATGGGTGTGTTTGAAAAGAGGTATACCTCCAAACTAGCCACTTACATAATAGATCATACTAGGTGATCATGAAACCACTGGACTTTCTACGCTACTTCCAGGTCGAAGTAGTTGCTCCACCTGTGTTGCAGCGTGTGAACTCCTAAGCGGCGCAAAGTCGCCCCAAATTTGGATGTTTGGAATCCCATTTTTCTGGCCGGTGGTTTTGGAAAAAGAACATGTATCGGTAACAGTATATATCATAATATAGATTAGATAGATGGATGGACAGATAGATAGATAGATAAGATAAGATTAGATTAGATTAGATAGATAGATAGATAGACAGATAGAAAGATAGATAGACAGACAGACAGATAGATAGATAGATAGATAGACAGACAGGTTGCTTGATCGATTGGTCCGTTGCTTGATTTGTGCCTTTACATTTTTGCTCATCATGTTATATCGTCCTAAAATGTCCCAAGAGCGGGATGATGCACAAAAT